GTTTTTATTGGAAGGCGGGTTGAATATGGTCGATTCCGACGAAAAAACATATATTGTAAGCTTATGGGTTTTTGCTTAAAACGAAATTCTTGTGGTTCTTTCGAGGTGGCTGGTTAGGATCCGGCTTTTTTTCAAAACGGCCCCTGGCGCACGAATTATTATTATTTTATAAGATATAAATATTATTAGATGTTTTAGAAGGTAGGATATTTATACAAATAATAAAAGGTATAGTAATTAAACAACATATATATAAGGTAATGAATTATTAAAGGATACTATTTTATTATTATCTATAAATATATTATAAAACAAATTAGGAAGGTTTAATAAATATTTTTATAAATAAATAAAGAACTATAAATTATATTATATTGAAGAAATTAATGTACAAAATATACAATAACATTGATGATGTTAAGGGAATAGATATGGCATATTTAAATACGAATGGAATAATAAAAATAGGATATATTTTATATATTGATAGTATTGATGGTAAAATGGGACTAAATCACAAAGCCAACGATATTATTACAGATTTATTTTTCATTCCTATTTATAATATTCAATTAAATGAAGTATATAAGGAACGATAATCATAATCTCGATTTATCTATTATTTAAGAAATAAACAATAAATACGAAAACAATTGTGTTGTTATGATTTATTTATAAGTTTTTATATCAGGAATTAATTAATAAAACATATCATAATATTTATAATTTAAATAATTCTATACTATTATTAGATAATATTATGATTATTATTGATATTAATTTAGTAAATGTGCTAGAAAACCATGGTTATGAAAATTGGAAGGGCAAGATATAAAAAAATGAATCCTAGTACTAGTATGTCTAACAATGATAATCCTAATTCACCATCGGAATAATAGAGTATCAATAATAGTATTAATAATATATAAATAAAGAAAAATACTATAAAATTCCATTTAAGAAAAAAACTAACAAAATAATTTTCAAAATACGATAAACAAAAAATATAATTAAATTATAATAATATAAAACATATAATATATACAAATATAATTAAATTATTGTTTTTTTTAAAAACACAATTTTAAATAATTATATTATAATATATTTATATAATAAAAATATATAATATTAAAATCTATATTATTATATATAAATAATAAATAATATATTTACATAATATAAATCTATAATGATTAATTCAATAAATTTTAGACTCACTAAAATAGTATATTTTATCATGAACCAAAATTACATTAATTATTTTTCATCGGGAAACAATATTTATAATCCAATTGCAAAAAAAAAGATATATTAAATTTTATATTTCAAAATAAAATAATATATATAATATTAATATATTATATATTAAATTATTTATCAATCTTCAAAATATTAATAAAATATAAATTCATGTTTCAAAACCATTAAATATTTTTTTTATTTCTTCAGGTAATATAAATAACTAAAAACGAACAAAAAATATAACATATTATTAAATACAATAAATATTATAAATTATATAATTCCTTCAAGAATTAAAATATCAAAAATATAAATAATTTAAAAAATAATATTAATCCTTATTAAAATAATAATTAGCGATATTTATATCATTAATTTAATAAAATTATTAAATATTAATAAATGAATATCTTTTATTATTAACCTTATAATAATTATATTTCCAATTATATAAAATTATATCAATTAAAACAATTTAACAATATTATATATCCACCATTCAATTACAATTAATAATTATATAAAATTAAAATAAATTATTAAAAAACAATTATTATTTGCCTCTTCAATATATACCATTTAAATTAAAATTTATAATTATATCAACTATATATTTATAAATAATTATGGTGCTAAAAAATAATTAATATAATAAATAATATATTTAATTATTATTTTATAATTATCCCAATTAATAATAATAAAATAATTATTAAAATATCAAAATTTAAACTTCGTAATTCCAATTTATCATATTATGATAATCATTCAATATATTATCATTCAATATTTTAAATTTTATATCCAATATATTCCTCCCAAAATAATCTAAAATATGTTTATTTATATATTTCAAAAATAGCAATTTACCAATTTCTTTAAAGTCATTGTTCTCGTTTTCTTTTAGGGGAGGATAACATACATTAATATGGATTGGAATAACCTAGATATCCCAAAAGCAATTGTATTATTAGTTTTGTCGTGGTTCCTTCAGCATATTGCGAGGTTTGTTCAAGCTGTCAATTGCGAGCCTGACAGCACGCCAGATCTGAGAGGGCAGCGGCCCACCCACTCTGCCTGCACCCCAAAAATCGGAGCCCCTTTCGAATTTAGGAAAATCACCGGGCTGGAGTTTGCCCTGGACATCAACCAATAGAACCCTGAACAACTGGATGGTTCGGGACCTACATCATTTAGTGCTTGCTCGTTTGCCACCCAAAAAACGGTTTGCCCTCTACAAAAACAATAGACATCTTCCAGCCGTCCCGGCCTCTCTTTCTCTGTGGCAAAGCTGAGAAGGAGGTCCACCTCCGGGGGGAGGTCCACACAACTCGCTTTTTTGTCGTGTTACCAGGCTGGCCGCCCACCATGGGAAGTGCACAGAGGTTTCTCTCTTTTTTGGCAACTTGTCTTCCAACAGCGGTTTGTAGGTCTGTGTGTGTGTGTGCTTCAATGTTTGTTGGAGAGAGGACTTGCAATCCTGAAACGATCTGGGTGCTAGCTAGAGGGTCCTGGCAAATTATGATTTGGTTCATCCTCTTTTGGTTTCCTATTTCAGAGAGAAATCCGTCTGAATCGAATTTGAGAGGAAGATTGTCTTGGGTCCCCGCCCTCCCCCTTGAAGAGAGGAATCCCCACTAAGCCCGGCTCGCGCTCAACACTTGGGATGGTGATTATATGTCAAAAGGGGCGTTTGATCAGCTTGGGAGGGTAGGGTTCATGTGCGAACTTGTTTGGGCTGTTTTCGCTGCCCAACCACTTTCAGGTCAGGTTAGGAGAGGGACTATTGTGCTAATTTCCTGATGGAAACACCGAGAAAGGGTACCCCTCTTTGGGTTGGTTTAGAGGCAAAAGGAACACCAAAGCCAAATTTTGTGGTCAGGTTAGGAGGGAGAGTAACTTGGGCCCTGCCCCGATTGCATGATGGAAACACCGAGAAGGCCGAAGACCACTGGCCCACTGGCCCTTTTGCCTAAGCCCCTGAAAAAACACACAAAAACACATTATGCTTTCCAGTAGTGAAAAATCGCTTCCCTTTAAAACCCGCAGGGGGTAAAACACCACAAACAAACATCTTGTTCAGTAGTGAAAAATTGACTCCCCTTAAATATATGTGCAGAAAAAAACAAAAAAAACATGGAGAACCGAACTGAGGACAAGCAAATGGAGGTCTTCCGAGACCCGCCAGAAGTTGTTCGTCAAAAACCACCGAGCGTCCGAGGCCTGCATGGAGCTCAGCTTGTCCATGACGCCCAGCTGTCGGAGCACCAGCAGCACGCAGAAAGAGATGGCCTCAACCCCGACGCGGCTTTCGCTTTCGTTTCTCGTTTTTTGTTTGTTTGTTATATATTTATATTTATATTGTTGCGTCGGCCGAGAGGGGTCTCTGAAGATCGCGAAACAAACAAGCCGAGTAGTGGAAGGGTGAACACTTCGAAGAGACACATCCCTGGTGATTGCCTACGAATGAGATGTGACTTCCCATGTTTAAGGGTATTTTGAGAGTACGATTGCATTAGTTCTTGGTTCAGTGAAGCTTCGTCCAACGGCACGACCTGAACAAGCTGGAAACGAACCTTGATCTTGCTTTTCAGAGTGGAAGGAGGATGGATTCTTCAATACTGTTCGATGCCCTAAGATGTGCAAGTAAACCAAACACGCTCGACCACACAACCATGGTAAAATACTGCAAATTATGGTTTTCCCTTGATCCCTTCTTGCAATATTTAGGCATCGTAGGACCCAACTGGTCAGCTTAGCTTGTTAGCCCGCGTAGCCAACTAGGTCCCGCTTTATTTCCACAATGCAAAACAGAGGGGTTCGGCAACATGCAGAAACATGGTAGAACACTCCCCAGCACCGCTTGCTTCGTCTATTGGGGATGGTGCCCAAGCGGCGCGTTTTGCTCTTGGTACGTGGCGCATTAGAAGGGTTGGCTGACTCGCAAACGATTTGGCCGCGGACCAAGACCGTGAGGTAGTAAGAGTTGCCTCAGCGAGAGCGTCGCCCACCTCACTCTTTCAATCCTACCACCCCCACCTCACTCTTTCAACCCTACCACCCCCCCCCAAAAAAAAAGAAGTAGCCCCTCCAACCGTGGACTCATTTGGTCACAAGTCTCGCCTTGCTTCCTGCTCCCTGGGGCTTCCAACGAGCCAATTGGAGTCAGCGAGTCAGCAACTCTGCAATCCATGCTGCACTTTTTCTGAAGCGAATCGAGCCAGAGTCATTACTGCTCCCTCGACCCTCAAACTTCCGAGAAAAAACAATGAACATTCGTGCCCCAAACATGCGGGGCGTCACATGTCTAAAGGGTATTTTGAGGGTCCAGGTTCTTGAATCAATGAAAAACTATCTGCGCCATTGTCAAAGCTCCTTGGGCCACAGTTCTGTGGTGGTTGATAACTCGAAAATTGGCACTGGAGATTTGACCATGGCGTGTCTCGCCGGCAATTGCAGCGTGCAAGGGACGGCTGATCTAAGCACTCGGCCAGCCCAGCAAACAGGACTTGCGCAACAGTCGCCGCGTCCAAATAGGAAGTCTCCATTTGCTTAATTCCCATGGAAAAAGTATACATAATTCCAGCAGTGATAGATTCCCTTTAAAACCACCAGGGGAAAATCAAAACATGCTCTTAACCAAATGGAAGGACATCTCGGGTTAGTTTCAACTGGTCTTGCGGAAATCTGGAGCTCCTCGCTTCTCGCAGCCAGTTTGCTCCATGCAGCAAACCCTCGCGGTGATCTCACCGCAATTAGGCCGCGCGTCGCTCCTGGCGTCGGCTCCGAATGGCTGTGGTTGTCAAAACCGTTTTGGGACCCCATTTTGGGTCAGGTGCGCCGATTTTAGAACCTATTTTTGTGGGGGATTGGGATGTTCACTGGGGGTACGGGATTTGACCCGTGGCCAAATTGCCTGGATCTGCCAACTGCACGTTTTTCCCGCTCGGAAGCAAAGGTGTCCGTATTCGTGAAAACCAAACTGTGCCCGCTTTCGCGAACTCGCTGATTCAAACATGTTAGGCGCGAAGTCGCGAAAAGGACCAGTTTCCTCAAGAATTGCCGTTTGGCCGGAAGCTTCTGCTTGGGGGTGGGAACAAACAAAAACATGCCAAACGAAGATCTAGGTGGGGGACGCTTGGCATTTTTAAACGGCACAAGGCAAAGGCCATACTTTGTGCAATCCCTCATGTCCCAAATGCAGACACGCGCACACACACCCACACAACACGCCGACGCATACAAACAGGGTAGCCCAAACCAGCATTGAGCATCATGCGGAACAGAACTGTCATCAACAGGAGCTACTGTTGGACGAAATCCTGCACAGTAGTAGTTGGCCTGTCCCAATATTCAAAGGGCTTCCGTTCTCCCAACTGGTTTGAAGTGGTCTTTGTCCATCCCCTGCGCGAAAGTTGTTGCATCCATTCGCAGTATTTAGCTTGCGGGTCATCGGGATGCAGGTTTCCCGGGTTTCCCCGCTGGAGGAGCTATGCAAGATGACGTTGCCGCACACTCCGAATGACAGCTGGAAAGAGGCGAACATCCGAATCATCTTTGAGGGAGCAAACTGCTCAAGCAAATCCTGGCCAAAGGAAGGTGCAAGTGGGAGTCAACAGGCACCAACCTTTGTCGATCTTTTTTGAATTGGCTGTGGGTCAAAAAAGGTATCCAAAATAGAACCCTGGTAATCGGAACCGAGGGCTAAAAGCTGCGGCTATTTGGACCCACACCCTATTGAAAGCTACAAACGGGGGAAAAAAGGAAGAAGAAAACAACAGAAACCATAATAAAACAAAAAACGAAGAAACACAAAGAACACAAAAAACACACACACAACGCTTCTACCTGCCTGTGCCTTCTGCTTCACCGCCTGCAGCTCGATGAGCCAGGCCCTGGGGAGTTAAGAGCTCTCCGCGTTCGGAGCCGGGCCCCGGTCAGAAACTTCACCATCCACCATCCACTTGAGGGGAAGTTCCAACCAAAACTCATAGCCACATTGGAAACTAGGTCCTCCAGAGAGCTTAGAACAAGGGTACGCGATGTTTGTTGTTTTCGTTTTTCGGTTTTGTCTATTCTAGTAGGGGAACCCTCCTAGTAAACTTGCTGATGGAAAGGGGAAATGAGGGAACGCCAAGAAGGCAAACAGTTTAAAAGGCAATGATGTGATACATGGATTTCCCTAACAACCTGTCATAAGTGGGACCAGTAATTACCTGGATCCTCAAAGCACCCTAGCTCTGGATGGATGAGGGGATGTTTGAATTAGGGACCCGTTGGTGGACATGATTCATGTCCACCAAGCACGTGTGGTTCCTTAATAAAACCACAACAACCAAAAAAAACAACATAGCCAGTACGGCAAGTACCTGCATCTTGGAGAACGATTGAAACTTCCAGCGAAATCCATGGCCTTGGCGGACTGTTGGGCCGGGAACCTTAGGGTTCCGTGTCAACAAACACACTGCGAATCTGGAGACGGGTTCTTCCATTTGGTTAAGACCCCTGGAACCAAAAAACCGAAAATTTCCAGTAGTAATAAATTCCCTTTAAAGCCAACAAGGGAAACTAACAAATATTTGTTTAAGCAAATGGAGGGGTTGGGTGAATTCGAATGAGGCACCAGGCCAGCTGATTCTGGGCGCTTTCCATGAGGTGAGCTTCCATTGGTTCTCGCATAAAAAACACATGGGAAACCAGCCGAACCACCAAACCACTACTCCAACCAATGATCCTGTCAAACTTGAGGCTGTCGGGTCGGCTGAACTGATGGCAAACATGTCCCCCATGAGTTGTTGTACTTTTTTGCAGAGTGGGCAAATCATCGTTCAAGAAGGCAAACAAAGTTCCAACCCAACAGCACGCAGTCGCCCAAAGGACCCAGACATACAACTTTGGGACCACGACGAAAAATGGACCAAGGGGACACCAAAAGGTCAAAAGCTCTGATTCAATACAGGGATCCTTACATTACACACCTGAACATTGCCTTGTAAATGGTGGTTTCCCTTTATTTTGGTGAAAACAGCCATGTTTCAAATGGACAAAATGTATCTTTTAAGGAGCCCTGTATTCAAGCACTGATCTAGAGGAACACATAGAGCTTGCCGGGCTGCTGGAGCAGGTCGGCCGTGGGGGCTGCCTTCGGATCAATTGGCGATCTTTTCGGGTGGCTGGATTGGGGGGGGGTGCGTGGTTTTGTGGAGGATATCCCTCAAACATGGCCCCTGAGAGGGCGGGGATTCCGAAGTTGAGGTTCCAGGTACCTCTCCCACAACATCTTAGTGAAAGGAAGGGCATTTTGCAGTTAGCAAAGGATAAGCACAAGTTTGTAGGGTTCAAACGCCTTGGACACATACCCAAACGCAACAATCCAAGGCCCGAAAATATCATTGATTCCCCAAAGTGCAGGTCCTACGTGCGGGAGAGCCCGTTTTCTCCCTTGAGATCCATATATCGGATTCGGCCACTTATCCCATATCTTGAGCGCCCAAGTGTCCCACTGAAGATTTTGAAGCACTCAGGTTGCAGTGCTACAAGATTCCGTGTTCTTGGCGACATCTCCAAGCAACCCAAAGAGTTGACTTTTGGCTTTCGTAGGGCTTCACAAGAACGCGACTACACCAAGTAGACCCCCTAATGGCCACTAAGTGCATCGAATCGACATGCCAAAAAGGGCTGGAAAGAACAACGCATAACCCCGTGTGTGGTCTCTTTCGGGAAATGCAACAATTCTGTACTAGTGCGAACTCAGGACGAATAAACCGCTGCTTGATTCATCGGGTGGCACAACTCAGTCAAGAGAAAATCCGGCTGACAAGGGGTACTTTTAAACCACATTTCGTGATGGTCGACCTGGGACCCCCATATGGCCTTTTGTTTTGTCATTCGCCTTTGACCGAGAAAAAAGATCCCCATGCGGATTTTTACGGCGTTGGTTCAACAACAATGTTGAAAACATCCGGGGTTCATACGGGTCATTTTCGCGAATGACTGAAAAAAGGGGCCATACGGGTGCCAGGAAGGCTCTACGAATGATGTTACCAATTACTTTGAGCCCCAAGAAGTGAGGAGCACTCCCATTGTTTTAATTGCAAGGAACCCTTGCCCTGTTCGTTCTGATTTCTTCTTCTGTTTTTTTTTTTTTTTTTTGGGGGGGGGGGGGGGGGGCGGCGTTTTTTTTCATGTTCTTTTATTTCTTTCTTTTTTTTGGGGGGGGGCAGGTTCATCTGGGTGTTTCTCATCGAGGAATATGTTCAGGTATGTGGGGTCTTTTTGGGTTTCCCTTAAAGACCCACGTGGTTTCCGGTTTCCATCAAAACCAAACAAGTGGCCCTATCTTGAGACACCCCCAGCAGGTTCAGTGCCGTCCGAGCTGCAAACTCCGTGGGCTGCGCGGGCCGGCCATCTATCGGCGGGGGCTGGATCACGAAGCGGTGCTTCATGCCTCGCATCCGTCAGCCGAAGCCGCGGAAAGGCGCCGAGTTTCTCGCGGAAAGCCATGGGATCTCTCTGCATACGTTTGCAGATTAGGTTTGGTTACAAGGTGGCCACCGCTGAGGGCCCGAACCACCCAAAAACACCTACCGTTAGAAAGGAAAGAAACAAGTGGATAAACATGAACTGATCCATGATCTTCAAGAAGTTGATGGACAAGATCCGGTTCAACATTGTTCAAACCGGCAACTGCCGAAGGTGATTGCCCTTGATCCAAAGTAAACCGGATGCGGCTGGTGGGCGTTGGGGGCGAACATCTGCGAACCCCACAAGCATGGCGAACATGTGCGAAGCGAACCGAAGCTTGCGAAGATTTGCAAAGGCAAAGAGGTACAACCACCAATTGAGGGCCAGCCAAGTCTGCGAATCCAGCACGATTCGGCGAACCCTTGGCGAACCGCTCACTAGGCGAACCGCACACGAATGCACCGTCAGTAAGACGTGGAGTAATTACTGGCCACATTGGTTTGGCCAGGCCGGGACTTTTTGTTGATTCCGCCCCGGGCTTTTATAGCTTTTTGGTTGGGTCACTCCTTTCTTGGGGTTTTGGGGGTCGGAAAAGCCTGAGTTGCGACAATCTGGCTGTGGCTCAAAAAGCCGGTACCAAAATGGAACCTTGGTAAGTGGAAACATGGACCAAAACCCGCGGTTTGCCCCTCCTGTTCAATTTTGAGCCACAGCCACCTGAAAAATCTAGCAGGGGGAACATGGAGTGTGCACCCTTTACATAGTGCGGAATCGTGGTCGTCTAAGCAAGCAAAGCAAAGCAAAGCAAAGCAAAGCAAAGCAAAGCAAGGTAATGCAAAGCAAGGTAATGCAAAGCCGACCGCGGCCACAAAGAGAAATATTGGGACCCTGGAGTATCTTTGAAACGATCGAGGTGCATGAGCTCTCTTCATCGGGCACAGTCCAGAAGCTCATCTCCGCCACGGTCTCGTTGCTCACGTACTGCAGCGCTTTGTTCCTAACGCCCGAACGCCGCGATCCAAATGGTGGGTCGAAATCCCGTACGCCCAGTGAACGTCAACCAATCTCCACTAAAATAGGTTCTAAAATGGGCGGTGAATTCACCTACCAACCAAAATGGGATCCCATTGGTTTTGACTCTTTTGACAACCACTGCCAAATGGGTTCTCCAAATGGTGTGGTTGTTGACAGGGCTCACTGGATCCCCCGTGCCTTAAGGGCTTAAGGGGTCTGGGGGTTTCCCCCAATTCTATTGATCCAGTCCCCATAAAAGGGAAAATGGAACCAGACACGGAAGTCCAGGGGTCAGCCCCCGTGCCCCGGGGGGATCTCACTGGATTTCCCCGAAGCTTCGACATTCACGGGTGGTCCAATGAAACGATCGCCGCTTTTGGAGGTTCCAAACAAACATGGTCGTTGCGGAACCCCTCTTGGAGGCTACCCTTTTCGGGGTCGTTCCTTTTTAAAAATCAAATTTAAGGGCACCGGTTTGCAGGTCTCGCCTGGGACGGACATGAAAGAAAAGGAGCTACCTGGATTCCTGGACTCCTGGGTTCCGGTTCCATCACCACCTGATAAAACTCGCAGGTGCGAGAGAAAACCATCCAACTGGTGGTTTCCTTTAAGGGGATCCCTGGGCTCATTCCCACCTTCCCCAGTGAGCACCAGCAAGATAAGTTTCCGGGCAAAGTCACTACGACGAACACATGGACATTGAGGCTTCGCCTCGTCCCGTGGTTTTTGTGGGAAACTTAGAGCTCATCCCCCATGTCCCGAACCCCGCCATGCCCTTTCACGCCTCCTTTCACGCCCCAAAACGGGAGACTCGTTGTTGACCTGCCTTTTGGCCCTCCGCGGCCTCGAAAATAAGTGGCTCCGAACTTCTTAGGCCCGGGCGAATGGGAAAACCACCCAGGACCAAAACCATTCCGGAACCCAAGGCACGAATTAAGGATTGCCTTTGAATAGAACAGCTTGAAGTTTGCAACGGCAAGCAATCATGAGGATCTGAGGTTCTGGTTAAACATCAACCCTCAAGTCCTCGGGTCGCCGCAAGGCAAAGGGATGTTTAAATCGGCGTTTCATCCCGGGTGTTGGGTTGAATGGATTTCCCCAGTTGTGTCAGGGATCCTATACACCTGAACATTGCAACTTGTAAATGGTGGTGTCCATTTCTTTATTTTGGTGGTGAAAAAGCAACATGTTTCAAATGGTTGCAAAATGGAGATCTTTTAAGGAGCCCCAGGTGTAAAAAGCGCGGAATTCTTCCTTGGCTTTAGGGCCAAGGGGCTCCGTCACGCTGTGGTAGCAAATGCCGCCTGCGGACGCTCGGGTTTGCTCTGCTTGAACCTTTGGGGCTGACGACACCTCGGCCATGTGACGCTTACAGCCAGGAAGGCAAAAAGCAGTGTCCGGATCCCAGTTTCTCCGGATCCCAGGAAGGCAATTGCCATGGTTTTTCTCTCCGGATCCCAGTTTCCTGGATGTGTTCCTAGTGTTGGATACTACATTGCATGATTTTTCTCCGGATCCCAGTTTCCTGATGTGTTTCTCATGTTGGATACTATATCTTGGATCCGTTTCACCAAGCACGCTGCCAGTCACCACAATTTTGGAAGACCGGTTTGGTGGTGGCTGGATCCAGATGTTCATCCACTGTTGAAACAGGGAGATATCGGTTGTCTCCAAATGAGATGACCTCATGGCGATTCCTTTTTGGTTGTAAAACCCCAAAAAGGGGCTCGCCCTGCTTGAGCCAGGCATATAACATCACTTAGGCATAACATGTTGCCTGTCGCAGGGCTTACATCTTAAATAGATTCTACACGTTTTGACGAGGCCCCTTTATGTTTCTTTGAGCTCCGAACCTTACTTGGCAGAGCGTACTAAGTGATCTCCCTTGGGCGATTTGGGGCCGTACAGCGGGGGTCTTGGCTCTGCTACCTTTGTTGGCCATCCTTCGTGAACAGCTGGCAACCCTGTCAAGGGCGGCACAATACGTTGTCGAGCGCTCAACACTTGTTTGTTGGCCCACATTTCGGGCACGCGGAGAATGATATGTTCAGATCATGTTTCATGCTGTGGATGGACGAAACCTGGCACCTAAGAAACCCTGGAATGACGATTCCCCAGCAGGATTTCGTCCATCCACAGTATTTAGCCTCACCCTTAAAAGTGTAACATCATTTTGGAGCCAGGTTTGGTGCTGAAGCGAGGGACTGCCCCGAAAGGTTGTGTCTCAGAGCTGAAACTCAACATCACAAAGGAGACCCAATCAACTTTGGTAAACTCATCTGATAGCTATTGCCCCTACCCAAAAGAAATGGTGAGTGGATAAATAATGGTTCTCTCCAAAAAGCTAAAGATTGGATATCCAGGTCAGTAGCATTCAGAATACTTCACGCCCCGGTGAAACTGGCTGCGTTTCTGCCCAACGCTGGGAGACGCGGCTTCGCCTGCGTTGCTGACCCAGTACATGCGCGTCAACCAGGACTCCTGGCTGGACCCGAAGCCCAAGTACTTCAAAAAGCCACTGAAACATCCCGTTGGGCCACTGAATCGAACAAGTCGGACCCCCCCCCCTAAAAAAAAGACAAAGAAATCGTGGGGTCCCTTTGGCTCCCTTTCAATCCATCCTCGAAAAGGCTACACGCAAAATGGCACAACCTACATCCAATACGCGCGTCAAGCCCTGACCAGGAAATGGGGTAGAAAGAACAAGTTTTCAACATGTAGTACCCTCCAAAAAAAGTCTTCGGAATAGGGGTCCATTTAGAATCTAACCCATGAGGCAGAGAGCCTGTTGTCTTGGTTGACGTTGGAAGGGGAGCAACAATTTAAATTTTAGTAGTTAAGTGGGGAGTTCTGATTAAACCACAATAAGCAAAAATGTAACATGTTTCCCAACAACAACCATGTAATAGCAGCGCTAGCCACGGGGAGCAACCAGTCGACCAGTAGCAAAAGTGTGCTGCAGGAACACCAGTTTATACACTCCTTAAACTGCAGATAATCATCCGGAAAGCCCCCCCGCAACTAGTCATGGTTGCGGCCATGGCTCCCGAAGGCATCGGTTGTCTAAATTCCTGGGTGAAGAGGTTGAAGACCATCCCGATCCAACTCCAAGGAAACGTATCCTTTGATCCGTGCTCCCTCAGTACCCTTTGCTCTGATTGTCTAAATATCATTAAGAATGACCACCCCCTACTAGACCGAAAATACAGGGGTCGCTTGATGAATGCTCATATACCCTCAAATGTAAAGAATCAACAGGACGGATACCCACACCTGTTTGTGGCTGCGGCTGTGTCCTGCCAACATTCAACCCGGGTTTTGCTTGTGGCTCAGGTAGTCTTGCTTGCAAATCAGAGGAGCCATACTGTGGATGGACAAAATCCATTTCGCACTACTTGGAAATCATGGTTGAAATCGTTGCTAGTTGGCATTTACAAAGAAACCATCCTTTTAGGGTTTGCCAGGCGGTGCGAAATGGATTTCGCAACAATCCACAGAAATATGCTGAGACGGTGCCACGCGTTCGCCCGCGTTTTCTTTTGCGTCCTGTCTGCCGGCATCCGCGTCAGGAAGACGCTTGAAGAGCCTGGCGGTGGTTTCCCTCAGGGGGAAGGAGCACGCCCTCCGGCGAATTTCAGGAAAGCAACAGGGGCGCCCGCTTGCGTTGATTACCCAAAACAAGAGGAGGACACCTCTGTGTAGTATATCCCTCTGAACAAAAACATGACCCTACCAAAGCAAAAGTCATTTGCCCAAAGGTGACGTCTCTGAATCTTGAGGAAGTTGAATGCACGAATAGGACCCCGACTACTAGTGAACCCATGAAGCGGTACCCGATTCCCAGAATATGCAATAAGCCCAAAGCGTGAAAGGTCAAATAATCAAGGAAACCCCTACTGTCATCTATGAAAAAAGGGAGGGTCCATGAGCCAAAGCGTGCGAATCATGGAAGCTGGCTCGCAGAATGCTCCAGAAAAACTGAATGGGCTCCAAACAGGTAACATGCCGAATGTTCTTTGTTGAGTACTCAGATGCTGTGGATTTCCAGGGAAAAATGGCATTCTATTTTTTTGGTTGGTTGAGTTTAAAGGGAACCCTTTCCAAAAACAAATGGAAACACGGGCACCACTAACTGGGTGTCTGTTAAAAACAATAAACCAAACCTTCGGCAAATGCTCAGCACGAAAGACGAGGCGCCAGCCACACAAGAATGTCCCAAGCCAACGACTGGCCTCGCCAGTTTCCCCTCAGTCCAAAATCGGGATATCTCACTGGCCACACCACATCACATGATGGAAATCACCGACCGCCAAGTTCAAGCAAGTGTTCCTTTTACCTCTTGAGTTGCAAGACAATCAACTGGGGGAGGTTAGGGCAACCACAAAAAGCGCCGACCTTTGTTTTTTGCCAACCTTCTGCAGCTCCTGATTTCTTTGAGTCTGGACGCTTTCGCCCAACCGGGCCTTGTCTGGAACAAGGGCGCGTTGGCATCCTGCCGGATGCATCGTCATGCAACTAGAGTCAAACCAAACCTCAGCTTTTGCCCGCGACGCGTTTCATTTGTAGATTCTGGTCCGTACTCAGTGAACCTCAAAAACAACAGATCAAAAATGGCCAAGTGCAACCTGATTGGTCTTGACTAAAATGAAGGAACCTAGCAACAACAAGTCTTAAGTGCGCCAACTAAACGCATTTTGCTGCAGACAGAAAAGTGGCTTCAGAGTGGAAAAAAAAACATAGTGGCAACAAGCCAGGCATCCGACTGGCATGTTGGTACAGTAAAACATGAAACCACCCAAGAAAGGATCCCCGCACATCTAGTACATCCCTGAAAAAGGGAAGGAGATCACTGAAGGTCTGGGAACATGTCAGGAAGTGAAGCAACTCTGGCTGCAGAAAGCCGGCACATAAATCTGTCTTTTCTTAGGCTACCCCCCTTTTTTGGGTGGTTTTTTCAAGGGACACCAGCAGGATTGTTGCGCTCCCCTATTTTGAGACAGCCCCAAGTCTCTATCTAAGCCCGAGCCATGCGCCGGAGGCAATGCCCGTGTCTGCTGTGTCAACCAGCTGTGCCCGTCTTTTTGTTGAGGCTTAGCGGCTTACCCGTTTCACCATTCAAGGTACACCAAAAGGAACACCACCAGCTTTGGAGTTACCTTCATACCCCTTCACTCCTTCATAACCGGAGAAAAAAAAGAAACAAAAAGCAAAAGCAACAAAGCCAAAAAAACAACAGCAACAACTTTGACACAGACCCAGTTTGGACCTTGCAGGAAAGACCCAAGCGCCAGGCGACGGGAACTCATGAAGACCTGGGCAAGCCTTCGGGGCGTTCAAGCCTTCGGTGTCTCCGGCCCTGCGCTTTTGTCTCGATTTGGCCAAGGGCCAAAATCCAAATCGGATTTAGCCCCCGGTGGTTACATCCGATTCAATCCAACCACTCAAATAGGAAGCCTAAATGGGTGGTGAATTCACCTACCAAAATGGTACTATTCGTTTTGACAACCACAGCCATTTGGGAGGCCGGCCTTGGGGTTGGTTGCAACGGAACCACAAGGAAACCATGAACTGAGATGGTTTTGGGTCCCGCCTTCAGAAGATTCCAACAGCCCACCTGAACCCCGCCCCCCACCCAACCAATGAGAAAACTGGGGACTCAATCTTTTAGTAAGTCTTGCAGGTTCTCATGCAAGAAGCCATGACAACATGTCACACTGAAAACAACTTGGGCTTAGCCAATCAAACAAATAGCATCAAGAAAAAACAACGCTTTTGTAGAACATTTCTATGTGGGTCTGCAGGTTTAGGTCATGAACCATTTCTGGGTTTAAGTCGTACCCTGCATGTCTAGGGCCACGTTGCCCATTCTTTCCAGGGATCCTTCTTTTCAGGAAACCGTCAAAAACCCTGGGGAAACAGCGATCGGTTTTTAAGAAAAGAACGATGGCTGAAAAGAAACGGAAAAGGAATCAACCCCTAGACATTTTGCGTCCCCCGAAGTGGTTCTTCTTTTTACTTTCCCAAGCCAACCTGACAAGGGTCCCTTCGAAAAGAAGAAAAAAACAAATCAGGGTGGGACGTCTAAGTCGCCTTCCCACGGCTCGGTCCTTGAAGGGATCGATGGCTTCCCGGCGCTCGCGGCTCTGGAACTTCCGCAACTCCTGGGATCGCGGAGCGAAACGCCGCCCGCGGGGGGCGCGGTCGTTCTTTGGAGGGTACCAAAACCGGTTTCAGGGCACCCCGCGTTTTGCAGGGTACCCCAGATCTGTCCTATTTGAGGGGGTGCCGGCACCCCCATTTTTGGTGGGAAAATGGAGGAAACCACCATTGTTGGGCGGACCCCTAGAAAAAGGACAGATATGGGAGTGTGGCTGAAAGGGGACCGCAGGATGTCTACTTGCGCCCTTTTCAGGTGGGCCTTAGGGAAACCAAAAGGAGACAATTAATTAATTTCTGCAGGGATCCAGTTTTGAGTTGCCAGGAAGACGTCAACTCAGACACCAAAGGAATGATACCAGGCAAACTACACTTCAACCCAGTGGTTTGTTTCCACAAAAGGGAAGACCAATTCCTGGGCTCAAGTCTATCCTGGAGAAAGCTACAAGGGGAACCCGAGGGTTTGCGACACTTCCCCTCAAAGGGCTAAAGAACTTCAGCGAGTTCTTCCTCTCCGCGCGTCCCAAAATTGTAAGTTTGACCGAAGCTAAGCAAACTCGGCGACTCGACCATCGAATCAGGTTGCTTGACTCTTCGCCATCCCGCCTTAAATTTCTTCGAGCGGTTCATTTTGGCAGAGACAAACCCTACACTGAGTCATGGTCGTGGAAAAGTGGTTTTAGGATCCATGTTGCGGTGTCCGCAAACCCATTTGGAGTTCTATCTGCTTTGAATGATGTAAAACGGATCGACCCGATGGCCACTCCGGGCTCGGATTCGGTTGCTCCACCCATCGAAGCGTTGCTCTCTTCTTTCAGGCGATGGGCAGATCGAAAGCTCTCGGATCAATTTGTTGACCGCGTATAAACACCCCCGTCCTACTGTGGTTGGACGAAACCCTGCACCACCAACGAAACTTTCGTTTCTATGATTCCCCGACGTAAATACCAACAAACGTCATGGTTTCAAACATGGTTTCAACCATGGTTTCATTTCGTGGTGCGAAATTGACCTCGTTCATCCACAGTATCTAGGTTCTCCAGTAGAGAGGTTAGAATAAGTTGGTACCAACCTTTTTTTCGGTTTTGTCTATTTTAGTAGGGAAGCCTCCCAAGAAAAAAAGGGCGAGAAAGGGCATTACTGGGGGACCTAGGTATTAACTGGGACGGTTCCTCAAAAGGAACGAACCTCCTATATAGGGCCCACCGTGCCACCCCGCCCAATAGCCTCCCGGCAGACCGGGCCCCAGCTTCCTCGAGGGGCGTTTGGTATTCCATCAAATATGACTAGACACCAACCAACATGCAGCTGTGTTCGTCGGATTTGACTCAAAACAAGTAACACATCGGGTGGTTTGGTCTTTTCTCTCAAAAAAACAAACACAAAACACTCGGGGAAAACCAAAAAACTAAAACACATCAGGTGCTTTGGGCTTTTTACTCAAACAACTAAAAACAAAAACACATCAGGGTTTTGGGTTTTTTCGTTAAACAAAGAACACATCAGGGGTGTTGAGTTTCTTCTACAAAAGAACAAAGAACAACATGATAATGATAATAATAATAACAAATATAATAACAACAATAATACTGGTAATACAAACAAAAAACAAAACAAACAACAACGACAAAAACAAGACAAAAACAAAAAAACACCAACCTGGCCGAGCACCAAAACCACCAAGCGGACCTCGGCTGCAAAAAGGCGCCCCGCCCCCCGCCTCGGCGAGCGCCAGCTGGGAGTCCACGTCGTTGCCCCGGTCCGGGGGCGACACCAAGTCTTCGCGGCCCATGGGCGCGGCCTCGAGCGGAAACGCGGCCCGTCGGCCCGTCGTTTCTGGTTGGGGGGATGAACCAAACATGGCAATGACTGAACAAAGGGGCTTGAACCCAAAATATGTTCTGGGTGCTTGGGGGCGGAGGGGGGAAGGAAGCTCACCAAGACTGGTGGTATTGAGCCATGGGAACCTGCTGAAAAGACATGGCTTCGGGAACAGTCGGTGTCCCTGGCAGGGGTCCCATGAATTTTAATCAGGGAAGCACCTGGTGGCTTTAGGAAGGATCCCCCTCTATCACAAGGGTGGGGGGTGGGGTCCCCAAGTCCGTTCATCTAGTCTTCCCCATAAGGGAAAAATCGAACTAGACATTGAATTCTAGGCCTCAGCTCCCTTCCCCAAGTCCATTCTTAAGTGGGTGGAAATGAAGGAAAGAAAACGAGGCTACCTCCACAATTGTCGGGCACCCCTTTGAGATAAACTCAATCTTTAGCCCGACTTTGGGGTACACCGAACATCAGATGTTCAGGTTTCAGCCCTTTTCCTCACTTCCCAATTTGACTGGCCAAAAAAAGTTTGAACTTTTTATTTACCACTAAAATGGTCTTTCCAAAAAGTTTAAAGTCCACCAACTCAGGAAGTGAGTTTCGGTTAACCATATTTGTGTCACATATCTGTAACAAGACCTCAGAATCCCGGGCGATAAAAAAGTCCGCGCGCCTGGTGGTCTGGCTCGTGCAAGAAGGGCGACTCCTTGGCGACTTTTGTGGGACATAACCTCTCTGTTGCGAAGTGGGCCATCCCCATGACTACAAAAACCATTTTCAAGCTGAGTCCCATAGTATCGATTCTCCACCAATCTAATCCTAGAACCTAGCTACGCGAAGTTCTGCAGAACGACGTTAGCCAAGCAAAAGCGTACACACACACGCACTTCAAAACAGGGCTTTGGCAAACTTCCTCAAACATTGCCTATAGCTGGTCGCTTCGATCAATACGGGCTTGGCATGTACCCGCGAAATGGTGCCCCTGAAGTATACAAAGGCAACCACAAGAGATGAACATGGTTGTGGAGAATAAATGTGTGTGTGTGATACCAATATGTACCATTCTGATCACTTTTGCTATATGTTCAAGGAAATTCCCGGACCGAAGTGGCCCTCAACCCTATTTCCCACAACCATGTACATGATAAGCTGTACTTGCCAATACCATCCTACCTCAAGAGCACATGGTTGGGCCCGGTGCACGCCTAAAGCTTGGGTGTTTCGCTTTTTTAGGAGACCCACTATTTTGTGACCTTGTTCTTGTGGTTTCCCGGGTATCTTAACAACAAAAGCACACACCCATTTATTTCGCGAACAACCTTGAAATATCAAATATGTATTTGAGGAGACCCCAGAAAACATGGGGTTGGAGCGTCAGGCCACTTCTAGGTGAGGTGCGCCAAAAACTAAGGGCGGATGACAAAAGAGCTACGGACCTCCTTCTGTGACAAACTCCACTTTGCACCAGTTGGAAAAACAACAACAAGGAGGTGGTGTATCCCATCAATTGAATCAATGGGGTTTCATCCCAACCTCCCAACCCGTGAGTCGTGGAGCAAGTCCACTTCTCATCTTGGTTTAACCGGATAGCAAAAGGAAGACCACCGCGTACTAGGGTAAACCCCCCCGAATCACACATGCCCGTGGCTCAAATAAATGTACCAACATGGCACCTTGGTAAATGGAACCAAAGACTAAAACCTGCGAAAACGCCCAGCTCTTTCATGTTGAGCCACACCCACCTTGGAGGCAAGAGCTCCGTGTTTCTGGGGGCCGGCGGTCCCGGGCCTAAGGGCCGTGCGCCTCTACCTTCCTTCCGCCCCGCGTTCCCGGCATGGCCGGATCTTGCGCCCGAGCATCCGAGACGAGCTTGGTGGGCAGATGGTTGTAGCCCTTCAGGAAGTCGCCAAAGGTGACTCTGCCTGGTGACCCTCCCTCGCATGGCGACTGAGAAAACTCCCCTCAAAAGGAAACCAATCTTCCAGGTACCTCCCCACAGGTACCCATGCGATTTTTATAAGAAGGGTAGGCTTCCTCGTAACATGGCACCTGGAGGGTACGTGGAAGAACACTTTCCTTCTTGGAAGGAGGTCCCTGTCAGGTGCAATGTTAGTGGGAGAGAGGGTACGGCCAAAGCCTTTCGGGGGTGTCCTTTCCGGTAGAAAGGCTTAGAGCCCTGCCGCAGGGTGGACTCGGTTGGACTTGAAGGCCAGCCATAATCGAGTTTTGGGGGGAAAAACAAGACCCAAGTGCCAAGGACGGATTAAAGGAGGTGGTGCCTACCAATTGGTTGGTTTTTGCCAAGTTGGGGCGCCTGACTTTCCGGGATTCGAACCCCCGAGGGCCCCGGAACCCACACCGCCCCTCAGGTTCTGCTTTTGCTGGGTCTAATTCCATTCTTCGGCAATTGGCAGGGGCCCTGCCAGCCAGAAAAACCTCCGGAAACCCAGGAAAACGGCTGTTTTTTTGAAAATAACGATGGTTGAAAAGAATGGAAAAGGAATCAACCCCTAGATTTTTGCCAGGTGCTTAACGACACATCGAAGAACACCAAGGGCAACTCATAGGCGATTGAATCGCATCAAGTGAGCTGCGCAGGGAGCCCTGACAAAAAGGTTAGCCTTTTGGGCTTGTGACCAATGGACCAAAATAGGAAAACAAAAAGGTGTACAACTGAGCGCTGCATATTGCAAGTTCAGAGAAAAGGGGCACCATCGAAATTTCAGAGAAGTTCAGCATGCTTGTGTGGAGGAGTATGGTTAGTTTTGCGCGCAATAACCCAATATTTAGAACACCCGCTGCACCCAACTGCTCCTGCAGCCCCTGGCATACCTTGCACAAAGCGCAATCTAGGATCCAATGCCGCTTTCAAAGCGCTGGCCCGTTCAAAAGTTCTGGGGGCAAACCACGTGCCCCTGTGCAGGTACCCCTGGCATCCCACTGGAAAAGATGGCTATCTACCATGTATGTGCCCATACCTAGCCAGGGGTACATGGTTGGGACCTTGAAAAAATGAGGGGATCCCTCATCCCAATCCGTATCAATGCAACAAAGGACTTATCATGTGGCCAAATTCCTAAGGATTGAGTTCTTCAAGTTGGCTCCCACTACCCTCAAGCCACCCCCAGCAGAAAATGGGGTACCCTTTACATAGTCGCTTCTTGGGAGTGGAACCCATGCAACTATGGAGTTTTAGGGTAAGGTGGAAACCCTCGATCAAACCCAGAAAGAAGGGAAACTCCCGAACTGGAACATGTTTAGGTGTCAACAACTTGTTCCCCAAATGGAACAAATTGGAAAAGGTCCCCTGGTGATGTAATTTGGACCCATACCCATGTTGAAAATGGACCTAGTCCTGTCCACTTCTCAGAGAAATCTGGGCTGCCCTCAGATCCCCGGCTAAAAGTTTAATTTTTATTGGGTTAAATGGAAACTTCCACTAAACACTAAAAGCCTAAAAGGCTAAGGGGACGACAGGGCCACCAAGAAATAACTGAAAAAACACGCTTTTCGGGGCCGCGCCAAGGCGCCATCTTTGTCCACATCCAAGTGCTCCATCAGTTCCCGCGCCAACTCCTGCCTGCCATCGAACGAGGTGTCGTAAGGATCCGCCGAAAAATCGCTGCAAACGTGTGTGGAAGAGCATCATGTTGAGCCCTGTTAGTCGTGGAATAGCATACTGTAGTTGGTTGACCCCTGTTTGCTTCTCCCCCCATTTTTCATCATGGGTGGGGGGGCACAAGGCTTCCCCAGTAAAAAGGGACGCCTTAATAATATGTGGGGGGGTATGTGAGGGTATATTCATGAGGGGTCTTCATTACAGTAGATGAACAAAAAGCTGGATGGTTGAACCCCAAAGCAAAGTCCCACTCTATACGAATGGATGAAAGAAAAAACCAACCGGAAGAACCGGCGTTGCAAAAAGGAAAATGAGGTCAGAGCAGGGTTCGACCGTTCCCTCAACTATAGCATCACCCCAAAAAGATACTGACCAAATGAAACGGCCTGTCTAAAAATTAGAAGTGCCTCAAAAAAGGCGACTTGAGATTCGCAATTGCATTCCCAAGTACCTTCTTGGAGCAGACACAGTCTGAATCAGTCGCACGGCTTATGACTGAGGCATCATACTTTGTCGTGGTGATAGCTTCTAGGTCCTGAAGTAGAGAGGTTAGAATAAGGATACCCTTATTTTCTGTAGTCTATTTTAGTAGGGGAACCCTCCCCCAAAAAAGAGTGAGAAAGGGCACCTAGCTGGGGGACCTAGGCTTTTTACACCAAGTGTTCTCTTTAGGTGTCCCTCGAAACCAAAAAACAAACCTCTGCGTTCCGTAAAACAAAGTCAATCCATAACTTTGCAAATTACCGTGGATTGACAGAAACCTACAGAATCCAAACGGTAGGTGGTTCATCCCAGGTCTTCAAACCAGGTTTCATCCATCCTAGTGGCATGAATTTGAGGGCGAAGGGCTTCCAGCGTTGTCCCAGGCCAGGGGAGCGCCATTCGCGGTTTCCTCCCTTTTGCCCGTGGAACAAAAAAATGAGCGACCTCCCCAAGAAAAGGAGTCTCACGATTTTGTTTGCACCGGGTTTGCCTGCGTCTTCCATGTCAAACCAGTGGCCCAGTATTCAAGACCCTGAGCACAAGCTCGACGTGTCGGTGCCCTTTTGCATTGGATAGATTCGCTTTTTGTCCAGTGAGTGCGAGATGGTTGAAACTGGGCCTCTCACTTTGGGGAGTGCTCGAATTTCTTCGGCTGGTCTGCGATTCAGCCTCCATTTAGACTTTGGACTGCATGTTGGATCACTTGGTGGACCCAGTTACAAGGGTGGTTGGGGCAGAGACTGAAAGGTATCGCCAGCATCCGCGAATCTGAGGTGACACTGAATGGCTCGAAGATCACATAACGAAGCTTATTTCAAACTCACTTCCTGAATTGCTTGGCCAAGTCCAAACTCAAACTGTTTGCCACCGGTTTTGGGTGTTCCCAAAAAGTCGAAAGTCCGTGAACTCAATGAGCAAATGGCAACCCAAAAGGTGGCATTGAGAAAGGTTCCCTGCATGTCCCTTTCAACATCGCCAACCAAGAGTTCTGACCTCTATGGTTTAAACCATCCCTAGGTTTGCAGTGGAGAGGTTAGAATAAGGGTACCCATTTCTCTGTAGTCTATTTGAGTAGGGGATTTTTGTTTAACCAAAAAGGGGTGAGAGGTCGGGCAACCTTTCGCTGGGGGACCTTGCTCCCCAGCCACGGCTTCTCGCCTGTGGTGGCCCACCTTGTTGCCGGCCCTCAGTCGAAACCGTCGGTGTTTACTCCCGAAGAGAAAACCTGACATCCCCCCACGCCCAACGGCTGCCTTTTGGACTCACTTTGGGGTTTTGGACAGGGAGCAAGTAATCGTTGGAGGATGCTGGAGGCACCTCCTTCGGGCCTTATGTTGATTTGCAGGAAGTAAACATGAGTTGCTCCCGTTCGGCACGCTGGCACCAAAAACAACTGCCTGAGAGGAAGGAAAACCAAAGGAAATTGCCGACACCTCTACTCAAACCCGTTTGGATCATCCAAGAATGCCTCGAAGAAACCCTCTAAAAGGGTGGGAAACAGGAACCTGAGGGATGCGGAACGAAGACAACCACGGGGAATCAACCTATCAAAAGTGCGAGTCATCTGAGAAAGGTCCCTCAGGCCCCTGCCAAAAGGGAAACCATATCCCCACCTTAATGGGGAGGGTGCGGAGTCTCCAATTCCATTTATCTAGTCTTCCCCACAACAGTGGAAAATGGAGCTACACATGGAATTCATTTTTTTTGAGGGGGGCGGGGATAAAACCGTGATCAAAGTGGCCCGTGTTCAAATCACAGAGGAATATTTCAGAAGCCTGTCGCAGCACTTTTCGGGGTGCGATCCAATTAATGGGACACCAACCTTGGCACCCCAAGTGTGGCGAGCCGATTGAACACAAAGATATACAGTAATACTGTGGATGGACGAAATCCTCTTAGGCACCACTTGGAAACCATGGTTGAAACCATTGTTTGTTGGTATTTACAGGGGAACCATCAGAAACCAGGGCTTCTTAAGTGGTGCGTTGGATGGATTTCGCAACCATCCACAGTATTTTAAGAACTTCTTGCTCAATTGTCAACTCCAAACCTCGGATTATCTTGTATTTTATTTGCAATCTCTACAACTCTTGGTAGCAACAGACTTGTTTTTTTTGCAGCCCCCAACTAAAAATGAATAGAAACAACAAACTAAAATCCAAGAAACACATGCCAAGAACAGTGAAGGAAATCATTTTAGTCAAGGGCAAAGATGTAAGATGTCACCAAACAGCGGTCCAGTTGTGGGCTCCTCTCATTCACAAACTCCAGTCGATTGAAGGAAGGGGGTTCAAAGTTCAACTCACCAAAACGTAAGTTGGATTGCGCCCAAAATGGGACACCCCTATATTTATACATTAATCAAGTTGTAAATCCTGGACCACAATGACAGTTTCCTCTTATATATATATATATATATGGTGCCATCCTTTCCAGATTCTGCTCATTCCCCACAGAAAAAAAAAGTGTTCGTTTTTTTTTTTTGGGGGGGGGGGGGAAAGGTAGCATATATATTATATATATGTCACGGAGTGAGTCACCCGTTGTCTTTTTCCTTTCCGAGCGAGGATGGGTGGGGATAGGTGGCCGGGCATTTCGAAGAGTCCCTCCAACTCCGCAAGGTTCAGAATCCCGTTCTTGTCCACGTCCAGTGTGTCGAAGAGGCCTCAATCCGCCGAATCGATTCGCCGAATCATCCGTGAGGTCAGACAGGAATATGCGAAGGATACCCCCCTTTGCCGGAAGTTTTTAAAGGGAAACCACGAGGAAAACCGGAATCCATGTTTGGGGGTTGTCTCCTAAACAAACACTACACACTCATGTACCCTCTACAAGAACCAGGGCAATCTGTTCAAATCTCTCCAACTAAGGGTTGTCTGTTGCTTCCAGCACAATCAAACTGGGTCCATCAACGATCCTCGAACATTGTCCAAATGGTGGTCGAACGGGAAACTGCCGCGGAAGTTAAACTTGGATAACCCCTCCACATGCACCCACTTTAAGGGTGAACTCGAAACTCACAGAAATTGGCAGACCACATGGATGTGCTTGTTTACAATAAAATAGTTCATTTATTGCAAAATGGTTGGCAATAACAAGGGGAAAACAACAGGCTAGCCTTCGGCACCCAAATGACCATGGGTAACTTTTCCCATGTGGAAATATCATCCTTTAACCTTTAGGTCAACCCCCATATACTCTGAAAGACTGGCGAATCCATGGTTGATGTTCATCTTACCAGGGTTTCATAACAACCACCACCCAAGACGGGCTTTACAAGCAGTCCCATCCAAATCAGCTTATCACGGACCTTTGGATCAACCGAGGGGCCATTACCATTAAAACAAAATAATTTCCTTATTCAGCACCACCATGGTCTTCCCAAAACGTTTAAAGTCCAGGAACTCAATCAGAGTGAGTTCCCCAATGAGTCATTCTTCCTGGCTTCCAAATTACCATGCCCATGGGTAACTTTTCCCATGGGAAAAAATATATTATCTTGGCGTGGTTTACCTGGTCATCCCATGTATCACAAACCTTTGGATTACCAACCTGTTTTCCGGACCTTAGGACCGGACCGGATCAACCCAGGATCTCGAGACATGTGGCTCAACAAACCGGGTAACCTCAAAATGCCTTGCCCTGGTAAAAACAGAATGGACTTCAAAACCTGCGGTTTGCCCCGATCGTTTCATTTTGAGCCACACCCATCGGGGAAAAATCGAAAAAAATCGACTTCGAGGGGCGCTTGGCTTGCTTCTCCAGTTCCTGCTTCAGCAGGTTCACGGCCCGGAAGTGTGCGCCCCGCTGACCCATGTCGTCCTGATCAACTCACCGAAGGGTTTACAAACTGGGCTGCCCGTTTTCAGATCCCTTTCACTATTAGTGGGTTAAATGGAAACTGCCACTAAACACTAAAAGGCTAAAAGGCTAAGGAACCGGATGGCTGGGGGCCACCAAGCAAACTGAAGTCCTGAAAAGGGAGATTGATTTTAGGGGAAGCTCATGAATTTATGGATTCGTAAGGTAAATTGAAATCCGAATTGAGCAAGAATCTAGAATCGATGGTCTAATCTGATGGGTCATGCCTAGGATACATTCCAAAACCATCTACTTGAGGATTTGGATCAGCTGGTAGTTGGTATTTTATGCTTTTTTGCTGGCTGGTATCCTGTTTCGGGATGGCTTGGGCTTTCCGGTGGGTTCGGAAAGCCCACCTGGGTGGCTCGTCTTCTGTAGCTTGGGACTCCCCAAACTGGCGTCAAACGAGTAGTACCCTTCGCAAACAAAGACGAGGCGGCATGTTCTTTAGACAACCTTCCCTTTGTTCTCCTGGCCCTACCCTGGCGCTAAGGAGCTTTGTGAAGGTAAACGGGGGTTTTGTTTGAGGCCTGCTGTGGCAAGTAACCAGAACTCTGAATTTATTGTTCAAACCTACTCAGAATTGTCGTTAACCATGAATTAATTGAAGTCTGAATTTAAGCCCTGGCTTACCGAACAATTGGAGGTCCGATCTTGGATCCAAATCCCTCTCAATCCCTCCGAACAAGGATTACTGTAAGGATAGCAGTACGGTGTCTTGCGCACCCATATTCCCTTCGGCTCCCAACTGAGCATGGGTAGCTTCTCCCGCTTGTTTTTTGTGGTTTTCCAAGAAATGGTCGGCCTTTGTAAGTTGACCTTTCGATCAACCCGCACAAAACACCCAAAGACCGGCGAATCAAGACCGCCTATACAAGGATTCCCATCCAAGTCGGTCGCTGGCATTTGGGTGGCAAGGCAGTGGCCCAAATCAGATCCCAAAAAGCTTCACCAAGCGAGTGCTCTGAGCTTGGCCTAACCTCAACAACAGCGGCGAGCTTGACGACCTCTCAAACTGATACGTTAGGCCCGGTTCTGGGACGCCGCTTGAGCCAGCCGGGGAACCAACCAAAAGAGGAGGTTTGCCGCCTTGCCCTTGTCGACGTTTAGATGTGTAGAGTTTCGAGGACTGGGCATATCACGCAAGTGTAAACTTTGGGAGGCTCAACGACTAAGGCAAACATCTGCGCCGCATATCATTCACCAGTGGAAATCGTGTATGTTTCCAAAAGGACACCTAGGCTTGAGGCACAATTCAGCCCCCGGTAAATGTCTAGGTCCTCCAGTAGAGAGGTTAGAATAAGGGTACCAACTTTTTCTGTAGTCTATGTTAGTAGGGGAACCCTCCCCCGAAAAGTGTTTCCGCGTTCTGGAGAACTTTTGAATCACTCCAAGACTTGCGTCTGCCGTGAGACGGTCCCTTTGGCTTAAGGGAGCCGCAATGAACACCCGGCTAGTGCCCTTTCTCACCCTTTTTTGGGAGTCATTCCAATGATTCTGGATGTGTGGAAACGGCAGCCCGCGGTGTCAAGCAGCAATTCAGATTGACAGGGGACCCTCTAAACGCGTGCTCAGTTTCTTTCCCTTTTCACATACACGGCAATCTTAACATACGATCCCCACCCAAATGGCAACGGTTTCCTGTTGATCTCCCTAACCAACCCAAAAAGGGTACCACCAAAAAAAGAGATACCCTTCCCCCCACTAACATAGCACGTGCTTGGAAGGGTACCTGAAAGATCAATTTCGTCTTGACCGGGTCCCTGTCAGGTGCCATATGGCTGTGGGTTACAAAATGACCCAAAATGGAACCCTGAGAAATGGAACCCAAGACAACCTGCAGTCAAATTCCTGGCGGGTCTATTTTGGCCCAGACCCAGATCCTGAAGACTTGCTTGAGCATTCCGCCCTATCGTTCCAGAAGCCAAAGGCTGAACGCCGACCGTATTTTCCTACCGAAGGGTGATGTCAAGGAACCCTGCCGGACCCCAAATGCAACGCCGACTCTGGGCATCCCCGGCGCTGTTCACGATGAAGAGAGGCACTCGGAGCAGCACCGGCGTGAGGCGCCCTGCGGAGTTTCATGACAGTCGCTTGAAAGGCCAAGCCGGGAGATCCATGGGGAAAAATGAAAATCATGGGGGCTGGGGAAAAGGGAGGGGAGGGGGAGGGAGCCCAAATGAGCCCTGAATGAGGCCTTAAGGGCTTGATAAGGCCTTATTTGGGGCCCTCAGCCCCCATGAAAAAAGAGAAGAACAAAAACACTCTCCGGACATCCAAGATCATCTTGAAAAAAGAAGCATCGCTTGAGCTTTCTCCATCCCCCCGAACTTACCCAGAATCTCTCAGAAAAAATCTAAGAGCGAAAAGTTTAAACGCTTCTTGGAAGTCTTGAGTTTTCTTGTGAGGTCGCTTCAAAAGTGGCAAACACGTGTCTTTCAAAACAAAAGTCACCTCCAAAATTAGGAACAACGCGTCATGCGTAGCGCTGGTTTCCGAAAGCAAGTTGCCTTGATCTCCACGCTGGCCATAAGTGGACCCACAAGTAAGAACTTCCCAGTGTCTCAACATAAGGGAGTACACAAACCAGCTGGTTTGCGGAGCCACAAGCTAGGAAGAACCTCCATTCTCATGAAAACCTGCAGGCGAGCTGATACTTTGCCCAACTAGGCGATGGTAGCTACGCACAAGGGGGGTACAAAGGACACCTTCCTCTGGCCCTTAGAACAAGGATCAGGACGCCTCCATGTTGCTACGCGTCCCCGTTTCAGAAACCGCTACTTTGATGGGTGCCTTTCAACAAAAAAATGTTTTTGGGAGGAGACCCCCAGATACTCCTTTTGACGCCTTCCTTCTTTTTTTTTTATCTCGCATTTGTTCCAAACCTCCGGAAGCGAAAAACCGCGCTTGCCGACCGACCGCAAACGGCCGAAACGCGCGGAGCTCGCGCGGAGCTTGCCTTTGTCGTAGTAGGCCTTCATGAAGGAGCCTTCCTCCAAGAGCCAATCCCGAATCTTCTTGGTGACGCCCCCGGTGATGTAAATGCCTGGAGCTTGCTTGCGCCAGGAATTTTTGTTTTGCCACCCACAACAGTGCATCTTGTCTCTGATCTGATTCAGAGACAAGTGGTGCCGCACCTACTGGTGACTCCCAGATTTATTTCGCAACCCACAATCAGGTTTCGTCTCTGCTTCTCTGATTCAGAGACAAGGGGCGCCACAGAGAATTTGGTGGCTACGTACTGGTGACGAGTAGTGAAATTTGGGCCCTGGCTCCGCTTGCCGCGGCTGTGAATCAGTGGGAAGAATTGGGCCCCTCAAAGCATAGGTGTCCTTTATTGGAAATAGATGGCCCTGGCAGATGCTTGAACCAAAAGGTAAACCAAACATCACCCTCCATTTTTTAGCCAAACCAACCAAAAAGGACGCCTATGCCTCAAAGGAGATTCCGCTCAAAGTGAGGGGCTTTAGGGGCCCATGCTAATTGGCAGAGAGAACTTCATATTAGCTTGCCTTGTCCCCAGATGACTTTGGAAAGCTGTAGATGTTCGTGCGGCTGGTCTCTTAGATATTGGTTGCCTGAGTCAAGAAACCCGTCCATTGAACATGACCAAGGGAAAGCCCAGTAGACAACTGGCAACTGCTGCTTGCGGGTGTCCTAAACTTGAACTTGGACCCCCAAACACTGGTTTAGTCCTACTGTGGGTGGAAAACATCATGCACCACCTATGAAACCCTGGAATGATGATTCCCTTGTAAATACCAACAAATGATGGTTTCCGTTGGTTTCAAAGTGGTGCAGAATTTCGTCCATCCACAGTATTGGTCTCCTGTTGTTTAAAAGTAGATGGCGCAACTTCACCATGTTGGCAACGGACATCCCCTTTACCCACATCCGCCGCAAAATTGAAAGCCACTTGGGTGTGGGTCAAAAATAGGTACGCAAAACCGAACCCTGGTAAATGGACTCATGGACTAAAACCTGCGGTCCAATTCCTGGTGGTTTAATTTTGACCCATACCCAAATGTTTCTTTGTCGTTCTTGAAGGTCCCCTTTTGGGGTGGCTCACTTGCCCAAGAGACCTGAACAAACAAAAGGCGACAAAATCCAAAGCCCGGTTAGCCCCCAGTGAACATCCGATTCAATCCAACCACTAAAATAGGAAGCCTAAAATGGGCGGTGAATTCACCTACCAACCAAAATGGGATCCCGTTTAACGGTTTTGCCCCACAGCCATATGGACCAAATCAGGACTGAGGTTGGTTTAAAGGGAAGCGAAAAGGCAACTATTAAAGGTCATATGCTGATCCCAAGCAAAAGCAAGGAGAGCGGCTATTCGTGACTATCAGTGACACGTTTTGCCTATTGACTAGTAACGACTATTAATCTCCTCCCCCTATTAATGAATGACCCCCATTAATAATAAATGCAAATCCGGGGCCCGAGGCCAGATTTCCACTCCACACAATTGATTTTCCATTGCGCAAATACTAAGCCAATACTAAAGTCTTGGAATCCTTATTAGGGGGCACTTTTAGCAAGCTTCCAGCCTCACTTTTGAAAAGGTGGGTTCCTCAATTCCCCAAAAGGTTGCTTCCCCAAAAGCTGGCTTCTGAAAAGGTTGGGTTCTTTTGGTGGGTTCCCCAAAAGGTTGTTCTTGACTCTGTTGTCCCTGGCTGTCCCTGACTCCCTGGCTGGCTGCGTTTGTCACCTGGCTGACTGCTGGTGAGTTTTCTGCCTAATTAGCTGTGCCCTGCTGGCTGCCTTCCTTTCACTGAATGCATGTCTGGCTGTCTTGAAACCCACACTGCCTTCTCGAGCACTGGACTGTCTTGCAGTCAATCACAAGCTGGCTACCTGACCTGCCTGGCTGCGCCCCAAAATGTTCCATTTCCTCCAAATCCTATGTGAACCCTCACATTGTTGGAAAAGCAAAAAACCCAACCCCAAAAAACCCAATTAAATATATATATATATATTTGGGTGGATTTATTTATAATAGGGGGGGGGTATTTATTAATAGGGGGAACGGATTAGGGGCCACTAAGGACCGGTAACTCCATAACCTTCACCTTCTCATGGCTCCGCTGGCTCTGAATCGGCAATTTGAGAAGGGGTCGATGGGTTCCTCTGAACGAGAAGCTCTTCAGAACTTCACCCGAGGCCCAAAACCCAGGATTACTTGTCAACCAGGGAGCCTGTGCCACAGGTTAATCCAAACAAAAACACTTGCAGCAAAAGCGGGAACTCAAGAAGGTTCAGCGCAAGATGGCTTGCGTATAAGCTACATCCAGTTTCATCGGATGGCCATGTTGGTTGCTTCTTACGTCAGACCCGACCCCAAAATGTACCACCTGCTTTGGCATATGTTGACCGAACCTCATCTGGGCCCACATCTGGGGGTACACACAAAAGGTCACATATTTTCCGACTTCTCAATCTTTGATCACCCCAACTCTACAGCAATGCCCGGATTTCTCCCCAAGTGGCCATTTAATTACCACCTTTCTTTTGGTTTGCTTTTTGGGAGATCCAAAAAACCCGGTACTTTCAATCCCTGAGTCGGCCTTGGACCTGGACCCTCTTTCCGTTGTTCGGCGCCGCGCCGAGCGCGCCCCAACGAAGACACCCGACTCACGCGATTCGCCTCCGAAGGGCTGGACGTAGAGGGCGAAGGTGGCGCACTGGGCCCCGTAGGCCTCGAGAAGTGGACGAATTCGTTGGGACGAAGTCGGAACAAGGCGAATCCCTGGCTCGCGGGTGGCGTAAAAAGATAGAGGAGATCTGGAAAAAAATGGGGGGTGTTCTACATGTGTCTCCCCTTTCTTTTTAAATCAAAGCAAAGGTGCTGGTGGATGTCATGGTGGATGTCCAGAAGGTGTTTTTGCTCCCACCTTTGTGTGGGGAACAGGAATTGGAGCAAAGTTAAACGTCGACGATTGCTCCGCACAAACATGCAATCATAGCGGAAACCAAAGTGGCAAAAACATGTGGAGCCAGAACCAACGGTTCATGCAGAAAAGGGGCGACCAAGTGTTGAGCACAGAACACATCATGGTAAAAAAAAAAAAAAACAGTCATGTGGTTGCTGCTTTCCATCTCTTCCCATCCAGCGATAACTGCTTTGCCACAGAAACCGGCTTGCCCTCCAACCGAGTTTTCTGCGTGTCTGGAATTAGCACGTTGTCTGCAAACACGGGAAGCCCAATCATGTCTGCGGCTTCCCTTTGTGACAATTTCAAAAATTGACACCAACTCCAAAAACGACACACCCGTTTGAACCCAACATAAATCCATGGCCGCCTGTGACAGGTTGCTAGCCAAGGCAGTGGCTGATTCAGTTGCTAACCTGGGTTGATATGCGTCATCACGCATACCAAGATGTTGGTGGTTCTCTTTCATAGGAAATACGGTAGGTGTTCAGCCTTTGAATTCTGGAACGAAAGGGCGGAATGTTCAATCAAGTCTTCAGGATCTGAATCTGTTCTAAAAGACACTAAGGAACTCCAACACTTCAAGGTCCCTCGATTGGAAAAACGGCCTACAGGATGAACACTCCAGACAAATTCAACACTCCAGCTGGAGCATTGGGGCCGGGTCCCCACTGGCGTTGGGATTTGGGTTCCCCGTTGTCCCCAAACAAATAGATCTACCCAATGATGCTGTTAGACGGATAGACGGTTTCTTACTCATTTGGTCCAGATTTCGAGCCCCTTCAAAAAGTAACATTTTGCCGGCGGAAATGTGGCCCACATTTGGGGAACACAGAAAATAAGCTGTTCAGATACTGTTTCGCAGTGAGTCTACCCTAAAACATAAACTGTTGGAGGAGACCCCAGAACTGTAAGATTGGAAGAAGCAATGAAGCGATTGGCCCGCATGTGCACAAGTCCTCTAAGGAATCTGGCTGCCCGTTTTGCAGCAGTTACACATGGGCATGATTTTTAATTTGGGGCCCTTTGGTGGACATGATTTAGGTGGGGATTTATGTCCACCATCCACTTTCGAGGGGGTTCCAACCATTAAAATTCATAGCATTGGAAAGGACGAATTCTGCCAACTTTCAGATCCCGGGGCCCTTTTGGAACGCGTGCATGCGCGATCCATGCATCCACGGGGGACGGCAGCGAAAATAAAAAGATGGACACCAAAGGCCATAAACCTCCCCAACAAAGGTTGTTCGGACGGTTAGAAGCAGGGCTGTGGGAAATGACCACTTCTGTGATACAAAAAAAAAGGCTTCCGAAAGACTAACCCCCAATATAAAGGGGGAGATTCCCTTCACAACCCTGGTTAGAAGCTTCTTAGAGGTGTTCGCAGACTGGGTTCAGTCCTTTGCTTTCTGCGGGGGCGATGTTGTCTTCGCCTTGCTGGCAGCATACACCAGGGATGGATGAGTCTATGAATAATTTGACAAACCACCTACTGTGGATGCACGAAATCCGGCACCACTTTGAAGCCATGGGAATTTTAAACCACTGTTTGTTCGTATTAACAGGGGGGAATCATCCTTCCCGGGTTCCTTCGGCGGTGCGAAATGGATTTCGCAACCATCCACAGTGTCAACTGCTGCGAATTTCGGCCATCACTCAAGAATCTGCGGGTCTTTACGCCAGGAAATCCCAGGAAGTCTTGAACAAATCCACACGGATTGAAGTCACTTCCTTAGGTCAAATCCAAAACGGCGATCCCATTTCTGGCAGCTTCACCAGTGCATCTCCGAACGTGCCAAAAAAAAACACGTCTGCGGCGCCCTCAATTTTGGAACCCCGGCAAGACCCGGCATCACATGGCGTGCCAAAGAGAGCAGGCTGACAAACTTGGATTTGACCAATCAAGTCTTGGTTGACCTTGGAAGGGGAGCAACCATTTGAAAGTTTTAGCAGTTAAGTGGTTGGATTTCAACCACTAAAAAAAAAGGCAAACATGTAAAACATGTTTCCCAACAACAACCGTGAAGTAAGTGGCATTTGGGTTGCTCTTCCTAAGCAAAAGGCCGACCACCTTTTGCAGAACACAGCTCGGCTCGTATTTCTAGGGGACCTCTAGAGCGACCCAAAACGGGGTACCCTCAACAAAAAGACCCCCCCCCCCGCCCTTCCGCCGAGTGGGTATTGCCCCTGGGCACCCCGGCATCCGCGAAGATCTTGAGGGTCTTCTCGCAAAGCGAGCCCTTGATCCTGAGCGCAAACACTACCTTCCACAGCAAACGAGCCACAAGCTGCAAATGCTTCATGGGTCTTCGGCGAACTCCCCCTTTGTTTTGTCCTTGCTTGTGTTTTTGGGGCTGCCCTCAGATCCCTCGCTAAAAATCTAACTTTTAGTGGGTTAAATTGGAAACTACCACTAAACACTAAAAAGCTAAAAGGCTAAGGAACCGCTTTGTATTGAGCTGCTTATGATAGAAACCTGCAGGAAATTCAACGGGCGAACTTCTTGTGGATGTTCATGTTGCTGGCGGCTCGGCCTCGTAGGCGAAAGTACACATTGCCTGCTACTCCGCAATCCTACCAAGAAAGTGGGTTCCGAAACATAACCTGGGTTCTTGGTAGGTTCTTCGAGTACCAGGTGATCCACAGTCCGTCTTATTCCTTCATTATGCACCCATTGACATGGGCATTTGGTGAATATAAACTCCCATCTTATCATGGTCATTTGGTGAGCCTACCCGATGTCGCGCTTGTTCGCATCTCAAAACCATATTCATATTTAAACGTACATGGGGCGGTGGAATCTTTCTGGTTCGCTTCAAGACCAAAGGGGTCGCTTCAATCCCCAGAGGAAGGGGCCTCAATATGGTATTTGGAGGCACAAAGCTTTACGAAGGCTTACTAGGGGATTTCTTGGCGGCGAGGAACGTAGGAAACAAGCTGACAACCATCTCATCTCTGTGAATTAACTCTGCTCGTGGTGGTGTGCATTGCTTGCCAGTTGTACACAACCATACCCCTTTCTCCCCAGCTCATATTGCCCTTTCAACATGACCTTTCCCAAGAAGCATGACTTTCACAAGAGGGTTGCCAACATCCCAGTTGAGAGGAAACCAGACCCAAACCAAACTCATGTTCTATCCGTTAGGTTTGATCTTCTAGGAGCGGGCTTCTTTACAATGATTGTGTCAGTTTCTTCTTCATATGAGCCATGGTCAAGCCTCCTTGCATTGCCCTATGGTCATGGTTATCCCTGAATAGAAGTCATTCCACCGGTCATTAAGGTCCTTACTACGAGGAGAATGCCCATCCCTAGCAATCCCAAATGAAGGTGTCTTTTGACCATGGCAAATATTCAGTCTACCCTAAGAAAGTCAAATCGTCTTGGCGGCCCCAGTTAAGCAGCCCGGGCACGCATTCATGGCAATGATGCCCGCATCCTGCGGGAAAGAACGGGAAAACTGCCGCGGGGAACTGAATTCATGGGAGGGGGGTTGTCAAACGGTGCCTGTTGTGGGATGGTGACATTTGCTAGGTCCTCCAGATTGAGAGGTTAGAATAAGGCGGCCAACTTTTTGTCTGTAGTTTATTTTAGTAGTGGAGCCCTCCCACCCAAAAAAGGGTGAGAAAGGGAGTTTGGGTCCTACATTTTGACCATCCCTATGTTACCTATGGCACCCAAGCGCTCCAAGTGTTTGCCTCCTCAATAATCAATCCTTCACTTTTCGGGGGAAAAATAACACGTTGTTTTCGTGGTTCACCACATGAGTGACAATCAAAACCTGGTATTAAAATAGTCGACCCAGAACCATGTAAAGAATTAAGAAGGCGGATATCCGCAACTATTTATGGCTGGGACTGTTCCTTACTAACCTTCACTTACCCGGGTTTTGATTGTGACTCACATGGAAATAAGACGTGCACCTAGTAAGAGGGAATGTACCCCCGAATGGGTAAGCGCATTTGTTTGGTCAGATTCACGGACGACTCCAAGTGAATCGGGGGACATGTTCTTTTCAAGCCAATCACAACTCGCTCCCTTTCAATTGTAGAGGCATCTCTTTTACCCCTCGTTTGGGATCATCTTATCCATTTGCAGCAATATGTCGCGCTTTGTTGGTGGGGAGAACCAGTCTGAGACACATTGAGACACACCGAATCCGAATCTGCGATACAATTCTTCAAGAGAGGTTCCCTGGTATCACAGTGGGTAGCAATCACTAATATGCCAATATGCACCTGAGGGCAAAATACTGCATCTCCCAAACTGGAAGGAAACCCTAGAAAGTGGTAAATCATACTGGTGAGCTCGGCAAATAATTGATGCAAACTCCATTGTCATGGGAGTCTCCCTTTTCCCCAACCCCTCAAAAAAATCACAACCAAAATAAAAAGTAGTCCGCAATACTGCCTTATCAGGATCTTACTTTGGGTGCCGCAGGTATCGGCGAGCACCCTCCCGTCGTTGGAGCCCTTTGGAGGCTAGTTTCCCGTAAATCAAACATAGGGTTCACAAACTAATCGAACTAGTATAAGAGTATAAGAGTGTGTGTGTGGGTGTGTCTGCTTTTTGAGGGTACTCTTTTTGAAGGAACACCAAATCAAATGAGTGCATGTCTTCTCTTCCAGGCTACTTTTTGAGGTAGGGAAACCAAAAGGCGCGCCTCCGTCTCTTGGGGTCATCCCCAAGCTGAAGCACATCGACTTGATCCACTTCCGGCTTCCCCGCCTTGGGCTTCTCATTGTGCAGCCTATGCACCTGCGTCGGCAGCTCCGTCTCAAACCGAGCTCGAATTCGAAGTCCTCTTCCAGTTGCATTGGCAACATTTTTTGTTGCAGAACGTGTCCCGCCCCGACAAAGAGAAAAACAACAACAAAAACGAGCTGTTTGTTTACCAATCTATGGTGGCAGTAGCTTTTCCTCTTGGATTTCATGAGGGCATGAACCCACTCAGGTGGGGCACAGGGCTGGAAATTCTGTCCAGGTATCCTGCAGCACATGGCTTGCTAAATCGGCGGGTTTCGGAACTGAAGGGGTATTGGACTGGGAAGTCAACCCACCCTTGGAAAAGAAACCAGTGAATCCAAGCAAATGAGTTCGCGAGCCTCCTCATCCACGTCGTGCGGGTGCTTGTAGGCGAGAAACTCGTAAATGTTGCAAATGCCGGTGCCTGGCCATAGTGGAAAATCACAATCTCTCTGCAATGCAGCATTCTCATTGGTACTAGCGGCGACCACCGCCGCACGCAGGCCGGAAAACCAAAGTGGGCTCCCTGGCGCAAAATGGGATCTGAATGATGTGAGTTCAAGCGTTTCAGCAGGTGGCTTGCAGGTCCAAGAAGATCTAGAAACAGCGCAATGCAGATTCAGTGCGTTTCCTGAGATTGGAAAAAAATTGGCAAACCCCTGTGTCCCAAAGGTATGTGGGGATTGTGCATGTCATCCCCTTCCAGTAGGTGACAGTGCATATCCTAGGTCCAATAGAGAGGTTAGAATAAGGGTACCAACTTTTTTCTGTAGTCTATTTTAGTGGGGGAACCCTCCCCCGAAAAAACAGGGGTGAGAAAGGGCACTACTGGGGGACCTAGTATCCGTTGCTCATCTCACGGGACCAAGACTCCGAGTCAAGGCTATATCTCATGCTTCTCCAAATTGCCAATCTGGCTCAACAAACCGGTCCCAAAATGGGCTGCCCTGGTAAGCGGAAACATGGACCAAAACTTGCGGTTTGCCCCTCCTCTTTAATTTTGAGCCACACCCATATGTTCAGTGTAGCCATGCGTAGGGGGAAACCAAAGGGGATTTGGATCAGTGTATATGTTCAGTGGATCCACTCAGTGTAGTGCGTATTGGTTCCTCTTTGGGGGGTTTGGTTTGAAAGGGAAAGGGAAACCAAAGCAAACCCAGTGAACATCCCACTCCCCACTAAAATAGACTAAAATGGGTGGTGCACCTACCCCACAATGATACCATTGGTAGGGAAGCCAAGGCAATCCACTTGCCCCGCTCTCAAAACCGGCACCTGACACCACTCGCTCCGTGGAGATCCGGTTCCCAGCGTTGGAGAACTTGATCTTGAGGTACTTGAGCAACTGGGCGTGGGGCAAAAATAAGGTACCCCCAAAATGAAACCGCGGGTGGTTGCGAAATCCATTTGGCTGTGGTTGTTAAATATATGTATATATATATACCCAAAATGAAACCCTGGTAAATGGAAACGAATTGGACTAAAACCTGCGGTTCCCTGGACCTTCAATATCCAAGTTACCCAACTGGAGGAATTGGGTGTGTCCAAAGGAAACCCCTCAAGGCCATTTTTGGGCGGGGAAGAGGGGGGTAACCTAAAACCAGACAAGCTCATTTGGCTTCTAAGATGGTTACTACCCCCAAACCATTGTGTCATGTACATGTTCTATAAACAAATATACATATATATATATATATATGTATATAATACGTACCCGCTCCCCATGGATCTACCTTCCTTCAGAAATCCCCTAGATTTGGCAGTGTGTTCTGCCTTTAGGGGCTTGGGGAAAACAACAAAAGGCTCATTCCAAAGACCATCTCCAAACTCCCGAATAAAACTTCAGCCGGTTTGGATCTACGCCTGTCCTATTTCGAAGAAGGGGTTTGGTCAGAAAAAAAAAACGCGGAAACAAAACACAACTGCTACGGTGGGTGGTTGCGAAAATCCCATTTTCGCACCACTTGCAAACCCATGGTTGAAACCGTTCGTGGGCATTTACAGGGAGAAGCCATCCTTTTAGGCTTTGCCAGGTGCGAAATGGATGTCGCAACCAGCCACAGCTATGTTTGAGCCAATTGACACGGACTGGGGCCAATGAACCGCAAGTAGAAGCAAAAAGAGCAAAGCAGGCCAAAGCAGACAAATGAAGAGGTTAAAAAAAAACATAAACAACAACAACAAAAACAAAAATCTGGAGCCAATGACCCACAAGTAAACTAATCTAAAGTGTACTGTTGGGTCATTGGCTCCAGAATTGTACGTCTTACTTTTTGACTTTTGGGCCGCTAGCTCCATAATTTGTCTGTTTTCCGATTTTTACGTTTTACATTTGGTCCGCTAAGGAGTGTATGGTTTAATCATGGGTTATCGGTGAACACTGCTACCCCCCCCGCTGGTGGGGTTGGGTTGTTTTGGTCGGCCACAGTTGCAGTTGACAGTTGGCAGTTGACATTTGGCAGTAAACAGACACAGAAGGTGCTTGCATCTCCTAACCAAACCTCAGCTTCGGAATAGGACAGGTTTAGGGTGTAGGGTTTATATAGGGTATTGGGCTTACTTGCTCAGGTTTATAGGAATCGCACCTCTTTCATGTAGATTGTGCTCTTCACAAAGCATTGCCTTTTTTGTTTGATGTTCATGGGGGACAAACAAAACACAAATACGTTCAAATACTCTTGCCTTGGACTTCAACAAGAGTTGAGGATATAAACAAATTTCATTTCCCAGAGGGTCCAAGTACCTCCTGAGGATGGCTGGGGGGTAAAAAGGGGGTCTGAGTACCTCCTTAGGAACCAAGGCACCCTCTGGGTTTTAATTGTATTCAAAATAGACAAAGAATGTGTTGATTGGAGTTGCTAATTCAACTAGGTCCTCCAGATTTGAGAGGTTAGAAGAAGGGGACCGACTTTTTCTCTGTAGTTTGTTTTAGTAGGGGAACCAAAAGAAGGGTGAGAAAGGGCACCTAGCTGGGGGACCTAGTCTCTGGGTTTAGAAGTATTCAAATTAGACAAAGAATCTTTTGATTGGAGTTGTTCATTCAAAGACAAACTTGTTGGCTCCTTTTCCCCTTGACCTTTCCGCCTCCAGCTTCAGCTCGTCCGAGCCGGCGCCCCGAGGGCCGAACTCCCCGTGCTGGCCTAAAGGTGCGGAGGCCGGAGAAGAAAAACCACCAAACCGGAGGAGGAAGAAAAACACCGTGTCCGGGGGGATTTTCGATTTGGTTTTTGACACATGGCTGTGGGTCAAAACCCTGTACCCCTGGAAAAAAAAAAACACATCAAACTAGGTGGTACGTGGGTGTTCATCCGCCCCCAAAATGGAGGCATAGGTTATGACCCATGGCCACATATTTTACAGAGGTGGCTTAATTAAGGAACATCTACCATCCCTCTACCATTGCCTTTTTTCCATTGTTTTTGTTTGTTGTTGACGTGGGTGGTTGCTTGAATTGATCGCTGATATCTATGGCTTCTCCGCAAAAAGCCTCCTCAAAGGCCCAACTCCCAGGGGGAAAGGCTCCTCCAGTAGGGAATGAGGGAATGAACCGTTTTGGGGTACCCTTAAAGGAAGCCACAACAAACAGTTTACTAGGCCCTCCAGATTTGAGAGGTTAGAAGAAGTTGGTACCAACTTTTTTTTCGGTTTTGTCTATTCTAGCAGGGGAACCCTCCCAACAAAAAAGAAATGGTACGAGTAAAGGGCACTGCTGGGGGATAGGTAGAGAGGGCCCGAAACTGTTGCTCTTCGGGCTTGCAGGCTTGCTGGAGAACAGCGGTTTCTCTACACCATCCGCGCCTGCAATGAAAATAACACAAGGACATTCAAGTGCAGCACCATGTATTACCCACCCACCCCCAACCTGCTCTTCTCTATTTGGGGAGTGGTTCTCCCGAAGCTGGGGCAGGGTGAACCCAAAATCACCTACCAAAAAGGGTTGAACAAGACCGGGTGAAGCAAAATTTGGGTATAACAAATCTAAAACTAGGGACAAGCCAACTTTCAGAAAAACAAACCTAAGATTAGGGACCCAAAAATGCCAATCCCCAAAAACAGGCACTCTTCGCCTCACAAAAAAAAGAAAAACAAGCAAAAATCGGAGCCCCGCCCACTTCGACCAATCGACCTCTCGAGCGAGCGGAATCAATCGCCGCCTTCGCTGGGGAAGCACTTGTAGTCCCCGGAGGTGTTGTCGGCCACCAGGAAGCACTGCCCCAGGCCTCGAAACGGCGGCGCGAAGCGCGGCTTCGCGGTGAAAGGGCGGCATGGAATGATCACGGCAGAAGATTGCACGTTTTGACTTGTTTTGCAGGCCCAAAGGGTCCCTTGGTACCTGAGGAGGAACTCAAACCCCTTTTTACCCCCCAAAGGAGTTGGAAATAGAAGGTGATCACCTTTTGGCACCTCTACTAAAAATGGACCAAAATGGGAAAACCAAAAGGGCAGATCCGGTCGATTCGCTTTGGGCAACTGAGTGGTTTACAGGCCCAGAGGGTCCCTTGGTACCTAAGGAACTCAGACCCCTTTTTACCCCAAAGCCATCCTCAGGTACCAAGGGACCCTCATGGGGGTTGATCAACATTCCTGAACCCCAAATGACCAGAAATCAGGGGAAGATAGCTTCGCACCCAGTGGGATCTCGCTTCATTTTTTAACTTTTGGCAAAACATCCATGAAGTCAATGATTGCCATGATGGACCATCTGGCATTTTGGACTGGGACTTTTGCTTCCATTCTCCGAGTTGACCGGCGACCAGTATGAAAAGAAAACGGTGCGGCTTCGAGTTTGAACTGCTTCGGTTAGAACAAGCTGGTACCATTTTTTCTGTAGTCTAATTATTTTAGTCGGGGAACCCTCCCAACTAAAGGGGTGAGAGGTCGGGCACGCTGGGGGAACATTTCCCTTGTGAGCACGTCATCATCTTCTTGACTCGGAGGACTTGCTCTTCCCCCCCCCCCATTTCCCGACACCCCCTCCCTTGGTGGAGACTCATCCTCCTTTGGCGAGTTCGGGCTTTTCGAGCGGTCTGCAAACCTCGGTTGCTTTCTGCTCTCCTGCTAAAAGTAACCTTTAGTGGTTTAATGGAAAACCCATTGGTTGGCAAAAAAGTTGAAGTCCTAACATGCAAGCAAAATGCACCAAAGAAACATGACTCTGCAAAAAGTGGTTTCTTGGGCCCACTGACTCATGACTTTACCTGGCTAGTGTCAACTCTGGCGGCCTAGAATGGGATGGGACCATATTAAAATATGCTAATGGGGCAATCCCGTGTCTTGTCACTTTGAAGGGAGACAACCCCGGTTTCCCAACTTTCGCAACCATACATTTTCTTGCTGGTCAGCAATGAGGGAATGAGCAGTTTTGGGGTCCCCTCAAAGGAAACCACAACAACTAGTTTACTAGGTCCTCCAGTAGAGAGGATAGAATAAGGGTACCAACGTTTTTCTTTTTTTTTCCGGTTTTGTCTACTTTAGTAGGGGAACCGAATCTCCACACCAAAAACGAAACGGGCGAGAGGTCGGGCACCTAGATGCATCCCCCGAAGCGCTCCAGGCGCGCGCCTGTGCCCGCGCCCACGCAGGCGATGTTCCCATTGTCCATGGGCGCCACGTCGTTGAGGGGGGTCACCTGGCTCCCGGTTTGTTCTCCGGAAATTTCGGGGGCTCAAAGGGAGCCCTTTAAAGCCATCCCAAAAAAGTAGCCTTTTGGGTGGCTTCGTTTTGGGCTTCCCTTTAAAACCAACCCACAAAAAGCAGTACCCTGAGAAAAAGACACCTAGATCCGGCTGCGACTTTTAAGTAGCGGACCCTGCTGACATTCTTTAGGTTGATATTCATGTCCACCAACAACTTTTCATGTTGTTCGATTGAACTATTAGCCAAATTTATCTAAGGGTGACTTTTGGGCCAATTCCAGCTGAGTCATCATCAAAACCTGGTCCTAAAATGGTCTACCCAAAACCATGTAAATAATTAAGCTGCATCCATTTGTGGTTGGGATTGCTACTAAACCTCCGTTTGCTTAAGTCCCCTGGGAAAAAAATAATAATTCCAGTAGTGATAGATTTCCTTTAAAACCAACAGGGGAAAATGAGACATATTCTTCAAATGGAAGTAATCTTCATCTACCCGGGTTTTGAGCACGTGGCTCGAGTGAGCTTCTTTGGGAGGCGACGTTTCTTCCTGCAATCTCCGGAGCCGTGGGCGTGGGCAACGGTGCAGGGACCATGCGGTTCATGGGGGCAACAGAGCGTTGTTCAAACTGGGGGCATCCCTGATCTCCGAGGGACGCAGCAAGGGAAACTGGTGCCATCGATTTCTGGCGCAAGGACCTTGCAGATTGTTGACAGTTGAGTGGATTGGTGGATTGGTCTTTACAACCATCTGGCACCTGCCAGCGGTTTAAACACGTTTAAGGGGGGCATGTGACTCACGGTAAAGATTTACTGTGTCCCCAATTGACATAGGATTTTGGTGAGTACCCACGATTTCCTCTTGGTATTTTGGTGAGTGGGCCCCAGGTCATCCGGCAGATGGCAAACGGAACATAATGCCTGCCCAAATCGCTTGGGTAGGGTTGCTTTGCTGGTGCACGCGTTTGGGGGGGGTCCCAGAGCCCAAACGCCCCCCGAATTTTCGCAGCCCTCGATTTGTTTCTCGCTCAAAGCTTAAAGCTCACATTCAATGGCCTAATTGCGATATGCTTGACTCACTGCAATCTAGAGAGCCCAACTTTCAAAGCAACCCACCAACCTGCACGTGGGTCTTTCGGCTCGGCCCACGGTTGTGAGAACTTGCCCTTGTGATGCCAAAGTGAAATTTTGCTCCCACCCCCCCCCCACCCCCCCCCCCACCCCCAAAAAAAAAGCATTCACCATCATGATCCTCGCATGCTCGTGCGTCCCCGTTTCCCCTCCAGAACCCGATGGCTCGTTTTGTTCCAAAAACTCGTGATCAGCAGGCTCGCGCGCCCGTTTCCCCCAGAACTTTCGATGGCTCCGTTTAGATTCAACGTCCAGAACCCAGAACCCGTAGCTCCGGTTGTTCCAAAACCCTCGCCTCATCATCTCCCAAGGTCAACATGCCGTAGCCCTGCGCCACAAAGTCGTTGATCAGCTCCACCTAACGAAGGCGAAGGCCGAAGGCTCGAAAACGCGCGCCTTCGGCTGAGCTCGAGCCGGGATGATGGCTGACTCGTGTTTTTGGGAACGAATCTGGGTTTGCCCAGCACCCAGCATGGAAAAGCGAGGGAGTTAATCAGATGATTTGTTGAAAATACCGGAGCTGTTGCACAACCAAGCAACAAAACCTGGGTTCCGCCTGTGCTTTTGAGCCTCGCAACTGAACCAGCGCAAATTCCAAGAGTCAAGCTAGCAGCAAAACTGGTCTTGAGAACTCTTTCGGCCTGGACCTGGATCGTCAACCTTGAGCGTCAAGCAGTCGGGCATCGTAGTCGGGCAGGGCATCCATCTGTGACGGAAGTCGTTTCAGGGTCAAGGCTCCCTTTAGCATGTCCCAGAAAAAAAATCCCTTGGAACCTAAGGCACTCAGACCCCTTTTTGACCCAGGAGTTATGCTCAGGTACCTTAAGGGACCCTTTTGGGTGTGTTTCTACATGGCATCCGGCTTCTCTATCAGGAGTACCTACTCCAGGGTTGTGGAATCATGCAGGATGAGGTATATCCGGCGATGTCCTCCTCAGTGGCCCCCAACACACCAGTGCAATGAAGGGACGGAAGGTCATGATTCTCGAAACACAGAATCGGAGCCCCCATATTAAAACCCTGGAGGAAACCTCTAGATAATGCTCCACTTTTCTGCACACTCGAAATGAACGGATGCAACTCACTTGTAAACTTCGGGATACGTGACGATACCTATCCCCGGAAAAGGTGCCAAATGACGGCATGAAGCAAGCGACCTGAGTCTTAGCATTGCCACCTGACGAAGAGAGGACCTGTGATTGCAACTTTCAAAGGACTGGCTTCCTGGTTGCCATTCGGTGACCCCCCTTGACACAGACCGGAAAACAGCCGGTGTTGTAAAAAAGTATAAAAACTGAAAAACAACAAAACACAATCAGCAAGATAACCAGAATCCACCAACTTCAGAGGGGAAAATTCGTCACTTTGGAAAACCAGTTGGGGGGGGGGTCAACAACTTAAAAGCGGCGCAAAAACAAAACAAAACTTCACGGCCTTCACCCACGGAAAGAAACACAAAAACGACCGGTTTTGGGGTGCGACTGCTTGGCGCCAGCCTTGCCGATCTTCAGCTCCTCCTGCGTTTGGGTCGGTTTTGAACCGTATGGCCATGGGTGAAAAGCCCGGTACCCCCCAGTGAACATCCCAATCCCCACAAAAATAGACTAAATGGGCGGTGCACCTACCCCAAAATGGTACCATTGGTTTTGACCCACAGCCGTCTGGGCATGTTTTTTTGTTTTTTTTCGGCGACATGAATCTGGGCTGTCCGTTTTCGGATCCCCCGCTAAAAGTGACTTCCTTTTAGTGGGTTAAATTCGGAAATCCTGCCACAAAACACTAAAAAGCAAAAGGCTAAGGAACCGGATGGCTGGGAGCCACCAAGGAATATGGATCCCCTGTAAGCTGTGATGAATTCGTTGTAGCTACAGGGGGCTGAAATTATTGTAGCCGCTGTAACTACAAAGGATCTCAATAGCGACCCTTTGGTGGACATCATTTAGGTTGGGATGTGTGTCCACCAACCACCTTTGAGGTTGTTCCCCATAACACATCATAGCCAATCTGGGTATGTCGTTTCAAAATAGGAGCCAAAACATGGCGGTTCTCCTTTTTGGCATTCTTCTCCTTCTCGATAAGAGACACACCCGTGCGGGTGTGTTGCACATAGGATATGGACCCCCGCAACTGGGGGTCAATACATCCCCTTAAAAGGGACGCATGGTTTGCAGTGGCGCCGGATTCCATGATACGATGGCAGCAAGGGCGACATCTTTTGTCCAAAAAGCACAGCTGGGGCCCCCAAAAAACAACCTATTGAAACACCAATTGAAACACGAACCTATTGAAACCTATTGAAACCCAACCCATTGGCAAACAAACACCACCTATTGAAACACGCCTCAACACGCCGATCCAAAAAGGAATCAGAAGGGATTTGAGGTCACAGGGCTTGGTTCCCTGGGGGTGGATAAGGAAGATCCCCAAGCAAACCACAGGGGTCCAGTTCCTCATCTTATGGGGGGAGTTTAAAGTCACGGGGAAACGGATAAAACCCATGAACCGAGCCAATTGAGCATTGCTCCCTTTAGGGTCATCTGGCAACTCCCAGAAAGAAAACCAGCAGCCAACAAAATTCCACACAGGTTGGTGAACCCTGTGTGTTTTAGACCCTGGACAACAAAGCGAGACGCGCGCCGCGATCTTATCCACTAGCCCGGAGACTTCAATCAGATTCAACCTTCATGGATCCTTGCAACCCATTCGAGCAATTGGTTGGTTCGTAGTGCAATCCCAGAGAGTGCCCAACCATTCAAAAAGGCTTAAGGGACAAAGGGAAATTCAGAAGTGGCCTGTTTCCCTTGGCACAGGAGCTCCTAGCGGCCGTTCCGAAAAAAAGCCCACAGAATACGCTGCTTCCTCAATCCCAACTGGGTGTGGCTCAAAATGAAACGATCGGAGGGGCCAACCGCAGGTTTTGAAGTCCATTCCACTTACCAGGGCAGCCCATTTTGGGTACTGGTTTTTTGGAGCCACTGCCAACTGGAAATCTCGGATGGTTTTGGAAAAGATCGCAAAGTTAGGGCCTAAGGGCTCGGTTTGTTGACGCTTTGGGCCCGACCCATAGGGCCCGACTGATGCCGGAAGTCGTGGGGCTTGTTTTTTATGTGTTTTTTTTATATGTTTTTTTCCGGGGCCTCCAAAATGGGGTAAAACTGAGAACTGGAGATCGGCAATGAGCCAATTGGTGGTTTGGTTTGGTTTGGTTTGGCTTGGCTTGGTTTGGTTTGGTGGTTTCTCCATTTACCCTCTACAAAAGGGAGCTAGGCTCTTGTTCAAACCCTCAAGCCTGGTTGACGTTGGAAGGGGAGCAAAAATTTCAATTTTAGCAGCTAAGGGGGGATTTGCCACTAAACCACAATAAGCAAAACATGTAAATTGTTTCCTAACCACAACCCTCAAGCCACCAATGCAAACAGCCCGGGGGTACCTGAGATTTCAGGTCCTCCAGCTCTGCACCATTCAGGATCCAGTCCAGGTTCGTGAAGCGGCACCTCAGCACACCGCCCAACGTAGATCAATGTATACGTTATATATATACATATCATGTATTGTACATGTGTATATGTGTATACATTTACATATGTATAAGTATATATCATACATATGTGTACATATATGTCTGTATATATGTGTATATCATATGTATGTATGTATGTATGTATGTATGTATGTATGTATGTATGTATGTATGTATGTATGTATGTATGTATGTATGTATGTATGTATGTATGTATGTATGTATGTATGTATGTATGTATGTATGTATGTATGTATGTATGTATGTATGTATGTATGTATGTATGTATGTATGTATGTATGTATGTGTGTGTATGTATGTATGTATGCATGTATGTATATATATATATATATATATACACATACATATTATGTATGGAAGGGATATGTGTCAAAGCTGGCCACATAGTTTGGTGGCTCTGTTTTCGGGTTCTGGCTAAACAACATGAACACGGTAGCCTCAAATAACACACCCAGACAGGGAAGTGCATAGACGGCGACCCTTTGGTGGACAGAATTCAGCGGGGATTCATGTCCACCAACCACTTTGGCCGTGGTTGCCTATTGAACTTCGTCGCCGTATTTAGACACTTTGAGGGTACCTCTGTTTGGTGGTTTTAACGGGAAACCAGAAGAAAAACCACCATGTTGGGGGTCCCCTAAAAAAGGCAGACACCCAAATGGCGTTCAATCAGGAGGCGAAGCTTGGATCTCCAAGCGTTGGCAGCTGACTAGAGAGACAACCAGTCACCTCTTTCTGCCCACTCACCACACACACACACACACACACACACGCAGCTGTGCCCAGTCAGCAACCGGTAACACTGTTACTAACAGTAGGGGTGTGGGAAGACAACAGAGACAACCCCTTCCCTGTCCCTTTTGCCTGAGGTTCCAAATGACCAACCCTTTTCACCCTTCAGAAACCATCAACTCAAAGGGTACCCAGGGACCTTGCGGATGAGCTCAGGCTCCCAATCTCGAGTTTTGGTCGATTTGAGCCTGCGGTCCCTGCGTGTGACAATCGAAGCGCACGGCAGGCCCTGCGGCCCTCCCTCAAAAGCAGCTTCTCCACTCTCTGTGTCGGAAAATCGCACTTGTCATACCAACACGGCAACCTAACTCTTTGGCTCTTGCCCCCTGCGCAACAGTTCCCTATTTAGAAACACGGTGGGATAACACACCTTTTCCGAAAGGGTCAAAAGACAAAATTGCTAACCTAAAGCCAACGATATGTTTTGCCGCCGCGACTCTCCCTGATGCTAAGCATTTGCCAGGGCAAAGGTGAAACTGCAGCAGAGATTTTCCTCGCCGCTGGGAATTACAAGAAAGGGCCTTGCAGTTGAGGCGTCCATCAAACAGGATCTTGAGTCAAGGACACAAGAAACAAGGATCCAAACCAGCTTCATCAACCTAGGTCAACACCATTTCAAATGTTGCCTCAAGAAACAACCTAATCAAATGGAAGACGCCCTTCCCCACTCTTGACGAGTTCCTCACTTCCTGAGTGGATATTGGCAAGGCACAAGCTGCAAACTGTGCGTTTGGTACTTGAATGGCTTGCCCCAAAAATCACAAAACCAACTCAGGAAGTGCGAAACCATCCAAAAGAACGGCCATCCGCCCAATGCTTTCGCGCGCCGAGAGTTCTCTCGCACGGGCTCGACCGTGGACGGCCTGACAGGGGGTCTTACATCCACCTGCGCATCGCCCAAAACGCTCGAAATTTGATTGTACAAAGATGGTTACAAGCCAGCACCCCCCAATCACTGCTGATTGCACAGTACCTGGGACTCTTGGACATGGGAAGAAGCGGTTGCTGGGGGGCACTGGAAGTTGACGGAAGTTGTTTTATAGATGTTCCCTGGCTCAGCCTTGGTCCTTAACACGAGTCTACCTTCAGCCAACTCCAAGCCCAGCCTCACTCTCAACCAATCCTCAGACAACCCTACCCCTCAGACCAACCAACCACAAGCGGGATGACATGAGTGGTCAAACGCACCAAACCGGGGTCCGGTAAGGGGGGGTATGTATAGAGAGCGGGCCGCCATGGGGCCTGTGTTTTTCCAGTGTAGTGCCTTTTGGGGCCTGTGTTTTTCCAGTGTAGTGCCTTTAGTGGTGCAAACAGGATTTGTACTTATGTTGTGTTTTTCTTTGTTAGACCAAGGAGCCAGAACACACGGGCATGTCTTTGTGCAAGGCAGCTTTTTTTTGTAGACTTGTTTGCTGGACTGTTGCCAAATCAAATGCTATGTCACCCTAATTAGTGACAGAAAGAGATTGAAGATGCCCTAGGCTGAATCAAAACTGCTCTCACTTGGCGGACGGTTTCTTGTAGACGGAGGAGCACTGATAGGGCTTGGCCACACGCTTGCGCTCCTGCTGGCCGTGCTGGTTGATGTACATGGCCTTCTTGTTGCGGATCGCTTGGTTATGCATCTTGCAGTAGTAGAGCACCTTGAAGGCGTGCCGGAGAGGAGAGGATTCGTTCAGCACAAGTGCGTAGTTCCGAAACCACAAGAACACTTGCTCTGCCGCAGACGTGTTCACGTGCTTCAACCGCTTGGCCAACCGCGGCACATGCAGAGGGTTGCGCTTGCATGTCTTCTTGTGCCCAGTGGCATGGAAGCAGTCGATGGTCCAATACTTCACCTGCTTGAATTCTTTCACCTCCAGGGCTTGCGGCATGAAGGCGCAGTTCCGATCCAGCACGAAGCAGTTAACCTTCTTGTACATGGGCAAGATCTTCAACAGTGAGTCCTTCACAACTTCGTTGTTCTCTGGCTTGCTCATGCAGGAAACCGAAAGCACTTGCAAGTTCTTGGGGTCGACGATCATGAACCACCCGTGCCCGTACGGCTTGCCCTTTCAATTCTTGCGGGGCTTGCCTTGGTGCGGCGCAACCTCAGAGCACTTCACATGGACTTTGGCATGTCCATCGCCAACTAGCTCTGTGACAGAAGCTTTGTTTCGAGGGGGGAAGACTTTGGAGCGCAGGTGCTTGTCATACGCAGCCAAAGAGATCTCGGAGAGTTCGTTGCCGATCTCAATGGGTTGGTTGATGCCAAGGGAAGACAACTCCTGCAATGCCGCCCAGTACATAATTGCATCTGCGTGAGCCTTCCGGAAGCGAGTGAAGTCCGTATCATCCACGGTGCCGTAGACATTCTCGTACACATCCTGGATGGCTCTGGATGAAACAAATGCACGGAACTCAAGCTGGGTGTGGTACTGCAAGTACTCCAAGCTGAAGCCACGCTTCACGTTCACGAACAAGACCTTCTGAATGTCCTGCGGGTTGGCGGTGTTCAGTTTGCATCCATCGACATTGACAAAATTGGGGCCGTAGGTCTTCCTGCAACCCCAAGCTGTGCAGCGCATAGTCCGGACGATTGCATCAGATGGACCACTCATGGAATAGACGACCGCCTCGATGTCATGAGCTTTGGACAAAGCCTTGTGTCCACACGAGCAACTCTTCATGTGTGTGCTGTACACAGGCTTGGAGAGCGCGCCACCGGGAATATGAAAAGCAGGGCATAGGCTTGAGGCACCAGCGCACATGAAGGTCAGCTTGAAAACATGGTACATCGGACTCTTCATGAACTCCGCAAAGACATCCGCCGAGAGCATGCATGCCATCGTCGACTTTCTGCACCTTCCCGTTCGCGTTGATGACAGCGAAGAAATGGCTTCTTGTTGTGTCCAGCACGATAAACTTGCCTGGCTGCAGCTTGCTGTTTGTAGACACTAACTTCAAAGTGGCACCTAAGGGGGCCAACATCTCACATCCATCAGCCGCAGTGAACGGGCCATTCTTGTCGTAAGAAATGGGGCACCCAAGGCTGTGAAGAGAATTGCAAAGGCACACCTCCGAGTAGGTCTCGTTCGAAGCACCGCAGCCAGCAGGATGAAGCCAGGCCTCATCCATCTCCTCAGCTGCTTGGTCCATCTCTATGGATTCTTGGCTGCACAACAAGGAGCTTGCTGCTCTGCAGATGGTTGCTTCCTTTGGCTGAGCGTGGTCTGGGGCAACAGGTGAAGGTGACACGACTTTCTGCGGGGAAGAGTCCACGTCGATCACGCTGCCAGAAGACTGCATATTCAAGCTCCATGTCTTAGCTTTCTTGAAGACCCCCTCCTGCTCCATCTCAAACTTCTCCTTCTTGACCGACACTGCAGACTTCTCAAGGGCACGCTTCTGCTTGTCTTGCATTTGCTGAGTCACCGAAGGAACCGCCGCTGGCCTCCCTCCGAAAACTTGCTCCCGAATCCGATTGCGCTTGGCATCTTCCTCTTCATCCTCCTTGCTGCGACTCCTCTCTGCGAAGCGCTTGTGCATGACCGCCTCCACCCACAGCTGCTCCTTCTTCACCTCCTCGACGAAGTCATCTGTGATCTCCTTGGTTCCACCCTTGTGAAGACCATATAGACGTTTGCCCTCCTCGGTGAGATATTCCGCGTTGATCTCCCACACACGCGGCACTGCCTCGGTGTTGATGCCCGCCTTCCTGTAGTAGACGTGAGTCTTCGTATTGAGCAAGATGCAAGTTCTCTTGAAGACAGCATCCATGTGGGCGAGAGTGGCACTTTCCACAATGCTGGGGCGCATGAGCTTGAAGAAAGTCTCGAAGCTGACGGTGTTGGCATACGCAGGCTCCTCGGAAACACCATCATCATAGGTGTTATCTGCGACGGCACGAGGTTCGTTTTGAACCCATTTTGTCGCACCCCATCGAGCCCAACACATGCTCTCATAGAGCCCGACATCCAGGAATGCCTTGAGCAACTTCATCGGGAGCATGTGCAAGGATGTGTCATCCAGGAAATCGCCCATGAGCACGGACCCCTGTTCGCCACGAAGAAAGTCGATCTCCGGCGTAGAGCGGATACAAGGCTGACCCGACAAGTTGAAGCGCGCCTTGTTGTGGCGCACCTGTGCCATCAGGACGCTCCTACCCAACGGGCTCTTTCCCGCGCCCGCCTCCCCCAGCATGGTGAAGGCTGAGAGATCGAAGTCCCATATCTCCTCCATGATCTCCAAGAGCCAGGAATGGTAATACTTGGTCGTCAAGGGGATGGGCCAATCAAACTCCTTGCGGGCCAAAGCGCCATCCGAAGCCAAGTTCCGAAGAGCGCGGTCAACCAAGGCCTGAGGCCATCCATGGATGGGAGAAGCTTTCCGGCGCAACTCGCTGCATTTCAGATGAGCTCCTGGGGCCATGTGCCAAAATGAAATCGAACCCCGCATCCACTTCCTCATCTGTCTTGTCCTCGAGTGAGGAAACAGTCTTGGACTTCACGATGGCGTTGCTCGACAGCTCCGCGCACTTGAACTGCCGACCACCCATGGTCTCAATGCAGTACTGCACGATCTTTCTGCCGAGCTTGGGCTCCTGCATCCAGATGGCGCGCTTGGCAACTCCGAAGCCGAGCTTCATGAAGAGAGGGGCCTTGCATTTCTGGGGGAAGATGAAGTGCTTCCAAATGGTATAAGATCCATCCAATGCTTTCAGGATGACCATCTGGAGTTTTACATCCTTGCCCACTTTCTTCTGCAAGCCGAAGGGTGCAGAAATAAGGTCCAGATCTTCATTTTCAATGGCTCGCTTGTACTCGCGCTCCAACACGGTAAAGTCAATCTCCTTGCGGTAGTTGAAGATGACATCGAAGAGGTGCACGCTCGCGTTGTCTGTGTGGAGCAAGTCCGCACAGGGGAAGTTGACCGGGTTGAAAGAGCCAGGCGGTTGCTCTGGCAAGGTAATAGGACTGGTGGAGTTCCTGCAAACCATGCCATCGAGCACCTCCCTGAGATGGTCCACGGTCATATCCTCCGCCTCGAGAGCCATGACTACTTGAAAGAAGAGGGAATGAGCTGAGACTTACTTGAGCAGGCTACCAGAAGAGGGAAAAGTAGATGCAGATCCAGACGCAGCATGGAGCAAGAAGTGCAACAGAGGAAAACACTCCGGGAAACCCAAAAATCCAAAAAAACAAAAACACAAAAAACAATCCTGAGAGGGAAATGACAGGAGGTGGCTTGCCTGAGCTTTTGTCTGCCAGATTGTTTTTTTTGGTTTTTTTGTTTTTTTGGTTTTTTGTTTTTTTTTTTTTTTTTGGTTTTTTGGGTTTCCTCGAAGAAAGCCCCAAACAACAGTCATGAGGGGGAAATAAAAGGAGGTGACTTACCTGAGCTTGTCTGTTTTTTTCGGTTTTCCACGATTTGTTTTGTTGTTGTTTGTGTTTTTTTCTGTTTTTTAATGATTTTACTGTACTTCAAAAACGCAGGCCCCATGGCGGCCCCTTCTGTATGTATATATGTATATATATATATATACTCGGTTGCGAAATCTGCTCCCCTGCTAAAAGTGAATAACTTTTAGTGGTTTAGTGGAAAACCCATTAGTTGGCAATAAGTGGTATTCCTAACAGCCAAGCAAAATGCACCAAAGTACATATATATATATATATATTGAATACACCCAAAATCCAAAAATTAAACCAGGCGGTAGTGGCCCTTGGAGCTTTTAGGCTCTCACCTGAGCCAAGGGATTTTGTCCTTTCGGGAGAGCTAGAAAAAGGGAACTCAGCAAACAAGGTCGAGTTCCGACAAAACCTCAGATGCCCAGTGGCCATGGGGGAAAAAATCAGGGCGTCTTTCTTTAGTTGGTTGAGATTAAAGGAATCGGAACCCTTCCCCCCAACAAAAAAGGGCGCCGCTGGACAACTGAGAGGCCGTTTCCGCTGGAGGCTTCGAAGGGGAAACAAAAATCAATACGAAGCCGCATCCAAAAAGGGCCGGTGATGTTGACCCAGAATCAACCATCCAGTTTATTCATGGTGGAATTTTGGCCCCTCCAGTGGGAACTGATTCCCAAACGCAGAGGGTCCAAGTACCTCCTGAGGATGTCTTCCTCAGTTGTTCAGTGACCCTGGGAAAAAAAGGGAACCCTTTTTTGGGGAAGACCATTTTAGTGGGGCAGCCACCAAAAAAAAAGGAAAATGGGAGCCACTGAACAACTGAGCTTCTGGGGGGTAAAAAGCGGTCTGAGTACCTCCATAGGTACCAAGGGACCCTCTGGAAGGGTAACACACACCCCGCCCACAGAACCACCGAATAAAAAAAAAAAGAAGAAAAAAAAGGAAAAAAAGGGAAAAACAACGGGGGGAACAAAACGGCCCGCACCCATTTTTCCCCTGCCTCGTCAACCTCGGGCCTCCAGCGCCGCCAGGCGCTTGCCGAGGTCCTCCAACTTCTTCTGCTGAAAACGGACCAGCTGGCCTTGCTCCTGCCGACGCCCCCTTTTGGCTCTTGCCCCCAGGTCCCCGAACTCGGAGTTGTTGTTTTTTTTTGTTGGGTCGCCCTACCAGGATTAGGTTGATTTATAGACCTGAGAAATGTGCTTACAGGATACGGAACATAAAAAAGGCTAAGACCTTTCTTGCAAGCTAGTGAGGGAGTCACACACCTGCTCCTGACAGGCTACGACCTTTCTTGCAAGCTAGTGAGGGAGTCACACAAACCATCCTTGTGGCTTCCTTGAAGGGCTCACCGCGTTCATGCAACCCATCTCGATTCAGTGAGAACCAGCCTTTGCTGGGCTCAGATCCCCCGCTAAAAGTTTAACTTTTAGTGGGTTGAATGGAAACCCCCCACTGAACACTAAACGGCTAAACGGCTAAGGAGATGGCTGGGAGCAACCCAGCTACATTGATTCCGCCCAAATTCCACGGAGGGTCTGCCAACATTTCAGCAGGAGGTACTTGGACTCTTGTGGGAGAAACACCGAAGGCCAAAAGGGGTCGAATTCCCCAAAAAGAACCACAACACCCTCACAGAAAAAGGGGAAATCTGTGGGAAAACTCACTAAAATTTTGAAAGGGGGGTCCCCTAAAAGAAAAGAAGGACACACCCCGCGTGGACGCCCAAAAGAAAAAAGAAATCCCACGGTTCAAACAACATCCTCGACTCGACCGCTCGACTCGACTCGACTCGACCGCTCGCTCTCTCGCTCTCTCGCTCGAGATCTCGCTCCTGTAGCAGCTTCAGAACGACCACCTGGCGGAGGAAAACATACCAAAAACAGAGGTAGAAATAAAAACCGAACGCCCGCGGGGGAGGGGGGGGGGGGATTTTTGGCTCCTTTTGGTCCTAAATGGGTGTCCTAAAGTCACTCCTCTGTTTTTGAACCTCTGTTTTTGAACTCTGAACTCCTTTGAACAGCCCGCGAAGAGCGTGGTTTTTGAACTCCTTTGAGTCCTGAATGGGTATCCTAAAGTCACTGAATGGCAACCAATGTTGCAAGGTGGTGTTTTGCTCCAAAGTGAGTCCGAAAAATGGGTCTCTCTTCTCTTTTGGGGGGGGGGGGGGGAAAAAACAGGGTTCAACCAATAAAAAACATGTTAAACCGGCGCGATGAACCGGTTTTGCGCCTAGTCCTACATTTGGGTCTGTCTTTTTGCTTGGAAGCTCAGTTAATTGCCCATCTCATTGACGCTCGCTTTCCCTCAGCTGAGGGATTGCGGACTACTAACCAACAATGAGGGGTAGTCTTGGTTGACGTAAGGGGAGCAAAAAAGAAAAAACACATTTTAGCAGTTCAGTGGTGGGATTTCAACCACTCAACCACATGCAAAATGTAAAATGCTTCCCAACCACAACCATGTTTGGGTCAAGCAGGGTTCAACCAAAACAGGTCTTGCTCTGTGTCTTATAGATGGGTTCAACTCTATGACTAAAACTATTGTATCATCTAGTGGGCAAAGGATGTGTGAGATGACCAAGATTTGCCCGTGTCTTTTGGGCATATTCGTCTCTTTTCGCATACTTGTGGGGAGAAGGTGTGATTTGAACCACAAAAGTTGGGGCTAGCCTGAAAACAAGAACTCCTGGGGGGGCGACTGGGACAATCCCGAGGCCAGGCAAACAACGCCCACCAAACCCAAAGTAGACCAAACAGAAACAAAACGCAAACCAAGCAAAAAAGCAATCCTTCAGCGAGAGTTGTCGTGCGCGCCTTTTGCGGTTTCGGCAAACATCTGCCGAGAGCCGTTTAGTTTCGTACGCCTGGAAGTCTGTGTCGTCCATGGGGTGGAACTGGGCTTTGTGATCTCGGCCCGCGCTGCCGCCCTGGCTGGTCCAGTTCACCTCACAGGACGCAGGCTCGGCATCTCGGGATCTCGGGATCCGGCGCGGGAGTCTCACGAAAATTGGGGGCCAGACGATTTTGGCTTTGCTGTGGGTCTCCCTTTGAACAATCAAACAAAAACTTTTGACAACACCCTTGTGTCCACCCTAAAGATCACCGCAAGAAGATCCACTTTCTTTTTGGCCCAAGCCACCTGGCGGCTCCTGGCAAGTTTCCGCAAACAATCTCTGTGGGAAGGTAGGTTAGTGCTCGTAGTCCTGGAAAACAAACCAAGGGCCATCTCCAAGACTACTTTACGAGGGCCATCTGGTGCACGCTGAACAAAATACTTTCGGATTCTATTTCATGTCTCTAGATGGACTGCCCCGCAAATAAGGAAACCGCCTACAAACAATCCTTAAGAGGAACCTTGTTTTGGAGTACCCTCTTCTCGGGAGCTCCGCTATCAAATCTCGGCCCTGTTTGGACGAACATCGTCTTCCAGACTCCAGTCAGGTTTCATGTGAGCAGCAAAGGTCACTTTCAGTTCTAAGATGCTTCTAAAGTGGCCGTAACAGGGATCCTTACATAATACACCTGAACTTTGCCTTCTAAATGGTGGCTTCCCTTTATTTTGGTGACAAAAACCATGTGTAAATTGGGCAACATGTACTTTTAAGGAGCCTTGCGTAAATTACCGCCAAAACCCCCGTGAAGCCAGGTAGAACCACCAAACATGGCAAGACTTGAGACCGTCGACCTGGAGCCTCAAACCACCCGATGAAACTCGGCACCCCAAGTCCGTGCAGCTTTGAGGGTTTTATGGGCTCTTGAGTAAACCAAAGGAGTCCCGCAAATCACAGGGCTTGCCCCGGAAAAAAGAAAGAAAGAGAGAGCGTGTTGAGTCGTATCCCCAGGCAACACATAGGGCCCCTTCCATGCATTCTGTCCAACTACCAACACAAATCCGAAGGCGAACCAGTGAGACCCAGTGGCCGTTTTTGGGTTGTCCTCTCTTTGGGCCCTGACCACAAAATGTTCACCGCGCCTGGAAGACGTTGGTTGCGACCTGCTTGCCGTCAAAGCGCACAGCCTGCTCCTCGCAGGGTCAAAATTTGAGCTCCTCCCGCTCCAAAACGCCCTCAAATTGACTTGGGTCAAAATTAAACCACCAGGAATTGGATGCCAGGTTTTAGTCCCGGGTTCCATTGACAACCCATTTTGGGTACCCATTGTCCCACAGCCACTTCGGTCTTGCTTTAGGTTTCCCTAGAGGTGTGTTGACCCATCGCTTTAAGTAGAACTTTCAGTGGCACACGGCAAAAATAAGTATGCGCCAAAATAGGGGGACCCCAAACATATTGTCACCACAAAAATGCGACCCTCAACAAAAAGATGAGCCACCCATGTCGCCAATCGCTAAAAAAGCGAAGGGGTTCCCTTTACAGGCTCGAGCGGCGGGTTTTTCGGGCTTGTCGGGCCCAACAAAGAACATCTACTGGGTTCGGATATTTCGGATTGAATTATAATACTTCACCAGCCTGAACACCATTTGGGGTGAGGTCGTGTGAGGTCGTTATAATTCACCCGGTTAGAAAAAAAACAGCAAAAACCAAGATACGTCACCTTGGCTTGGCCCCTACTTGGCGGTGCTTAACGCCACTTAGGGAAAATCTAGTTCCCTGTCCCGTGCACGAGCTCCCCCAAAAGAAAAATATCACTATGATCTCTAAACCAGGTAGAACCATCTCGAATGAATGGAAGGCTTCTTGGCCCCAACATTTGGGAGGGGTTCCCTAACTTGGTTGCTGTTGACCCCTCTGCACAAAGTTTAACGTTTTGCGGGCTTCCCATTCAAGCCCCTTGATTTCAACCCAAATGTCAAAGTCTAAAGGTCCAGCCCAATAACAATCAAGCTACCTACCCCTTCTCCCCCTAACATGGCATCTGCCGGTCCCAAAAGGAAATTGATCTTCCAGGTACCCTCCAGGTGCCATGGTGACAGGAAGCGTAACTCGCCATCCTGGTTGCCAAAGGTGTCTGTGGGCACCGTCCAGTAGGCCATACCGTCCATGCCAGAGATCTGCAATTCCAGGCGCCCCTGTGGCAAAGCCTCCATCTCCTCGATTCAAGAAATGTCCAAAGTTGAGCGGCCCCAAAACCCATGGGCTCTCTCTGTGTGTGTGTGGGTGTGTCATGTCTCTTCTGGGTACTGTTATTTCCTCTTCTTTTCTTTTGGCGTGTGTGTGTGTGTCATGTTTCTTCTGGGTATTTTTATTTATAGTTTGTTCTTTTCTCTTGGCGGGGGTGGTTAGAAGGGAACTAAAAGAAACCACCCTGTTCCAGGTTTTGAGACACACCTCATTGACTCTGTCTAGGATGGATGCTCCTGTCTCAGGGCACTGCAATCCAGATTCATGCATCGCATGGGGACAAAACTACGTCATCAGCTGCATTTGGGGTGGATTGTTTAAATCAACCGGGAACCAAAAAAGACGCCGATGCTATTTCCGGGGGGTTCCCTATTTTAAGACATACCCAGCCAAGATTTGTGTGACCCGACATGTCTGCCAACAAAATGTAAAATGGACCTGGAACTCCAGGAGTCAATTTCAATACCCCACATTCTTACTTCGTGCCACGAAAAACAACAACTCAAATATGTTCCAGTCAAACAGCCATTTCTCTTTAAAGAAACACAAGCTGGCCAAATCGAAAATAAACCCAGCAGTTGTTCCCTTCGGAATTGTGGCCTAACAAAAAGCAGCCTGAACTGTTGGTTTACTATGGTCCAAATCTGAACAGCATGTCCAGACACTCAAGTGAGCAAGTTTTTCCAGAGCGAGTTTTTTTCCGTGGGTTGGGGTTTCAACTCGGGGCCACCCATAAATTGGCCGATAGTTTTTCTTGGGCTTCCCTTTTGACACCCCCAACGTATCTTGTTCCCTCCCGAGAAGAGAGAGAGATCCTGAGAAGTCTTTGTTGGGCTTCCTTTTAACACGTCCACATGTGAGTCACAATCAAAACCCATTATCAAAATGATCTACTCAGAACCTAGTAAAGAACTAAGAAGGCACCGCAACTATTTCTGGCTGGGACTGCCTCTTACTGACCTTCATCTACCCGAATCGGTTTTGATTGTGGCTCATGTCAAAAACCTCCCAAAACCTCCCAAGCAGAAGCGATCCCGGGGATTTGAATTTCGGGGAGTCCTCTGACTCCATCATCGCTTTGGACGGGGCCCAGGCGACGTGGACTTGCACCTTGCCGGCTGGGCCCTTCTCGTCCCAGAGCTGCACCTGAAGCGCGCTCTCCACCTCCTTTTCCTTCCTCGGTGCAGGTTTGGAGGGTTGGGCTTGGGCTTGGCGAGGGTTGGGGTGGGTCAGGCTTGGGATTGGGCAGGCTTGGGCTTGGGGTTGGCGAGGGTTGGGGTGGGTCAGGCTTGGGGTTGGGGAGGCTTGGGCTTGGGGAGGGTTGGGAAGGGTTTGTTGGGGAGGTGGTGAGGGTTGGGGATGGGGGGTTGGGGTTTGGGGAAGGGGGGGGATTGGAATTGGTGCTGAATTGTTAGGGGAAAGTTTGGAACTAAAAGGCTAATTCCGCCCAAGCAGGGCTTAAATCAACAAAAACAAGGAGACTCATTGCCTTAAAAAAAACCTTACATCAACGAAAGACTCATTACCCTCAACCAAAACATCAAAAAGACTAATTGCCCTCAACAAAAAGACAAAAACAACTTCAACCCAAAAACAACTAACCCTCAAACAAACCCATGGCTTCCCTTTAAACCAACCTCCCCCCCTCCCCCACCCCAGGAGAAAAATATATATCAAAAGCACCTCCCCCCCCCACCCCAGGAAAAAAAACAACTCAAAAAACACCTCCCCCCCTCCCCCACCCCAGGACAGAAAAAACAACTCAAAAACACCTCCCCCCCTCCCCCACCCCAGGAAAAAAGACAAAAACAAACTCAAAAACACCTCCCCCCCTCCCCCACCCCAGGAAAAAAAACAAAAAACTCAATATTCATCTCCCGCCCTCCCCCACCCCAGGAAAAAAAACTGACATACCCACCTGTCGCGAGGATGTGTGTCTGCCAGGCTGCTGGATGGGAATGGGCACCCTCCCCTGCAAAGGACCCAGGCCAGCCTCCACGCGCAGAAAGGCGCAGACCACCCCAGAGCCTGGGGAAACACGGTCACATCCCTGTGTGTGGGGATGTTGATTGCATTGTTGTTGCAGTTTTGCAGTTTTGTTGCATTTTCTTGCATTTGTTTGAATCTTTCTTTGGTTGCATTTTTGTTTCTTCCCTGTGTGTGTGGGTGTGGGTGTGGCTGTTGTGTGTAACTCTGCGTGTGTCTGTGTCTCTCTGTGTTTCTGTGCGTCTCTGTGCGTCTCTGTCTGTCTCTGCGTTCTTGAGCGTGCGTTTTTGTGCGTGTGTCTCTGTGTGTCTCTGTGTCTCTCTGAGCGTCTCGGTGCGTCTCTGTGCGTCTCTGCGTGTCTCTGTGTGTGTGTGTGTGTGTCTCTGTGTGTCTCTGTGCGTCTCTGTGCGTCTCTTTGCGTCTCTGTGCGTCTCTGTGCGTCTCTGTGCGTCGCCGTGTGCCTCTGTGTGTCTCTGTGTTTTTGAGCGTGCGTTTTTGTGCGTGCGTCGCTGCGCGTCTCTGTGCTTCTCTGTGTGTTTCTGGGTGTGCAGTGTCTCTGTGCGTCTCTTTGCGACTCTGTGCGTCTTTGCGTGTCTCTGCGTCTCTGTGTGTGCCTTTGTGTGTCTCTGTGCGTGCGTCTCTGTGCCTCTCTGTGCGTCTGTGTGCGTCTCTGTGTGTCTCTGTGTGTCTCTGTGTTTTAGAGCGTGTCTCTGTGTGTCTCTCTGTGTGGGTCTCTCTGTGTGTGTCTCTCTCTGTGTGTGTGCGTCTGTGTCTTTGTGCGTCTCTGTGTGTCTGTGTCTGTGTCGTTTGCGGAGGCTTCGGTTTGGAAAACACACATATCACTTGATGAGCGGGTGAACGAAAGCTAGCAGTTGTTGCATGAGATGGGTCGGTGACAGAGTGGATTCATAGGTAGCTTGTGTACAACGAGAGGCCCGGCAAGATTCGTAGGATGCGACAAACGCACATGGTGGCGTGGCAAACCTTGAAAAATGAACAACGAGAGGCGTCAGAAGCTGTCTTAAAGCACCACTGGGTTCTGCATGCTGCGTGTGCAAAGATTCTTGCGAGGTGGTTTACCGAGAAGACTGAGGTCTCAAATGAACAAGCTGAATCGGTGGAACATGTAAAAGTTCGTAGCACCAAGTCCAAAACGGGCAAACCGAGACTGCTGAACACTGAGCCACTGCCCGGGGGGGGGGGGGATGGACCAGGGAGGAATCGAGCCTGAGACCCGGGGGGGGGGAGGGGGGGGGGGGGTCTAAATGATTGATGTGTTTCAATCTTTTCGGCTCGAATAATTGAAAAAATCAATCTTTCGGCATTTGAGCCCCTTACCTTGCTTACGCAAGGAGAAACTTCAGCTAGCTAAAGCTAGCTTTCGTGATTTCACGAAACTGATTGATGATGTCAACTTTGGATGAGTCTTCCGGACCATACTACGGAGCGCAGCCCTAAAATCGTTTCCGTACGAAGAGGACCCTTTGGAAGGTACCCTTTTTTCTGTAGTCTATTTTAGCAGGGGAACCCTCCCAACCAAAAAAGGGGTGAGAAAGGGCACTACTGGGAGACCTAGGTATGGTCCTCCTGATTCAACCAAACGTTGGGTTTGTCTTTTGGGGGTTCAGGGAAAACCCAGGGAACTTAGCACGAATCAGCTGGAATTCAATAAGGGGAAGGACTGGATGCTCTTGGCAAGGGATCCCCCCCCTGTTTTTCTTAAATCGGGGTGGGAGGGGGGGGAATTGAAGAGGTGACCTGGTAGTTTTTGGACGAGTTCACCTGTCACAAGCCGCTCCAAGGCTTGAATTTGAACCCGAAGCAAATGAAAATCCTTGCGAGCCCGGTGCTTGGGAGAAAAGAACGCTGTTTCGCCAACTGGCTGTGGGATCCAGTACCCCTGGTGAACATCAAAATAGGTGGCAAATGGATGTCCATCCACCCCAAAATGGAGCCATAGGCTATACCGCTATACCCATGGCCAAATGTCTTGCCCCCAGAAAAAGGTTGCAAAGGTGAAAAGACACCAGCCACAGGTCTGAGGAAACTCCAACTTCCATCGAAACCAGAGCGGTGCGTTCGGCTCGATCAGGATCCGACATGGAGGGAAAGTGGTCTTCCAGCATCCCACGCTAGCTTGTGATCTGGGTCAATTATAATATTTTACCGACCTGAAATAAGGTGGTTGGGGGAATATTCCCCACAGAAACCACCATTTGGAGTGAGGTCGTGTGAGGTCGTTATAATTCGCCCAATTGTGATGCCCAGCATCCCATGCTACAGTAGCTTGTGATGCTGAATCCTTGGGTGCCAAACCATCTGAATGGGGAACCCAGGGAGATTGGGTGTTTCTCCCCAAAAGGTGCCCCACGAGAAGTCCCAGCGAATGTCTTTGGACGGAACCCCTGGGGCGGGGGGCGGGGGGGGCGGGGGAAGGCGGGGGGGGCTGGAGGCCACTGGAAGGGAGGCCTGCGCCGCGAAGATATGTGCCCTTGGGGCGTGAAGTGACTTCCTTTGAATAGACTGGTTGGTGATGGGTCTCGGTTTGAGTTGGAAATCCAACAAAACCCCAAGCTGTTTGTTGGGTTCCCTCATTTTGGGAAACATTTTGTGGGAACAGCTGGGCAAAAATGCCACAGTACTGGTCATGTTGTCGAGGTTCCAACAAGCGGAACCTTGGAATCGTCAGGGCTGTGCAAGTTTCCCACGGGGCCATGACGATCCCTGCCAACCTCAAGTCGAAAGGGTGCCTTGGCGGGGGCACATATGACCCCAAATCCTGCCCAAAAGATTCGGGTTCCTTAACCACCAACCTCACTTCAATTGTGGGCAACCCGCTAAAACTTGGGGGTTGGCCTCTTGGATCACAGCTTCGACCTGCAAACAACATGTTCAAAGAAATCGGTCTGCACAAATGGAGTTGTGTTAAGAAGCCACGAGGGCAGAGGTGGCGATTTGAAAGCTCAATTGCTGCCCGGCCCACAAGTGCAGACCTCGCAAAGTACAAACACATCAAAAAAGTCAACCTACCGTTTAGGAATTTGTTCTCATGTTTCAAGCGTCTAGTTTCCAAGGCTAGAGCAAGTAGTTGGCCTGTCAGTGGGGCTGTTTTCAATGCCTCAAGGACCTGAGGGCCACTGGGCAAGTCTTGTCATCACTCACCAACCGAAACAGGGAGCTATCTATGTTTATTTACGAGTAAGCATGAGCAAACACAACAAGAAACAGAAGCCGCATGAAAAAAACACACAACCAAAAACACAAAAAAAAAGCAAACTATAATGATACAAACCTTCACCCTGTAAGACGTCGGAGGAAAAAAAGAAAAAACGCGCCGCGATTTTCGTCGCGATTTTCGTGGCCCCTTCTCTCGGGCCCCCGGCTGGATACCTGGGCCACGGACCCGGTGAGGTGCAGCAGCTCGTCCACCATCTGCTTGCGGAGCTCTCCTCGGAGCTCTCGACATAAGCGGAATCCGTTCTAAGGGGGAAGAAGCGAGTGTTGCAACGGGCAGTGACCAGGAAGAAACCCAGCAACCTTCTAAGGGTTGATGCCTTGTCCATTCTTTTCAACCATCGTTCTGTTCAAAACCCGGCCGCCTCCCTGGGTTTCTGGAGAAATCCAGCGAATCAAGGCGAGGATTTTATCCTCCATTTGTGTTTCGCCCCGGAACAAAATAAACATAAACATAGTTCCGAGAGTGAAATTGATTCCCTCCGAAACCGAGTCACCCTACCCCACCCCATCCCGGAATCCCACCCACAAGCCCAGCCAGTCCGGTGTGCTACTCTCTACCTCCAATCAACCAGCAGCCCAAAGCGATGATTTGATCCTCCATTTGTGTTTTCGCCCCCTGAAAAAAATAAACACCCTGGAGAAACTCCAACTTGATGCCAGCCTTTCAAAAGGAAAACCAAGCACATCCAACAGGGCAAATGGGGAAATTAGAGACGCGGGTGGAATGCCTTTCATTTGTCCGATGCGACCTCTCAGTGTCTCAAAGCTCAAATGGTTGGCAGGGTGGTGAGAACTCCCTCCCTCATTGGTACCCCCGGCCAACATTGGATGCATGGCGTGTAAGAAGCTCTCCTGGACCCTTGTCTCATAAAACCTCATGCTCCCAAATCCCCCACCCGCGAAGCCGTCGTTTCTCCAGTCCAACCAATTCCTGCCCGCAGGTTTCGCGAATGGAAGCTGAACTTATGTGTAGTTTGGAACTTTGAGGGCAATCAGCCCCAAGGGGGCCATTGTGTCCACGTGGAAACGCCAACAGGATGTCTAGGGTTGAAGCTGTTGATATTTCGGGCCGCGTCGGGAAGAACTGGCCCCAAGATTCCCCGAGGGCTTCTCTCGAAGGTTTGGGGTGCTCGAATTTTCCTCTTCGGCTTCCCTGTACCAGCCAAAAAGGGGTGACCCAACAAATAGACACACCCACCTGGATTGGGTGAGGTTGGGCAAATTCCCCAACATGTCCAGTAAAACGACTAAAACTCCTTTTTTGGCCAATGTCCTCTCACTGTTCGGGCCCGTCGGCGACGAAAAAAGACGCCCCCCCCGCCGGCGACCGAAAAACAAAAAAAACAACACACGGCAAAAGCCCTTCGGCCCAGGCCGCGGTCGTTCACCACCAGGGTATACTCCGCGGAGAAGATCTGCTTGATCCGGGCGATCGGGACGATCCAGAGCACCCCTGCGGCGATTTTCACCCGCGGGGATGGGACACAAACTCACTTCCCAAGTTGACTGGCCAAAAAAAGTCCTGGAACTTTCTATTTACCACTAAAATGGTCTTTCCAAAAAGTTTTTAAAGTCCACCAACTCAGGAAGTGAGCAAAACTGGGCGATTCGCGCCACCAAAACAAAAACACGGGGGGATGGGCAACCAAACGGTGTTCCTGTTAGGTTCCCCAGAAATCGGGTGCCCTAAAAGGATACATGCAAAAGCCAGCTGCTCCATAAGGGGTTCCTCTAAATCAGAAGGTATTTGCGATTGGTATCAGGGACCTTGTTGAAACCATGGTCCGGCTACCTTTTGGTTCCACCGGTGTTGACCCCAGGTTGGGCTGGAACAGCTATATAGCCAGTATATCTTTGGGGTACACCGCTTTTGCTTCCTGTTTTTGGTAGTGGGAAGGATTGGAATTAAAGGGAAACGAGTTCTTCGGGTCTGGGTCAAACCAAGTTTGCCCAATTAGAGAGTCCCCGTCTCCAAAAAAAATAAAATGGGGGAGCTGCAAAAATTGTAATGTGTCCCCTATGGTTTTTCAAGGCTCAGTGCCGCTCCATGGTGCTTTGCAAGAAGTATACACTCTGCGTGGCCGTTACAAAAGGCGTAATTTACACATATCTAAGTTGCCAAGCAACGCGACGATTCTTAGGCTGATTCAATCCAATGAATCTCCACTCAGATGCCCAGGGCCATGGGGAAAAAAGAAGTGGCACCCGGTTTTTGGTGGGTTGACTTTAAAGGAATCGGAACCTGTCCTCCAAAAAGTTGCAAAAGAATTGGCGGAGTTGACTGGTTGCAACTGAGTCCAAGAAAGGAAATCGCGCAAGGCCTTCAGCCTTCAGCCAGGCACCATTGATTCGAGTCTCTAGCCATTCCAATCATGGACACCTTTGAACCCAAATGTGCCAAGCCATCCTGACATCAGCGCTGGCTTCAATCAGATACGACACCTGCTATCAGACACAGGCCAAGCTTTGCTGAAACTGCCTGAGGGCTTTCTGATTTCCATGCTTAAAATAGCACCCTTGGTCTGGAACTTGCTCACTTCATGTTGGCTTCGGATGCTGGAGGACCACCCCACCCCTAGCAACCAAAGCAATCCCCTGACAAATTTTGGGAAAACCAACTCGTGGGGATATGGGCGAAGCGGGGATGTCCGAGGAATCCCTGTACAGGACACCATGTCCAAATACTACCGGACAAATATGCTGGCATCCCTGCTTCCCCCGCATCCCTACTTGTTTGCTTGGCTGAACAACTTGATGAATTCCCTTTGATGGTGATTTCAGGGCAACCTCAAACAAAGACACCCGCCTCTAACCTCGGATCAGAGGGGCCACGATCCGTCGATCGATCAATCGATCGACGTGTTCGCGGTTTGCGCCCCGGCCTTTCAGGGTCAGAGTGGTCGCCAGCACCGTGATACCCCAAAATGACCTCACCTCCCCTGCGTGGTGCACTGTGTCCTTCATGGAGATCAGCCTGCCTCAGCTATGAACGGGCTGCGAGCGGGAGAAGGGAAGCCAAAGCTGGCTGATTCTCGAACGACAAATACAATGGAACTGGTTTCCCCAGAGGGTCCAAGTGCCTCCTGAGGATTGCTTCTGGGGGGTAAAAAGGGGCCTGAGTACCTCCTTAGAAGGTACCAAGGGACCCTCTGAGTTCTCGTGGGTTGTTCGGCCTTCGCCTGTTCGGGGGTTCATATTTTTAAACGGGAAACCAAAGCAACACGAAGAATTCCCCATTTTAAGACGCAGCCATACTGTGGATGGACGAAACCCTGCACCACTTAAGAAGCCCTGGAATGATGGTTCCCCTGTAAATACCAACAAACAATGGTTTCTCAGGGTTTCCAAGTGGAGCAGGATTTCGTCCATCCACAGTATGGGTCAGTGGGTGCATGTATCCTCAAGAATGGGATAGCCAGGGCCCCCCAACTTGGCAGAAAACTTTGGACACACGAGAACAGAAACAAGGGTGGACCCTCAAATTGCCCGGCCACATGCCCCAAAACCCAGGAGTGTTTTCCCACTTTGAAGCACATGCTGATATTTTCTGCATGGCTTGGAGTTTTATCTGGAAACCAACGGGCTGCAAAAACATACTCATTTCCAGGGTACATTTGTTTCTAGGGGTCAGTGATTCCGGGAAAAAAAAAAACAAAAACAACTAAAACTGGGCAACTTGCTTCGCGGGGAATCGTCTGAGGGCTTTTCGGAATGGATCGTGCGGGGTTTCAACTACTGCCTATCGGGCCAGCAAACAAAGGCGATTTCCGGGTCGGGATACCCAGGCACCCTCCCACCAGCTAACATGGAGGTGCACAGACTGCAGAAAGACTACTTTCCTCTTGGTTAGTTGGCCTTTTTGCACTTCCATGTTGGTTGGTGGGAGGGCATGGAGCCGTGCAAGGGAACAGTGGGCAGTACATACCTACAGGCTTATATATTGTCCATGGTTCCCCATGGTCCCTACCTGAGGATCCCATCCCAGATATGGTCATTGAAAAAAAAAGACACGAGGTGCAGTCCTCCCCCAAAAAAAAGGGTATGGGAAAACGAGTGCCAGCCAGTTCCTGGTGTGTAGGGAAAAGTGTATGAGTTCCCCCACCCGAATGAGTTATAAAAAATCTGGATTTAGCCTGCTGTCGAAACGAAACATGGCTGTGGAAAACTAAGTTCTAGGATCACTATCCGTGATATCAGGGGAAACGTTTTGTGCTTTAATGACAAATTAGTTAGTGGATGTGGAACAAAATTAACTTTGGCATCACAGGTCTCTGGTTGTTTCCCATGAAGCAAAACGCTAACCGAGGTGCAGAAGATCCATAAAAGAAAACCCAGGCGGGTGTCTGCACCTGTTTATGCTTGGGGCTGTCCTCTCTTCGCGGCTCGATTGCCTCCAAGTCCCCTTGAAAAAAAAACCAGTAGTGATAGATTCTCTTTAAAACCAACAGGGGGAAACAAATCTCTATGTATATATATATATATATGTATATGTGTTCTTAACCAAATGGAAGATTCGCAAATCAAACGGCAGCCGAGGAACAGAAGATCCAGTACCACGCCTGCAGGACGCTTTGAAAGGCGTCCTCCCCCAGCGGCGATTCGAACTCCTGTAGGAGGCACCCCGCGATCAGCCCGATGATTGTGATGAGCACGAACAAGATGCCGACCATGCCTAGCCCGGATTAACTTGAACAGGGACACCGGCAAAAAAACAAGGATACAAACAGAAAGGGGTTCGTTAAACAGCTAGGTCTTTGAGTGGGGAGGTTAGGAGAAGGGTACCAACTTTTTTTCTGCGGTCTATTTTAGTAGGGGAACCGGATTACCCTCCCTCAGACTAACATGGAAGGTTCCGAAGGGACCCCTGTGGTTGACTGGGTTCCATTTGCAGAGGCCTTCTGGGAGCTTCCACGTTAGTCTGAGGGAGTGCAGTTAAACAGGAGCACGGATGAATTAGACAGCTAGGTCCGCCAGTAGAGAGGTTAGAATATTGTAAGTTGGCACTATTTGTTCTGTAGTCTATTTTAGTAGGGGAGCCCTCCCCCCAAAAAAGGCGGTAAAAGGGCAGTACTGGGGGACCAGACAGGGACACAGGCAAAAAATCACAAGGATACAAACAGGAAGGGGAATGCTTCGGACCAGTATGGATTTAAGAAGGAGCTTTAAGAAGGAGAAAAACATTGAGAAAGAGAAGGCCAAATAGGCGAAAGGGGGACCAAAAGCAGGAACAATCCTGGGGAATCATGTCATTTCCGCTGTTGAGAGGCCAGCCGCCCAAGTGGGACTTCCCGAGAAAAAACCAACCGTCTTCCGCATTGTTTGGGCGCCGTAAACGCCTGAAAGTGATGGCTGGGAACCACCAAGGAGCCCATAAAGTCTAGGGAAGTCTTGCTTTGCCCAGGTCTGTGTGTGTGAAAATCAAAGACCACGTCCACAGTACCTAATATCCATTTGATACTGTCAACGGATCATTGTGTTCAGACTTAAAGTTGCCTTCAGCATTCCCGTGGCGGTGCGGTGCGAAACTAATTGAACCACCCTTGGGCGTGGGTGATGTTTGAAGAGGGTTTTACCAACATGGAACCCACCAAAGAACTGGTCCCTGGAAGAAAATCATCTTCCCGGAAACTTGGTTGACATTGGAAGGGGAGCAAACATTTAAAAAGCAAATGGCAGTTAAGTGGTTGGATTTCCCAACCAATAAACCACAATAAGCAAAAATGTGACATGTTTCCCAACCGCAACCCTGGAACACCGTTTCACCAACGTGGAACCCGGAAAAACGAACTGGTCCCTAGACCAAAAACCATCTTTCCGGAACACCCAGACGGGTTCCACTGGCAGGGCATCAGATCTGAGTTCGCCACCCAAGGCTTTGCAGGAGGGCTGTGGTTGGACTTGGCTGGAAACATCGGACCCCGGCCAAAATATATATATATATATATATATATTGTTGTTTGCCTGGTTAGGGGAAAACAAGCAAAACATGTTGTTGTGGTTTTTGTTCGGCCTGGTTAGTGGAAAACAAAAGGAACGGGTCCCAAAAAGCAAAGACATAAAAAGGGGAACTAATTTTTGCGGAAGGGGAATGGAATCCACTTCTGTGATGCAACAGAAAGGGCTTCCCAACGTCTATTTTCTTCATAGAAGGGGGGATTCCCAAAACTATCACAGAAGTGGGGAGAAACCCCGTGATCCCACAACCCTGAAGCAGGACAAACTGCAAATTCCACAAAATGTGAAATGAGAAATGGAACCCGTAGCTTTCCAATCAGGCCATGTCAGCCAAACCACGTGATTTTTATTCAGCCACCCACGAACAATGAAGAGAACCAAGTTTGTTTTAAGTTATTTTCATTTCACAAAAAGCACGATGCGGGTCTTGGCTCGGTTTCACCCCCGACAACATTTGGGAGATGCCAGGTTTGGGATTGATTGCAGCAGAGGTGCTCATGCTCTTCCAGAGCGTGAGGCCCAATACGTGGACCATGTCGAAATATCGCGCGGACTTGAAGATCCGAAAAAGCCGTGTCAGCCGCACCACGCGCAAGAAGGAGGCGGTGGGCAGGAAACGCCCGCACAGGACGTTCAGCCAAAATGGCAGGATCGCGATCAGGTCGATGCGGTTGTCGCCTCGCGGATCCGACCAGTGAAAAGCAAATACTTTGGCTTGTGGAAAATGAAGGACCCCATCAGACCAAAAGGGCCAAGAAAGGTTCGCAATAGCTTGTCCGAGCCAATGGAGTCAAGCCCCTAGAAAGAAAGCAACCAAATTGGGTTTGGCTTTTGGGGGTGACCCGAAAAATTTGGGCTTCGGAGATCAAACAACTGCAATGGCCCAACCATGGTCGGCTCTTGAACATGGACCACAAAAAGAAAATGTCAATCCTTGGGGTTTGCTCAATCTACTCCGTATGGGTAAATGGTGTAAATGGGGTTAGTTCCCTCCTCCGTAAGTCATGGATAAATAAGTAACTGCTGTAAATGGGGTTAGTTCCCTCTCAACCATGGCTAAAGTTTGAGTTTCCGTTTCAGAAACGGATCCGAGCCGCTGCACACAGCGACAGCCTTTTTTTCTGTTATGTTTTTTTGCGCCGGCTGGGCCAAACAAAAATGAAAGGTCAAGTATGACACCGAATATCTTACTACCCGTATATATATATATATATACATATTAAATATATACATACATATTATATATATATATATGGGTGTGAGTTTTAATAAGGGACCTTGTGGTGGACATTCATTTAGCTGGGGATTTATGTCCACCAACCACTTCGGAGGTGGCTGCTATTGCAATTAATGGCCATATATGTATCTATATATGGCTGTGGGTCAAAACCCTGCACCCCCAAATGGATGTTCATCCAGCCCAAGATGGGATCGCCATAGGTTATGCCCCATGGCCGTGTTTTTACATGACCATGGAGAGACGGCGGGCGCCCGGGCCTTGGTTCACGAAAAACGTGAGGCGCTGCCAGGGCGACAGCGGTTGGACGGTCCACTCGTCTCCAGAGAAGATTTTCTGCGCGGTGTGCATCACCTCCATGCGCACACATGGTGCCAGAAAGAGCCTCGCTTCGGGCTTCGAACCGATCCGCCTTTTGGTACGGACACTGTACCCGCTAAGTGGGGTGGAAAAAATACGTTTCGGCGGGGAAAGCCACACCATTTGGTGGGTACCCTATCTTAAGACACACCCCGAAGAAGGTCGTCAACTATTTCGTGGCTAGTGCAACCCCGCTGTGAAGATGAGCTGGCTAGGGAAGCAAACATACCATGAAGTAGGTAAAAACAAAACTCATCCAACACAATAGCCAAGTGTTTGGAAGACTGAAGAAACAAACATCCAAGACAGGAAAACCAGAGCACACGGTTCAATCCTTTAGACAGCGTATAATATAAATACAGACCAAGTCAGGAAAGCATAAAAAAAAGAAGAAAAAAAACACAAAACTGTGCCTGTGCTTTGGTCAGAAACTTGGTGAAGTAGTCCAGACTAAATATCATAATGCAGAAGGTCTTGAACGCGCTGGTGCAAGAATCCTTGGCATTGTCCAGCCCCACCTTGGTGACAAGACTTGGACTCAAAAAATCACGGTTTACATCTGGTTGTGCAAGAGTTGGCCTCCTGCAACATGTGGCTGTGGCTCAACAAACCGGAATTCCAAAATGGCGCCCTGAGTGGGCACATGGACCAAAACCTGCGTGACCCCTCCGATCGTTTCATTTTGAGCCACACACATGTTAACTGCTTGCTTCCCGCATTCCAACGCTCCGTTACGCCAGCGAAAAGCGAACGAGCGGAAGTGAGAAAATGGACGATGCAAGCGATGTAAACTGCTTGCTCGAAAAACCACGGACATCCGAGCTTTTAAGTTGAAAGCGCACGCCAAGTTTTGTGCAAAGGTGGCGTGTGCTTTTGCGGCTGACTAGAAACAGAGGTCTTTTGCAGGTCCTGATCCAGCCAAATCGCATTCAAGCCCTTGTCCCTTTGGAAAGAAAACACAAAACACAGAACGATGGCCCCAAGATGAAAAACACCTAGCGGAAGGTAACATTGTACCGTGGATGGACAAACTCCTGAACCAATAGGGCTTCATCCATCCCAACTGGTGCAAATTTAGTTCATCCACAGTATGATTATCTTGCTGGTGCTCAGTAACGAATGTGGGAATGAACCCGGGGGTTCCCTTAACAAACGAAACCATGAAGGATTGTTTCTAGGGGTCATTCCATTTCTCGTTCCCTGAGCACTAGGATCCGAGCAGGGTGCAAAGTTGGGGAGATGACTTGGGCTGTAAAGGACCAAAGAAACAATCACCTGACCCATGGGACGCCTACCATCCATGAAGCGTTTGTTCATGTAAACAGGACCAAAGAAACAAACAAAAACAATGCCAAGACCTGTGAAGAACAGATCTGAGTGGAACAAAATAACATGACATAGTATTCTTCAAGGTACCATATCCCCAACCAAACATGAACAGGCCCAAACTCGAAAACCAAACAAAAAGAAGACGCCTACCAAGTACTAAGACAGCTAAAAGCATGCAAACAAAACACAAAACACATTTTGATTCTAGGTGCCACATCGCAGGTGCGCTCAGCGCAGTCGGGAAATACAATGGCCGCCAGGTTGGCCAATGTCACGAGCATCACGAAATAAAACCACCCCGTGGCCAGCCGGCAGCTGTCCTGGGAAACCCTCCAAACGTGAAGAGGGCGTGTGTGTGTGTGTGTGTGTGTGTGTTTCTTTTTTTCTCGGGTACCAGGGTTCCCCCCAAACTCCATTTTTTCCCGGGCACCTGGGTTCCCCGAAAACTTGCCCCCCAGAAAGAAAACAACACAAAAACAAAGATCACCCTAAAGGAGAACTCACTACCAACATCCTTGCCTGTTTTTGGTTCTTAAACTCAGGGAGCAAGTTGAAATGACCCGAACTGAACAATCCCTACCAAACATCCCTAATAAGCATCCATGTTGGTTTCTTTCTAAACAATCTGGTTCAATGCGGCAGGCTTTGTTGTGAAAGATACTAAGGACTACATCATAAGATTCAGTCATGACCATGGTAGCAAAAAGGCGAGTGATCATTTGCCCCTCATTGTGGGGCAAGGAATCTGATGCGGGTTTGGATCTTCCATTGCCTCAATGGTGGGGGAAGCTGCATGGAGTTCCATGAGAAGTCGACTCTCGAACTGATAAAGGCGGACCATGCTAAGTAAGGCCCTCCCGGCCAGCCAAAGAAGCCAATTGGGTTTATCCCCCAAATCAAACCTTGTCGTGGAAGTTGTTCTCTACTAAAGCATAAGGCCTCTTCCTTTGGAAATCCGTGAATTCTCCACGCGAGCAGAGGCCAAAGAGCTGACTTTTGGTTCCATGAAGGTAACCCACATGAAGCCAGGTATAGGGCGCTGCTCAGGTATTCATGGCTCAAGTCCTCATGTGGCAGTCCTCATCACAGAGAGTGAGATAGACCCGCTCGGCGTTGCTCAAGGTGATGGTGGGGTGGCCATCCTGTGTAGTGGGCGCTGCGAATCTCTTCCAGTTGTCATTTTCACACTATCTCCTATCCTTGTTTCCGGAAATCCACCAACCCAAAGGGTCCGAGTACCTGCTAAGGAGGTACAGTACTCAGACCCCTTTCTACCCCCCAGAAGCCATCCTCAGGAGGTACTTGGACCCTCTGGGCAAGTAAAGGGAAAAGGGCCGGATTTCTGAACATGAGTATGATTAAGCAATAATGATATTTTGAGATGAGTGGCCCCCCAAAAAATAAAACATGGCCCCTTGGTATCCAAAAACAGAAAGCCCCAACGAAACAAATTTGCGCCACCAGGTTTGTCAGGAAGCTGGCTCACCCAAACAAGGAATGGTCGCAGGGAGACTGCTGGCGGTGTCTATAGAGGGCCATGAAGTATCGAAGTTGCAACGTACATCTCACGCGACCATTGACTGAACTCAACCTTCTAGGGGTAACTTCCCCATTCTTTCCAGGGATCCTTCTTTCTAGAAAGCCACCAAAAACACCCTGGGGAAATGACTGGCTTTTGAAAAGAACGACTGAATTTAATGGGGAATCAACCCCTAGAAACCTCTCTTTGCCTTAGGAGTTTGGCTCCCCACTGAGTCCCCTTGGCCACAGCGGATCTCACATTCTGGCATCGTCCCCCTTCCCCCCGGCGAACCGACTCTGTACTTGGGCTCGTTTGCTCGTGATCTCGCGATTGGGCATCTGTATTTCCGAGGGTATTCCTTTTGGACGATTCTCAATGAGCACCAAAAGGAACCCAAAGCTCTCTTCTTTTTCTTTTTTTTCTTCGGTGGGGGGGGAACAGATCCTATTTTTCTAGGCGTGGATTCCCCATTCTTTTCAGCCATCGTTCTTTTCAAAAACCGATCGCCCTTTCCCCAGGGTGTTTGGTGGTTTTCTAGAAAGATTCGGATCCCTGGAAAGAATGAAAATGGAAGTTACCCCTAGCCTTATAAACTAGTTGTTGTGGTTTCCTTTGAGGGGACCCCAAAACCGTTCATTCCCCCATTTTTTACTGAGCACCAGCAATTTTGAGACCGCCCCTTCTGGCTCCTTGATGAGCGCATCCTGCACGTCGCTCCAGGTGCAGAACTTCTTTTGCAAATCTCCGAAGAAGTTCACATCCAGCGCACCTGCCGCGACCCGGCTGATTACATGGCTCCAGGGAAGCCGAAGAAATGATATGGCTGTGGTGGTCAAAACCGTTCAACGGGATCCCATTTTGGGGTTTTCGGTGCACCACCATTTTTAGGCTTTATTTTAGTGAGGATTGGGATGTTCACTGGGTGTACAGCTGTGCTTGTAGAATCTGTGCGCAAACAAGGAACACGGCCAAGCCAACAAAAAGCTTTGGAGGAGCAAGCCATGCATGTTGCAATACCCGAACCTTCCTCAAAACAAGTCAAAGGTTGGCTCTGCCCGAGTCCCACTGTCCCACTAGCAGTGGATGCTGGGGGGGGGGATGTCGGTCTGATGTCATTTGTCTTGTCTGGGAAACGCCACAAAGCTCAACCAGTGAATTGCTCAAAAAATGAAGGTTTTCTGAGCGAAACATTGCCCGCAAACGAGGGAACCACAACACCGCAAATAAACGCATGATTCCTACACCCATTCTTTGTGCAACACACGCACACACACACACACACACAAATAAGCGCAACTGACTGGGCTAGCAAACAAGAAAAGCCGACAAAAAAACAAGCACGCAAACAAATCAAACAAACTACAACGAAGTCAAGGGTTAGTTAACCTCTTGGGACCTTTACTCAAAGTCGACCAAAAAGGGAACACCAAAAGGATACAAGGTCAGCTTTGAACGACTAAGACTTGTTATTCGTGGCGTTTTTCAGTGCCCTGGGCTTTCACATCTGTGTCTTTTCGCCACCTTTTGTGAGAAATTCACATTGACCCCATGGTCAAAAGCAATCCTTCATACGAGGGGCTTGATCCTTTTTCCAGCGGCTTTCAGCTTCTCCGAGGCGCCGGGTAATTGAAAGCCATCCATCAGCTTGCAGGACATGTTGCGCAAGGCCACGAGGGGCACATCCACACTCATCGCCTGTGCGCACGTGAAGGGTGTCTCTTTAAAATTAGGGACCGAAAATGGCTTCGGTCTCCCTTTGGTTTCCCTTTGGCTGCCCTTTAAGCCAATATGGTTAGGTGGTATGACCGGAATCCTTTTGAACCCTCCTTTTGAACCCTCCTTTTGAACCCTCCTTTTGAACCCTCCTTTTGAACCCTCCTTTTGAACCCTCCTGAAAGCTGCCCCAAACCACCGAGCCAATTTGGGCAGAGTCATAGGGCATACTTTGACCAAATAGTGTGTCCATAATAAATGCATCTCCTGGTTTTGTCAGATAAGTACCTGACCTCCATGGCTCCATCTGTTTTTTTCATGGGGGCCCTGGACATCGTTTTGGTGAATTCAGAGGTCCATGGCATATGTGTTTTCCGCTTTCTCAAATAATTTCAATGGGAGAGCTGTCCCTACATGTCCTCTGGTTTTTGCAGGGAATTGTTTGTCCCCACATATCCTCCCCAAGCCAGTAGACACCCAACATGAGAAACCAAATCAAGCAAGGAGAGAGGGGAATCACTTGCTCCGTCGAAGTTGGACAACGGGTCAAACCGAAAGGAGGCATTGACCAAGGCATCAACCAAAACAGAAACAGGGGCCTGTGTCTTAGGGGACTCCCCAAAATGGCTTCGGCTTTTCCTGTCAGTTCTCCGCTAAAGCCAAACAAAAACGAGGTGCTAAAAAACACACACACAGCCACTCTTGGGTGGTTGACCATGAGGGGACAGGCCAGAAACAAAAAGGAGAACCGCGGGCCACGGGACATGCGATTCAAAAGAAAGGCGGGGCACTTGGCCCTCCAGTAGAGAGGTTAGAATAAGGGTACCAACTTTTTCTGTAGTTTATTTAAGTAGGGCAACCCTCCCAACCAAAAATGAGTGAGAAAGGGCACTACTGGGGGACCTAGTCTACGTTGCGCTTCCTTGCACGGATGCACATGATGATGTGGGGAATGAGGGAATGACCCCTACAAACCATCCCCTATGGCTTCCTTTAATGGAATCCCTGGGTTCATTCCCACATTCCCTACTGAGCACAAGCAAGAAACAGTCATCTTCCAACTTGCCCCTGTCCTAAACCTTAAAAAGGGGTTAATCAGGGCGCACTATGCTTGTGGGAAATGGAGGGGCCCCGTTCTGTACTGCTGACCTCGAATAGAAGCAGAGTCTTGCGGATGAGTTCTGCTCATGGGGTGTTTCGCGAACCCTCTCAAGTAGGAAGACCCCTTCTTCACCAGCCAAATCAACCAGGCATTATGTAGCCTGGGTCCATTTCCAACTGGGATTCCCATCCCTATGACAACTTTGTGCAAATGCACAAAGTGGTCACTCACAGAACATTTGCATGAATCACTTGGGGTTTTGTTGGTGGGACACCGTGAAAAAATCGCGTCCACCCACCTTTTTTGACGTTTCCTATGTGAAAATTGGCGTCCACCGTTTTGTTTGGGCGTTTCCCATGTTCCAACACTCGTGTCAAAAGGGCTCCCCTTCGCCGACCAAATTTTTCAAAGCGCCGAGCGCCTTGCGCGACAAATTCTCGTAGAGCTCCTGGCGACAAGTGCCAAAAGACCTGAGGAAACGCCCCCGGTGGGAGACGAGGTCCTCCAGTGGAGAGGTTAGAATAAGCGGCACTAACTTTTTTCGGTTTTGTCTATATTTGTAGGGGATCCTCCAGATTTGCGAGGTTAGAAGAAGTTGGCATCCGATATTTGTTTTCTCGGTTTTGTCTATTTTTGTAGGGGAACCCGGGTTAAGAAGGCACCTAGTTGGGGGACCGAGGAGAACTGGGTTGTTCAAAATGGAGGCTTGGCCAATCCGGTTCTCCATAATCCCTACAGCGAAGCCACTACACTACAACGGGGTTGGATAATCTTGTTTTCCATCATTCCTGTAGGGGCCACTACAAAGGGGGCCGGTTTCTTGCGCAAGCCGAGGCAAGAAGTAAGGATTGACTTTGAACAGCCCAGCAGTTTCTTTTTCAAAACTATGCCATGGGGCTCAAGTGAAATCCCAACACCATGCATTTGGAGGGCTCGTTTTGACGGGTGACATGAGCCAGTCTGCAAGGAAACTCGACATGCCCGAATCGAATCGGGCAAGCCAAACCTGCGGTGCTCCGTCTGGCGCTATCTTGGGGACCCATCTGAATAATTCGGGGTGAGGGGGCGCCTTTTACCCCATGAGTACACTCCCTCAGAACTGCCGGAAGCTCCACCAATTGGCCGATGGAGCCAAGTCTTCTAAAGGGGTCCTGAGAGCTTAGTTGGTCCCATGTTATCAAGACCCGAAACAAATAGAAGCAGCCCCCCAGGATTCCGATTCCAAAACCCCTGAGCCCCTTTGGGACCAAGTTGTTGCCACAAAGTCGAACCATGGATCAATAGCCCAAAACTGTTGATTCCCAATCGGACCAGCCAGTTTGTTTGCGTGAGTCAAAAATTAAGCCACCACAGACAAAACACAGGGTGTAGTCCTTTCCATTCAAAACCACCAGACTTTTCCATCATAGGTCAAACCATGTTGGGGTGACTCTACTGTGGACGGACCAAATCCTGCATCACCTAAGAAACCCTAGAATGATTCGATTTTCCCTGTAAATACCACCAAACGTTGTGGTTTCAACCATGGTACCGACCCTCCATTCAAAACCACCAACAGACCGCAGGTCTAAGTCCTTTCCATAGTTGTCAACCCATTTTGGGGCGACCCATTTTTTCCCAGAGGGTCCCTTGTTCTAAGGAGGTACTCATACCCCTTTTTACCCCCCAGCCATCCTCAGGATAAATCATTCCAACACCTGAACTACTTGAAAATTGGGACACCTGTTTGGTATGTGACGCCTGTTAAGAGACCGGCCAACCCATTTTGGGGTGACCATGGTGACCCATTTTTCGAGAGACCGACCGAAGATCCTTGAAGAAGTAGAGCTCGAAGACCTTGTATCTCGGCGGAGCCCATGGCAGCCAGCGATGAGGAGTTCCATCAAAGTAGAAGAACCTCGCGCGAGCGAAACGACGCGCTCAGGACGCGAGCAAAACGACGGAACCTCGGGTGATGGAGGTTGGGCGGGCAGAGTCCAAGCGGATTCGAACAGTTGTGCGGTTGGTAGGTGGTTGACATAGGAAGTGATGGAACATCAGAATGGCACGCAGGTCAAAAAGATGACCTGTCCAGTAACATGGAACCTGAGTGAGGGGTCCTGGAAGACCATGTTTCGTTAACAGGGACCCGCGGCGGGTTCCAGGCAACGTTCAGGGGTGTCCACAACATTTGCGGCGGTTTCCTCCAACCCAACTCTGGGGGCGCAAAACATCATCTTCGACGCTGCTTCATACTTAGCCTAAACCCCTACCACAAAAATAAAGACTCCCGAGTTCCTAAAGAAACAGTTCCAAGGGCTCTCACAGTTGCTTCTCGGGGCACCAAAACTGTTGGCCCTAACCAAACCTAAACCCTAAATTATTGACCCTACCAAAACCAAAGCCCTAAAATGTTGGCCTCACACCAGCATCTGCACCCTAAACTGTTGACCCCAAACCAACCTACAAGTTAAACTGTTCCCCTACCAAGCCCAAACCCTAAACTGTTATGTTCGCACCAGCTACGGTTGACAACCGCCCCATAAGGGACCATTTCAGAGGTGCCAATTGTCGCCGGCGGCTTCAAGGTTTGGTTTGCGGGAGTGAGGAATCACAAGCGGCCACGCATGGTGTGTGCCAGAGCTCTGGTGCCTGGCCAACACTCAGACCCTAAACTTTCGGCCCTAAGCCAACACCCAAAACCCAAAAAACGGTCGATGCAATAAGCCCTAAACTGCTAACCCTGAACCAGAACCTAAACCCTAAGCTGTTGCCACCTTTTTTCTGCATGATGAAACTCCAGTGGCTGGAACACGCCCAAAACGTCCGGTTTGCTTTGGAATGCTCAGCAAAAGAATGGGTCGAGACGACTCCGCCCCCTACGAAGCTTCGTGTCATCTGAAAACCCCCCCATTTCCCATTTCTTGGAACCAGCAGCAAATTGATCAACGTTGGAAGGGGAAATCCAGGGATTCCTGTGGTTTCCTTTTGAAGACCCACATAAAAAGGGGCCCTTTTAACCAGACTCAGCTTCCCTCCAAGTGGTGGTTTGGTTTGGATTGGTGGTTCAGGAAAAGTGTCCCATCAACTTCCTGAAGCCACGGGTTCAAATCCAAATCCAAACCAATCCAAACCACCCGATTTATTGTTGCATTCCCTCCGTCGTGAGCACCCGAACACGGAGCCAAGGCGTCCCTTCTCTTTGACTAGGTCCAGATTTGAGAGGTTAGACTAAGTTGGTACCGACTTTTTTCTGTGGTCTATTTTAGTAGGGGAACCCTCCCAACCAAAAAAGGGGGAGAGAAAGGGCACTTAGCTGGGGGACCTAGTTGAGCTTCCGCAAGTTGACGGGTTCTTGCTACGCTTGGAAGGGGAGCAAAAACATAAATGTTAGCAGCTAAGTGGGGTTTTCCCACTAAACCACAATGAGCAACAATGTAAAGTGTTTCCCAACAACAACCATGCCAAGGCTTCCCTACCAAGGCTTCCCTATTCTTCCAGTTGCTTAAGCCCCCTAGAAAAATTGGAAAATATTTCCAATAGTGAAATCGATTCCCTACAAACACCCACCAGGGAAAATACAACATATTCACTCTTAAGCAAATGGGTTGGTGGTTTCCTGTTTCCATCAAAAGCCAAACAAGGGGCCCTATCTTGAGCCACCTCCAGCAGGTTCGGTGCCGTTCGAGGCAAATGGAAGAATTTCGTTTGAGCTTCCGCAAGTTCACGGGTTACCAAACCAAAGACGCGTTCGTCGCATATTCCGAGGAGCTCCCCGCCGATGTTGAAGGTCTTGGTCCGCGGCGGATGCCCGGCCAGCCGTTCGGTCGCCTCTGTCCTGGCAGCCGAAAAACGTCGGTCGGGGGGCGCCTCGCCCGAGGTGTGGGTTTTTCCCGGAAGCATTGCGAAGGGTTCTTCTTCTAAAAGCGGCTGCCAACTTCACCTGCCAACTTCTCATGCCAACTTGTCGAGAGTTACTTCACCTGCCAACTTCTCATGCCAACTTGTCGAGAGTTACTTCACCTGCCAATGCCAACTTGTCGAGAGTTACTTCACCTGCTAACTTCTCATGCCAACTTGTCGAGAGTTACTTCACCTGCCTACTTCTCATGTCAACTTTTCGGCTGTTATCTCATTCTACTAAAAGCACAAGCTAATTTGTCGGGTGTTACTTCACTATCCTAAAAACACAAGCTAACTTTTCTGTTCTACCTTCACTTCTCGACTCTTAATTCTTCTTCTTTTTATGGCGGGGGTAGGCCCGACGGGAGCTTACGAAACGCACCCCTCTGCGGAGATCGTGCGTGTCGAAGCGCTCTCGCTGTGGCGCCGTGCGAATTTGTCTTGAGCCCGATGAACCCTCTGCGGAGATCGTGCGTGTCGAAGCGCTCTCGCTGTGGCGCCGTGCGAATTTGTCTTGAGCGCGGCGAACCCTCTGCGGAGATCGTGCGTGTCGAAGCGCTCTCGCTGTGGCGCCGTGCGAATTTGTCTTGACCTTGGCGAACCCTCTGCGGAGATCGTGCGTGTCGAAGCGCTCTCGCTGTGGCGCCGTGCGAATTTGTCTTGAGCGCGGCGAACCCTCTGCGGAGATCGTGCGTGTCGAAGCGCTCTCGCTGTGGCGCCGTGCGAATTTGTCTTGACCTTGGCGAACCCTCTGCGGAGATCGTGCGTGTCGAAGCGCTCTCGCTGTGGCGCCGTGCGAATTTGTCTTGACCTTGGCGAACCCTCTGCGGAGATCGTGCGTGTCGAAGCGCTCTCGCTGTGGCGCCGTGCGAATTTGTCTTGAGCCCGATGAACCCTCTGCGGAGATCGTGCGTGTCGAAGCGCTCTCGCTGTGGCGCCGTGCGATTTTCTTGCTCGCGAAACGGCTTTTGGAAGTTGTCTCGTGGTGTGCGCGCCTGCTTTCGCAATCCCGCGGTCCCGGGTTCGATTCCCCCCTGGTCCGCGGCAGCTCCGGCTTGAAAATCGCAGCTTTTAAGTACAAACGTAGTACGCGGAGCGTGCTCCTGCAGCTCCGGCTGGAAAATCGCAACTTTTAAGTACAGACGTAGTACGCGGAGGCTGCTGCAGCTCCGGCTGGAAAATCGCACTTTTTAAGTACAGACGTAGTACGCGGAGCGTGCTCCCGCAGCTCCGGCTGGAAAATCGCAACTTTTAGATACAAATGGCTGGAAAATCGCAACTGTAAATTGCAAATGTAGCACGCGGAGCGCCTCCGCCGCTCCAGCTTTTTGAGGGTTAATTACTTCACCTGCCAGTTTCTCATGCCGAAACTTCGAGAATTACTTCACCTGCCAGCTTCTCATGCCACCTTTTCGAGAGTTACTTCACCTGCCAACTTCTCGTGCCAACTTTTCGAGGAGTTACTTCACCTGCGAGCTTATCATGCCAACTTTTCGAGAGTTACTACACCTGCGAGCTTCTCATGCCAACTTTTCGAGAATTACTTTACCTGCCAACTTCTCATGCCAACTTTTCGAGAAATACTTTACCTGCCAACCTCTCGTGGCAACTTCACCTGCCAACTTTTCGAGAATTACTTCACCTGCCAACTTCTCATGCCAACTTTTCGAGAAATACTTTATCTGCCAACCTCTCGTGGCAACTTTTCGAAAAATTACTTCACCTGCCAGCTTCTCATGCCAACTTTTCGAGAGGTACTTCACCTGCCAACATCGCCTGCCAACTTTTCGAGAGTTACTTCGCCTGCCAACTTCTCGCGCCAACTTTTCGAGAATTACTTCGCCTGCCAACTTCTCATGCTAACTTTTCGAAAGTTACTTCACCTGCCGGCTTCTCACGCCAACTTTTCGAGAGTTACTTCACGCGCCATCTTCTCGTGCCAACTTTTCGAGAATTACTTCACCTGCCAGCTTCTCACGCCAACTTTTCGAGAGTTACTTCACCTGCCAACTTCTCATGCCAACTCTTTGAGAGTTATTTCACCTGCCAACTTCTCATGCCAACTTTTCTCTTGAGTTACTTCGCCTGCCAACTTCTCATGTCAACTTTGCGAGAATTACTTCACCCGCCAACTTTGCCAGCCAACTATTCGAGAGTTACTTAACCTGCCAGCTTCTCATGCCAACTTTTTGAGAATTGCTTCGCCTGCCAACTCCTCATGCTAACTTTGCGAGAGTTACCTCACCTGCATCAACTTGCCTCTATGCTTCCGGGCCACTCGTTGTCTAGTTGTTTTACCCATTTGCTTAGCCCCCTGCATTTGTTTTTCAAGTTGTTGTGTTGTTTGTCTTGTTCTTTTTCCCGGAAGCATTGCGAAGGGTTCTTCTTCTAAAAGCGGCTGCCAACTTCACCTGCCAACTTCTCATGCCAACTTGTCGAGAGTTACTTCACCTGCCAACTTCTCATGCCAACTTGTCGAGAGTTACTTCACCTGCCAACTTCTCATGCCAACTTGTCGAGAGTTACTTCACCTGCCTACTTCTCATGTCAACTTTTTGAGAGTTACTTCACCTGCCAACTTCTCATGTCAACTTTTCGGCTGTTATCTCATTCTACTAAAAGCACAAGCTAATTTGTCGGGTGTTACTTCACTATCCTAAAAACACAAGCTAACTTTTCTGTTCTACCTTCACATCTCGACTCTTAATTCTTCTTCTTTTTATGGCGGGGGTAGGCCCGACGGGAGCTTACGAAACGCACCCCTCTGCGGAGATCGTGCGTGTCGAAGCGCTCTCGCTGTGGCGCCGTGCGAATTTGTCTTGAGCCCGATGAACCCTCTGCGGAGATCGTGCGTGTCGAAGCGCTCTCGCTGTGGCGCCGTGCGAATTTGTCTTGAGCGCGGCGAACCCTCTGCGGAGATCGTGCGTGTCGAAGCGCTCTCGCTGTGGCGCCGTGCGAATTTGTCTTGACCTTGGCGAACCCTCTGCGGAGATCGTGCGTGTCGAAGCGCTCTCGCTGTGGCGCCGTGCGAATTTGTCTTGACCTTGGCGAACCCTCTGCGGAGATCGTGCGTGTCGAAGCGCTCTCGCTGTGGCGCCGTGCGAATTTGTCTTGACCTTGGCGAACCCTCTGCGGAGATCGTGCGTGTCGAAGCGCTCTCGCTGTGGCGCCGTGCGAATTTGTCTTGACCTTGGCGAACCCTCTGCGGAGATCGTGCGTGTCGAAGCGCTCTCGCTGTGGCGCCGTGCGAATTTGTCTTGAGCCGGCGAACCCTCTGCGGAGATCGTGCGTGTCGAAGCGCTCTCGCTGTGGCGCCGTGCGAATTTGTCTTGACCTTGGCGAACCCTCTGCGGAGATCGTGCGTGTCGAAGCGCTCTCGCTGTGGCGCCGTGCGAATTTGTCTTGGTGGCGAACCCTCTGCGGAGATCCTGCGTGTCGAAGCGCTCTCGCTGTGGCGCCGTGCGCATCTGTCTTGAGCCCGATGAACCCTCTGCGGAGATCGTGCGTGTCGAAGCGCTCTCGCTGTGGCGCCGTGCGATTTTCTTGCTCGCGAAACGGCTTTTGGAAGTTGTCTCGTGGTGTGCGCGCCTGCTTTCGCAATCCCGCGGTCCCGGGTTCGATTCCCCCCTGGTCCGCGGCAGCTCCGGCTTGAAAATCGCAGCTTTTAAGTACAAACGTAGTACGCGGAGCGTGCTCCTGCAGCTCCGGCTGGAAAATCGCAACTTTTAAGTACAGACGTAGTACGCGGAGGCTGCTGCAGCTCCGGCTGGAAAATCGCACTTTTTAAGTACAGACGTAGTACGCGGAGCGTGCTCCCGCAGCTCCGGCTGGAAAATCGCAACTTTTAGATACAAATGGCTGGAAAATCGCAACTGTAAATTGCAAATGTAGCACGCGGAGCGCCTCCGCCGCTCCAGCTTTTTGAGGGTTAATTACTTCACCTGCCAGTTTCTCATGCCGAAACTTCGAGAATTACTTCACCTGCCAGCTTCTCATGCCACCTTTTCGAGAGTTACTTCACCTGCCAACTTCTCGTGCCAACTTTTCGAGGAGTTACTTCACCTGCGAGCTTATCATGCCAACTTTTCGAGAGTTACTACACCTGCGAGCTTCTCATGCCAACTTTTCGAGAATTACTTTACCTGCCAACTTCTCATGCCAACTTTTCGAGAAATACTTTACCTGCCAACCTCTCGTGGCAACTTCACCTGCCAACTTTTCGAGAATTACTTCACCTGCCAACTTCTCATGCCAACTTTTCGAGAAATACTTTATCTGCCAACCTCTCGTGGCAACTTTTCGAAAAATTACTTCACCTGCCAGCTTCTCATGCCAACTTTTCGAGAGGTACTTCACCTGCCAACATCGCCTGCCAACTTTTCGAGAGTTACTTCGCCTGCCAACTTCTCGCGCCAACTTTTCGAGAATTACTTCGCCTGCCAACTTCTCATGCTAACTTTTCGAAAGTTACTTCACCTGCCGGCTTCTCACGCCAACTTTTCGAGAGTTACTTCACGCGCCATCTTCTCGTGCCAACTTTTCGAGAATTACTTCACCTGCCAGCTTCTCACGCCAACTTTTCGAGAGTTACTTCACCTGCCAACTTCTCATGCCAACTCTTTGAGAGTTATTTCACCTGCCAACTTCTCATGCCAACTTTTCTCTTGAGTTACTTCGCCTGCCAACTTCTCATGTCAACTTTGCGAGAATTACTTCACCCGCCAACTTTGCCAGCCAACTATTCGAGAGTTACTTAACCTGCCAGCTTCTCATGCCAACTTTTTGAGAATTGCTTTGCCTGCCAACTCCTCATGCTAACTTTGCGAGAGTTACCTCACCTGCATCAACTTGCCTCTATGCTTCCGGGCCACTCGTCGTCTAGTTGCTAGAATTAAAAAAAGGAAAAGTGCGAAAGTGAGAAAACATATGTCCAGTAGTGAGAGATTCCATTTAAAGCCAACAAGGGAACAAGGGGGAACAAGGGGGAACAAGGGGGAACAAGGGGGAAAAAACACAAGCAAGAACAATTTTTGTTCTGGGTAGTTTGAGGGTCCAGGTGGGCTTCTTTTGCTACGGGGAAATGAAGACACACCCTTTAAAAGGCAAAAACAAAAACAAAGGCAAGCTAAGTGCGTGTGTGTTTGAGGATGCCATTTGGCCATTTGTTGGGTGGATGAAAGGGGAAACAAATGGACAAGCACCATTTTGGGGTACCCCATTTTGGCACACTCTCAATCTTGGGTACAGAAAAACAACTGCCAGATTCTCGCCCGATTTTGGCCAGACCCTGAAGCAACAAACATGAAGGAGACCCCCAGTTGGTGGATACTGGACAAAACCTGCACACTCTCAAACAGCTCAAAAAGCTGTTGAGCTCGCTTCACCCCCAGGTGAGATTGCAACAAGCAAACAAAACACCTGCACCAGCTTAAACAAAACGGTTCTGTCAGCATTAAATGGTGCCCCAAACAAGAAATATGTCGTCAGAAACACTGAGTGACGTCTATGGGTGATGTCTGAATTTTTAAAAGGGACTTGAGGGTGCGGGTAGATGCTAAAAAGACAGGCCGTGCAAAGCAGGCGCCTGGAACAAAACTCAGACACCCAGCCCAGTGCTTTCCAGGAACCATTCCGGGTTCTATACACAAAATTCGAGGGTATGGCACTTTTCTGGGGGGTCACTCTACTCGAAAAGGACAAACATGAAAAATACAATGACACTTGTCTTACTCTTGAAAACCTAAAAATCACGCACGCCCATTGCTGAGCGAGCGTCGTGTTCTCTACGCGCATGCCTTGGACATGGCGCATTTGAGCAGAAAGGATTCCCTGGCTGCGGCAACCGGCCGGCGCTAGGGAGCTACGCCCACCTCAGTAACTGGGCCGGGGGGAAATCCCAATCTGGAAAAACTGCAGGGTGAACCAGAGGTGAAATGGAAACTACCACTGAACCCTAAAAGGCAAAAAGGCTGAGGAAACGGATGGCTGGGAGCCATCAAGATGAAGGTTAGCAGGGGGGTCTTTTTTGCCACCTTTTGTGGACAATTGATCGACCCCCTTGTGGTGAAGGATTCCGTCTTGAGGGTGTCGGCAACTTTCTCAGAAAAGGTAGCAAAAAAGACCCTACTGGCGAGTGAACCACCCAAACACTAGCCACCACAAGTTTGGACCGTTTTATTATTATTATTATTATTGAGGGTTGATAACACGAGAAGTCGGATGTTGTTTCCCACAGCGATAGTCTTGCGCAGGAAGTATACAAAGTTCAGGACCTCCAGGAGGTTGCAGGATCCCGCAGGTGACGTTTCAAATACCCAAGCATCATTTTTTGCACCTTTTTGCACTCGTTAAGTTGTTCTACCCAACCCGGCCTCGAAAAAGGGGAGACACACCATGCCCTGCTCGGCTGACCTGTGGCGGCTCGGCTTCATGCCGCTCCCGTCGATCCCATTGAGGTCGCGGCTGATTGTTGATAACCACCCCTGCCACGGCCAAGACAGCGACCTCGACTCGGCAACAACTCGGCGAATCTGCGACGCCCGCGGAGGTTCGGCGACTGAATTTGGACAGGGGAAATCACAGTCAACCATTGAAGAAAGGTTTGGCCATCGGAGGAGGCTCCCTTCGCTTTTTTGTTTTACTTAAAAAGAAAAAACAATTCTCCGAAGCTGCACCTTAAGACGGCAATGGGAAGCGAGTGAACCACACCTAGGTCCCTTGTGTTGGCATGGTGAACTTTTCTCGCGGGGCCGGGGGCTTTGCCTGAGACATGCCCAAAGATCCCTTTTCCTCTGCAAGTGGGCGAGGTGGGTTCACACAAAAATCATGGAAGTCAACTTTTCCAGAGTTATATATATATATATATATGGCTGTGGCTCAAAAAACCGGTACCAAAACGGAACCCTGGGAAGTGGAAACATGGACCAAAACCTGCGGTTTGCCCCTCCTGTTTAATTTTGAGCCACAGCCATATATATATATATATGACTGGTCAAAAAGCAACTTCCAGTGGGCTGACACCCCACCGAACAAAATCCCCTTGGCCCAAACAAAAAGAAACACCTCCGAAGGACTCCTCGCTCGCTCGCCACCTCGAAGGGATAACCATAGCCCGGGGCGCCGTGGGGTGCGAGCCCTCGGGGAGAGCGCAGTCTTGGAAGAGGAAGGTCTTGATGATGTCCTCCAAACTTTTTAGGGAACGTCGAATGACCTGAGGAACCGTAGCCCTGGAACACCAAAAAAAGAAACATGCAAACAAAAAAACGCAACTGCCCATATCTATACAAAGGAATGATAGGAATGTATGATGTCCTCCAAACATTGTTTCTGAACGTCGCCCCAGACAGAAAAAACTGCCCGTATGTATACTTAATACATAGGAATGTATGATGTCTAAACTTTTTGGACGGCCTCTCCCAGTAGAACCACAGGATCACCTCAAGCATTTTCTCCCACACGCACGCTCTCAACTCTGAACTTTGGATACCGAATTCTTCGGGAACAACGCAGATCTATAGGACTGTATGACATCCTCCAATCTCTAGGCATGGAAACCCCCCAGAGTTGCCCCGGATAAAACGACCTTCGGTGATTTGTCCATATCTGTTTACAGGCATCGTGGCGTTCGAAAAGCCACTTGCTGGAAGTTGGCCCACGTGTTCGGTCGGCTGAGTTCCCGGTCTATTCCGGGAGGTGTACCCCTAAGAAACACCTGGCTGTGTGTCACTCGAAATAGGGGGACCCCCTCAACCAAAATATGTGCGTTCCTCTTGGTGTCCCTTTAAACATGCCAAAGAAGAGCACGCGCAACAAACACATACGCACACACACACATTGATGAGTGAACTGTTGGAAAAAATGTGTATATATATATGTGTGCATATGAGCATACTAGCCGCAGGATTGATTGGAGAGTGCGAACGCCACGGGATTAACGTGCTGCAGCCTGGGGCAGGACCCTGAAATGGTCATGCGCATACCTTGCTGCAGAGCCTGACATGCCCCTGATATATACACTTTGGAATGCCAAACTAACACACTGCACACCTAGGCATTCAGCATTGTGTGTGGGATACGGGTGTGTGCCAAAATGAAGGGATTTAGATTAGGCTGGAAAGGGTGCCCAAAAGAAAGACACCCCCCAAATGGGCTGCTCCTGAAAACTGCCCTTCCGCCGTGCGGTCCTAAACCTTCCGCGCCCAATGGAAATCTAAACCGCCTGGAACCCCAAGTAGCTACTTGTTTGCAGCCACTTTACCCACTAGTAGCCCATAATTTGGCAAAAGTAGCTGGAAAATAAGGGCAACTGGGGATCTAGGTACCACTTGTGGAAGGTGTTCGTTCCTGAGTTTTGCAGTTGAAACCTGTGATGGGAGAAGCTTTCCTAGGTCCTCCAGTAGAGAGGTTAGAATAAGGGTACCCTTTTCTCTCTGGTCTATTTTAGTAGGGGAGCCCTCGCCCAGAAAAAAGGGTAAACAAGGGCACCTAGCTGGGGGACCTAGCTTCCAGAGTGGAACTGCAGCTGGAGCTGGTGCTCTGAAGCTGAGCAGTCGAGGAGTTCAGCTTCGACATGAGCACTTTTTGGGCTTGAAGGGCGAGCGGCTTGCCTGGACAAACTCGTCTTCCGCACGAATTCCTTCCGCGTGGCTTCTGCACTGCTTCCGAGCTCTTCCTGTTGTGTTAGCCCTAGGCCCTGTTACGACACACACACCCACACGCCAGAAAATCACATGAAACTTTGAAGCGGTCAGAGAATCAGAACGGGTCTCCGAACAAAGACATGCGCTGCCCTGCAAGTGACATCTTCAGGAGCCCCAAAATGGCTTCCCTTCTCCCCTTAAAACATCCCCATTTTGGGATGCCCCCGCTTTGTAGGATCGCCTTTCTCCTTCAATGAGACGTTTTCTTTAATTCTGCAAGACATGTGTTCGGTTGAGCATTCCGAATTTCTGTTGACATGGCCTTTTCCGGACATGCAAAAGCGCTTCTTCAAGTTCAGCAAGGATCCTTACATTGTACACCTGAACATTGCCTTGCAAATGGTGGTGTCCCTTCTGCTTTGGTGGAAGAGGCCATTTTGCAAATGGGCAAAGTGTATCTTTTAAGGAGCCCTGTTCAGGAACCCAGGGAGGGTTGTGTTTTTGGTTTTCTTTAATTTTAGGAACCCAGGGATGTGTGTGTGTGTGTGCGTGTACTTTTTTCAAGTTCAGGAACCTCAGGGGTCTTTTTCTCTCGGGTCCTGCAGGGACTTGAAGGCGATGTTGGGATACTTCTGCTCTTGGATCAGCTGCCCGGGCGCTGGCTTCTTCTTCTCCACCGGGTCGTTCCAGTCCACGCAGTACAGCATCAACCTCCCAGAGTCTCAAAGAAGAAATTCCTCAGGCACAAGGAGTTTGTTGGCGTCTCCATTAAATGTGGTTGTGAGCTCTGTCTTGTTGTAGTCTTTGTTGTTGCTCGACGTGTAGATGTGAACAATGAGTGTAATTGTGGCAGGGGAGGGAAGGGGGTGGCCCTATCAGCGGTTGTGATGACCCTGGGCGCTGATGGTAGGTCAGACAAGTAGCTTAGGGGACCTCCAAGCGATGGCTTTACGATTGACCGATTGGCCCCGGAAAAAGATAAAGTAACTCGGCGGCTTTCTCCTCCCCTGCTAAAAGTTCTTAACTTTTAGTGGTTTAATACGGAAAACTCATTAGTTGGCAAAAAGTTAAAGTCCTTACCATCCAAGCGAGGAGGGCTGTCCGATTGACCGCTGGACCACGTAAGAAGATAGATTAGCTTCCATTTGCGTTTTCGACCCCTGGAAACAATGAGAAAATATGTCCAGTAGTGAAATTTTAAAACCAACAGGGGGAAATAAAACATATTCTTAACCAAATGGAAGTTCAGGGGTTCTCCTTGGCTTGTCCTTGGCTTATCCAGGGATAACCCATGCCCCCCCCTCGACGCTTGGAGATCCCTGACGCTCGCTTTTTCGACCAACCTGCTCTTCTTTGTCATACAGTAAATTAAACCAAATTTCAAAGTGAAGGTCCTTGCCACAGCAAAAAGTCCCAATAGGCCAAAATGACCGCCAAAGACAAACCCTCAAGGTCGACAACAATAGCATTGGAGACAACCATGGGTTGTCTAGTTTGAAACACGTCGCACATTCTGCCATCATCATTATACATTTGGTGTTGAATGGTCTCATTGAAGGCCCCCCAAAAAAATCCCAACAGGGCCACATGTAGGGTATGAAACCTATTTATATATATATATATAATACATGCTACCCCCCCCCAGGGACCTACCTTTTGGTTGCCTCTCCAGTGCATGAATTGCCCATCTAGGACTGGGAGGAACGATCTCTCAACTAGGACCAGGACCAAATGAGACTAGAACCCAGGATCTCTCAACTGGGACTAGGACCAAACTAGGACTAGACGACCCACCTCAGATTCTTACCAAAAATGAACTTCAAGCATAATTTCCTCTGCAATGTCCGGTATATTTTCTAATTATTGCAGTAAACTAGGGAGCAACCTAACACTAGAACCAAGGATCTCTCATCTAGGACCAAACTAGGACTAGACCATTTAATTCTACTTCTTATAGTATTTTGATGTCAAGTATTACATTCTGGTGGAAAAAAACTGTTTAATAGTTGGTCCTAACATGTAAATTCTGACTGGATATTATCCTTATTCCAAATTCAACTGTTCAGCTAGAAGTTGCATAGAACTTGACTAATATATTAACTACAATTCATAACGAACTTCCTTTGTAATGTCCTTTATGCGTTCTATGTATTTCAGTAAGCGAGGACCATACTTGGCCTAGAACCAAGGATCTCCCAACTAGGACTAGGACCAAACTAGGACTAGCTAGTTCTGAAAGTGATTGAATTTCAATGTACAATGGTCTATTGGACAGGAAATCGTTTGTACCATTTAATTTGACATAAACAATCAATATTTAAGTTCGAATCTAAATCGCAATTTTGGCTGGAGTATGTCCTTCTTGAGCTCCATTGAATTTCAATCAGAAATAAGGTCGAATTTGATAAAACATACTAAGTGGAATGCATAAGGAAAGAATCCAAAGGTCCCAAACTTGTGTCTTTCACTAGTCCTAACACTACCTTGGTCAGAAAACACCGTAAAACACAGTGTTGTGTAGCATTTTTCATACTCAATTCACATCTCCACCAACGAACGCTCTCTAAATGTTCATTTGAACTTGAACAGGATTTAATTGGGACTCAATACGGAAATATTTGGTCAGAATCCTAATGGTAGCCAAATTTGAGATTGCGAGTTTAAATAGAGTTCCTTTCCCAATATATACTTCCAATTCAATATGAGCTTTAACAGGATTTGATAAGGAAAGAACCCATATTCTCTAGACAAGTCTTCTTTGCAAACGCGAGTCCAGGCCCGAGTGAAACCCATTGAGACCGACTGAAATTTCAGTTGAGCCTGGGATCAAGATTCCCTAGAAGACTTTGACCTACAATCTTGAATGTGGGCCTAGATTGAAACAGATTGAATGAATAATCAGGACTTGGATGCTTGCACAACACTGTGCCAAAGTACAGCCGCGCAAAGTACAATGTTGAATTTGGGTCTCGATTTGATTTAAATCGAAGTTTAAATCGGGCATGGATTCAAGATTCAAGATTCAAGAATCCAGGCCAAACTTTTCCAGGGATCTTGAATCCAGGCGTCGATTTAAACCGATTTAAACCGATTTAACTTAAATCGGGCATGGATTCAAGATTCAAGATTCAAGAATCCAGGCCAAACTTTTCCAGGGAGTCTTGAATCTTGAATCCATGCCCGATTTAAGTTAAATCGGTTTAAATCGGTTCAAATCGACGCCTGGATTCAAGAATCCCTGGAAAAGTTTGGCCTGGATTCTTGAATCTTGAATCTTGAATCCATGCCCGACTTAAATTAAATCGGTTAATTCGGTTTCAATCAAGCCTGAAGCTTCCAGAACGTCCTTGGAAATGCTTCTTTTTCATTGCTCTCCCCAAAGCCCAAAAAAGGGTAGAAAACACTGCAAATACCAGTGAATTCATCAACAAGGTAGGTCCCTGGGGGGGGGGGTACCATATATATATATATATATATGTATAAATCCCGCTTTCCCTTGGGTGATTTGGAGAAGAGCAGCGGAAGAGATGGCTCGCGGGTTCTCAAAAAGGGACAGGATCCTGGATGTTCCTTATGCATGTGCCTGAAAACCAGACACATTGATTCCATGAACCATTTCAACCATGGTTTTTGAGATTTGACATGGCCCTCTGGGTCTTTTGGCACAGATGGTTTCTTGGAATGTCAAAAGGGATTTGGTCCAAAAGGTCCAAGGGGCACCCTCCATTCTTCGCCCACCAGGACTGCCCACAGCAGCCAGCTGAGAGCTCGCTTGGCTCTTCGGACGCAAATCCCCTCCTAGGTCCTCCAGATTTGAGAGGATAGAATAAGTTGGTACCCACTTTACTTTTTCCGGTTTTATCTATTTCAGTAGGGGAACCCTCCCAACCAAAAAAGAAACGGGTGAGAGGTCGGGCACCAATTGCTGGGGGACCTCGCCTCGCCTGCTGGTGGTGCCGCCGCAGTCCGCGGACAAGACCAGCTTGCCGCCGCAAGGGAGCTCCGTGTGCTGGTGCGCCGCACCCTCGGGCTGTCCATTTGCTTCAGAATATTTGTCGTTTGCCCCTGTTGGTTTTAAGGGGGATCTATCACTACTGTTTTTTGTTTTTCCAGGCAACTTAATCAACTGGCAGGGCTGAGGTTGCTTTACTCACTTATAAAGAGCTTCCCAAAGACGAACCCTCCATATAAAGGAGAAGATTCCCAAAGTAGCACAGTGGGGTAAAGCTTACTTGCCCCGGGACCAAGGCTGAGCAAGTTGATATTAGAACGGCGCTCGTTTTATTCGGCTCCGTTTTATTCTCTTTGAGATGCTCCGGTCAATTGCGCGAAAGATGGGCCAATTGAAATCTGAACCAGCAGTTGCCGGTGTTCCGTTGTGGGCTTTGACTCAGCGGCCCCTTAGGGACCCAGGACTAGAAGGTGATCGCCCTTTGGGGCCACGACTGGACCAAGGAAAAGTCGAAAGGTCAAAAGATCGGCTTTGAACAACTGAGCTCTAAACAGATCTCTGGTGCCCTTGAACTTGCTGCGATACGTGGGGAAGGTGACATGGAATGAACCCAGGCTTTGGGCCAAAGGCAGCCACCTGGATGGTTTGTTGGTACCCTCAGGGACCAGGCAGAGCACCAGCAAGGCAAAGTAGAACCAACACAATTTGTTGAATTTTAGCGGTGCCGAAGATGGATTGGGCCGATTGTGGAACACGCTTCAGTTTCACCTGCCCAAACATGCCATCTTTAGTTTCTGGCCGGTTGCTGAAACTCAAAATGCTCTTTGTCCATTGAAAGGTTTTAAGGAACCTGACCATCGGGGTTCTGCTCGAAGGAGCAACGAGCAAAAGTTACTTATATCCCCACAAAGGCGTCGTCAATGCGTTATTTTGCCGTATTTTGCGTGGGAGAATTGGGGTTGTCCCTCCGGGGCCCCAAACTAACAGCAGACTGTGCTGTCAGTTCCTCATGTCGATTCCAAAGGTTTGTGGTGTTTCTGCATTGCTGCAACATGGTGTCAATCATTGCAGACTTTGCCGTCCCTCCCACTAACATGGCACCTGACAAAATTCGCTCCAAGAGGAAATTGATGGGTTGGGCCATGTTTCTTCGTATGGTCAACAAAACACTGTTATAACTAGTTATAACAAACTCCCCTCTTAGTTTGACCAACCCCTGGCTGTTTTGGAAGGTTTTCTTGTTGGGTTCAACAAAGGCGTATTAGAACCAACTGCGACCCTGCTCCCAACCACCCAATGGAATTGGAGCTGCGCCACTGCCGGTGGTCCTTTCGTTGGAGCCGCCAGGGCCAGGCGTTTTTTTGGCCCCAGGCCCCGAAAAGTGGTGCCGGAAAGTGGTGCCGTGGTTTGCCAGATTGCAAAAAAAAAAACCTCGGGGTGTGGAGGGTGCGAAAAAAGTCTCCCCCGCCTTTTTTTTTCTTCTTTTCTTGTCCTTTTTCGCGGAGGGTGATTTGGAGTCAACATGTGGACCCAGTGGGGCTGTGGGAATTGCCTACTCCTGCGATACTAATGATTCTCCAGCTAAGGGGGAATCCACTTCTCTGATACATCAAAAAGGGCTTCCCAAAGACTCAGACCTGCCATAACGGGGAGAGAGATTCCCAAAAGTATCACAGTGGTTGGGTAACCCTGCACCATCAACCACAACCCTGCACCCGGAATCGGAACTCGGTTGCTTTCTGCTCCCCTGCTAAAAGTTTTTAACTTTTAGTGGTTTAATGGAAGACCTCATTAGTTGGCAACAAGTTCAAGTCCTAACATCCCTTGGTAAAATGCACCCGGAATCGGAATCGGAGGCAAATCCGAGCTGCTGCTTTGTGCGGCGGGCTCTCCAGGCTGTGGTCGTGAAATTGGCTGAGATGCTGCGCGGCTGATGCGTTGGCCTGGCCATCGGCGGCCCCCCAAAAGGCTCGCTCCGCTGCGGATGGACTTTCCCCCAAGCCATGGGGTCTGTGTTGTTCTCAAAATGTGCTCACGTTTTGTTAGGGACCCCCCCCCAAAAAAAAAAGAATGAGAGTGTGTTAGTTGTTTTTGGTGTTCTTTTGAAACCACCCCAAAAAGGGTAACCATCAACAAGGATACACACCCATATTGCTGTAATCTATGCAAAGGGAAACCAGGGGATGGGCATTCCAAGCAAGATGTAAATTAGGGGCGCTCTAAAAGTGAACCACGCCAAACAACAAACAACTAAAATGCAACTGACACGAAAAGGATACCCTGCAGCAAAAACAATGAACCATATGCCCACAGGTTACTCAACTTTGCAAGAGGTTCGAAAGGCTTTGGAAGGCGGCAGACGATGAGCAGCCCCGGAAACCCAGTGCCTGCTGGTACCAACATGGGGCCCTATAGGCTACTACAACCTTTTATGAAGCCAGGTACAACCATCTACAACAACCCTATGAAGCCAGGTAGAACCATCTACAACCTTGTATGAAGGCAGCTACAACCATCTGCTACCTTTTATGAAGCCAGGTAGTTGTCCATCTACAAACCTTTTGTCGCCCAAATGGAACGCCCCACAGTCCCTTTTCAAACTGCCCCTTTCTGAAGGCCCGGGAAGGCGGAAGTCATGGGCCTTTGTGGCAAATTCCCAGGGCCCGCCACGTGAGTGGTTCATCTCTCAGTTGCCCAAAGCACTCAAAGGACCTAGAAACAAAAGGTGATCGATCACCTTTTGGGGTGACTGAACATGAACCAAAATAGGGAAACCAGAAGGTCAAAAGGTCGATTCGCTTTGGGCAAGTGAACTAGTTCTTCCTGACTGTTGGCTTCGGCTTTCCTCGTGGCTTCCCGTTAAATCCAACCAACAGGAAATTCCCCAACTAGGTCCTCCAGTAGAGAGGTTAGAATAAGTTGGTACCCACTTTTTTCTGTAGTCTATTTTAGTAGGCGAAGCCTCCCCCAAAAAGGGGGTTAAGAAGGGCACTACTGGGGGACCCAGCCAAAAAACAGAAGACGCATATATTTTGACCAGAAACCGATCGATCTGGATGGGGTTAGGCTGTCGTTCCCGCGAGCTTGTAACCCAACTAGTCCGACTGATTTGGGCCCAGGGGACCACAGGTTGTCCTCGCTTCCATTCATCAGGGCTCCATTGGCACCTCTGTTTGACTCGGCCGATAACAGGGGCCCGGAGTCAAAAAGTCGACCGCCGTTTCCATTAAGACACAGCGGGAGGGCAAAAGTAAAGGCAAAGAACCAAACCGCCCACTGGCAACGGGAAAGGGCATCCTTTTTCTGGGCTGGCCTCAGATCCCGTGCTAAAAGTCTAACTTTCAGTGGGTTAAATGGACATCCCCACCAAACACTGACAAGCTAAAAGGCTAAGGGGATGGCTGGGAGCCACCAAGTTTTGGTTGGTTGAGTTTAAAGGAATCGGAACCCTTGCAAAAAAAAACAGCAAAAGCCGCGGAATCCACTGAGAAACAACGACCGACTTGGTCCCTGTCAGACCTATCCCCCGGCTTCAGGGCTCCTCCAATTCCAGGGTCACCCCCCTCCGATTCCAATGGGGGTGGGGATGAACCCAACTTCTGGGCGGAACCCAAACAACCAACCCGAGACAAAGAAAGACACAAAGCTGGGCACTGAACAAGAGAATTGAAGAAATCGAAAATCACCCGCCCTCTTGTGGTTTCCCTTTACCCCATAGCCGGCCCATAGCTTTCAGCTTGGGTTAATAAGAATAAACCTCGGCTGTCCCCAGATCCCCTGCTAAGAGTGACTAACTTTCAGTGGGTTAATGGAACACCCCCCCCCCACTAAGCCAACCGAACACCCAAGAAAGACCTGAGGAACCAAGAACGCAACGGTTTTCCTTTCGGTTTCCTTTTGCACCCTGCCGCAAAGGTCCTTCCCCCCAAAAAAGACAACCCCTATGTGTGATGTTAGGTTAGCGAGAAGGGCTAGGTGACATACTTTTCATGTCGCCGGATTGTTGGATGGTTTAGCAGATTCATTCATTCGGTTTGAACCCTACCGCAAAGGTCTTCCCCCCCCCCCCCCCAAAAAAAAGGTTGCGAGCCAGATAGGTTGCTGTTTTCCGGCTCGAGCCATGGCCTCGCATCGAGTGAGCCGCTCATCACCTCGAATCGGATCAGATGGTTCCTTGCCCTTAGGCAAGGCTCCGGACGAATCCCTGAAATTTTGGGTTTTCACCCACCAAGGGCTTCTTCGCGCCACTTCTGGACAAGATTGGATGGGTCATGAGGCTGATGAGCCTGATGAGCCTGCAGATCGTGTCCCTAACATTGCGCACCAGAAGCCCTTTCAAGTCAACGGCCATGAAAGCTGCAATCTGTGATCCGTTCGATTGCCATAGACGCAAGAATTCACAAGGGCAGACACGCGACACAAGAGGCCATTTCTGTGGGTATGTCTCGTGGCCTACGACCTTGAGCCAGGTCTTTAGCACCTTGGAAGGGGTGGTGATGAGTGCTGCGAACCTTTCCGGGAGGTTGGGGGGAGGGGGGCAGTGGGGCAGTGAATCTGTTAGTCCTGGCTTTTGCCATGGATTCAAGACTAGAATGATCGCCGTTTCGGAGGATTTGACTGCCACAAACATGTCATGTAACCTGTGGTGTTGTCTTGTGTACTTGTACGTATGGCTTTTGCTTTGCACTATGCACCTCCATCAAAGTAAACCACCATCAAGCAAAGCACAAATGCCCATTGATAAACACAGAAGACAAACATGGGCAGGATTTGCGAACACGGTGTTTTACAATTTCACTTTCACAAAGAGTGGGACCTGCAATCTAGCTCATAAAACGCTAGGTTGGCATAGGCAGGGTACATGTGCAGGCACTCAAGTTGGGCTTCCCTGCCCAATGCAAGCAGCACACAGACACATGATCTCGTGTAGGTACTCTCAAACCACAACTTCCCATGTTATGACAACGGGCCATGCATCTCCCAAGCTAAGCATGCAGAATGCAAAGCATGAGCAGGAGATTGGGGCCCTCGTTTTCGCCGCCCGTGCACCTTTCAAGGTTCGGCCGATTGAAAAGGGCCCCCAGAAAATGGACACCCTGCGACATGTTTTTGTTTTTTTGAAATTAAGCCTGCGTCCCCCCAAATGAAACATGGACTGTCGTCCTCATGCCGATGCTTCTTGACAGCACTTTCCCAAGAAATCGATTTGCCACTTGAAGTAAAACGGACCTCCATTGGACTTGTGCAGAATGGGCGCCAATTTTGGGTAGCTCCTCTGACAAGGAAACCCCTTCCGATAAAAAAAACAAGAAGTTTAGGCGGAACCCACAAATAGAGCAATCCCATAGTGGTCTGTTGCGCGCAACCACGTTCCCCCTACCGTACCCCATAAACATAATATCATATATTATGATTCATAAACATTGGGGGCTTCGATTTCCGCACCTTTCGTAAGGTAAACAAGTTGCAGGTTGCCTTCACGGCCAGTTCGATTCTGCCGACGGAGGCTAGAGGCAAACTTGGTACTTGCTCAATTTGTACCCCAACCGACAGCCAACCAAGTGCTGGAACCCTGCTTAGCCAAGGATACATCGCAACTGACCCCTTCACTTTGCTCTTTCCCACACATGGCCCAAGAATCTGCTTGCGACTGCTTCCCAAAATGGAAAATGAGGGTGGACCCCTCTCAAAACAGCAAATTCATCAGCTCAGCCAAAAAATGGGATACTTCAAACGTCCCACTCCTTAAAGGATACATCCAAAAACAACGTGCTTCACAAGGGGATCCTGAATAAATCAGCTGGCGAAGGATGTCTTTACTTGCCCAAACGTATCATAAGGAACCCAGGCAAAGTTGCCTTTTTGGGCTGGTTCTCTGGACATGGTCTGCAAAAAATCATGAGAAACACAGAACTGGTGATTTTCCACAACCATTGTCTTGGCCCAAATCTGGTGTGCTCCCAAAATCACATTTTTGTGATTATCTTTCCAAATGTTGCCTACCCTAAACAGCATATTTGAGGAGCCCTTGTTTGTAGTTGTTGTAGCAGTAGCAGTAGCAGTAGCAGTACAAGCAGTAGAGGTAGTAGTAGTAGTAGTAGTAGTAGTAGTAGTAGTAGTAGTAGTAGTAGTAGTAGTAGTAGTAGTAGTAGTAGTAGTAGTAGTAGTAGTAGTAGAGTAGTAGTAGTGGTAGTAGTAGTAGCGGTAGTAGTAGTAGTCGTGGTAGTGGGAGTAGTAGTATCGGCAGCAGCAAAATAATAGTAGTGGTGGTGGTTGTTGTTGTTGCTCTTGCTGCTGCTGCTGCTGCTGCTGCTGTCGCCGTCGCTGTCGTCGCAAAATTCGCGGGCCGCCGCTAGGTGGCGAATTCGTCTCGCTCGCTGTCCTCTCCTCCGCTTGTCCCGGCGCGCCGCCGCCTGGCCACGCTCGCCGTCGCCTGGCTCGCCTCGCGCTGCCGGGCCCGGCAGCGCCCGTGTGAGTTGTTGTGGTTGTGGTTGTGGTTGTGGTTGTGGTTGTTGTTGTTGTGGTGCTGCTGCTGCTGCTGCTGCTGCTGTTGTTGTCGTGGTGGTGGTGGCGGGTGGGAAACGCCCACTGCTTCGCCCACCGCCCATCGCCTTGCGCCATCGCCCCCTTCGCCCTGGGGCCCTGGCCCCGAGCGCGCGCGGCGGAGGCGGACGCGCTGCCCGCCGCCAGAAGGCCATAGCCTTGGTCAGCAGGCCATGTTTGGGTGGGTGGGTGGGTGGGTGGGTGGGTGGGTGGGTGGGTGGGTGGGTGGGTGGGTGGGTGGGTCAGCAATGGCCAATTGAATGAGTTAGAAACAAAAATAATAAAACATATGGCAAGAATAAAATAAAGGACCGGATAACCCCACATGTCTATGCTTATGAAGATGCGCCACACTTACATCGATTGAGGATCGCAGGTTGTAAAAGCAACCTGACATAGACAGTCAGTCAGCAGCCAGATGCTTTTTTTTGCATGCGCCAAGCTCTTCTGGTAAAAGCACCTCCCCAATAGCGGGTCGCGCGCAAGCAGCCTGTCTTCGAAAGTCACGCTTGCAGCTGCGTGTGATCGCGGTAATACCAATAAGCATCGCTCGAAAGTGTCCAGCCAAAAAGCTTGAGGTGTCTGTGTGACTCCCACCAAGGGCGCACTTTGGCTGACATTCTGTACTCACAGGAGCGA